ATCACCCATTCCTGTCTTCGGCTCAGACCGCCAGATATCGATCACCCTTGCTTCTCACAGGCTCTTGTCACCTCTTTAATCTGCATGGTGATCTTCGAAGCTACGTTTCAGATCTTGCAGGGTACGCCACGACGAGTGATGATTCCTGCACAAACGAGTCCCCCAGCCTGGCTCCATTTTGCACGCTCGCCACACATGAGGCAAAAGGCAACTCTACTGGTTATTTCAGGGCACATGATCTTGCTTAGCAGTGGAAACGGGCACGAAATCAAACTTGGCAGATTATGGGTATGGGGAGAGAAGCATTCTTATGCGACAGTACAAACCAGAGAGCAGAGAAGGTGGTACAGTATACACTGCATACTATGCAGTGCTCAAATGGTCTACATTCCAGGAATGTTCCAGTTCCGGTAAAAAGGGCAAATAGATTCGGTCAAACTAAGATATGACATCGTATGAGGCAATAGTCGCTAATACGCCGAATAATATGATTATCACATGTTCCAAACGACACTATACATTATTACATACTACATTCACCTCCAATCTTGTCTGATCCCTCCATCAGCCCTATCCAGTGTCTCTGAAGCCTCAAGATCTACGGTCTCTGGGGCCGTCCTCCGACCAGCCCACATTCGTTCTATCTTCATCACCAAAAGCACAGAAAGCCCCCAATCCTCCCGCCGAAGATTGGAAGTCACGCATCCGTCACCATTCCACCCTCCCCCGTATATACAAGGCATGGTAACACGGGAGAATTAGTGATAACCTACTTCCGCTTCAGGCATCGCTCATGTCAGGGATCTCGAGGGATGTGGTGGTGATTGAAGGTGAAGAAGGTTACTGTACGCCACGGTCTGATCGTCCGCAACCCTACGGAGGATGGGGATCGGCGACTCTGAAACACACGAGGCAAGCGATCCCTTGATCGGTGATTTGGCGTGCAGCGCAGCGTATGTCCACACCCCGTAAGTGACGCTGTACAGTTTGGGGTATCGGAACAGCACACTCCTCTTTTCAGTTCTCACCCCAATTTTTGTCAGAGTGTCAGCATGCATGAAGTACCAAACCATCATAACTCTCATGTCAGACCTCTTTTGCCCCTCCCAAGGCACACTGTCGGAAGACCCACCGGGCTGATTCTTGGTTTTGCGCGATGGTCCGCGTGAAAGTCAATCACGGTCGGACTCCGGAAATCAGCCTTGTGTACGATACCTCGTGCTCGCTGTTCTCTGAGGGACACCATGTGATCGGGGTTGTATTGCCGTTCTATCTGGCCCATCGCCGAGCATGTGGCTATTTTGACTTTTGACTATATTTGTCATTCTCTCTGATCCCGCAGTGGGGAAGATAAGATTGACCTGGTGGAAGAGATTTGACATCATTCACAGAACTTGTACGGTGAACAGTAAAAATAACACCAAAGACTTCGGCCAAAACCTCAGTGATAGCAGTCACAGAAGTACCAGACCTGGTCTTGCCCGTCTTGGACCTCAGGTGAAGATACAGGGCCTGAACAAACTCCACTGTGTCACACCATAACGTGCGGGAAGGCCGAGAAGAGATCGTTAATCATTGCTTATTGCTTGTTCTTTTTCTGGTAGCCGTCTGACGCGCAGCCAAATGATAGTCTGAGCCTCAGGGACATGACATCAAACCTGAGCACTCAAACATGCAGATGACAGGGTGCTTCCTATCATCTGAGCTCATGAGCGCAATCAATCGAATTCAGACGAGACTAGTACGCACTTGTGCACTACTTGACCAAGTTGCCATTATGTTTTCAAACATTCCAGACTATTACGACCATACCTTCACCTACCTATCTATCCATCGTGGCCCGTGTCCCAGGAATTCGTTACCAACATCTCGTACGTTATCCTTCAAAAGCCGGAATGCAATTCAAATCCCTGGCCTTGGCCGACTGCAGAATGTGCCGTGGCACATGGTCATAATCCTGGTCCTCAGTGGCCAATGATTGATCGGGTCTCCTTCGGCCACACGATCACGACTTGGCGTTGAATCCTGCGTTTACCTGTCTTGGGAGGTCCATAACAGAGTCTGTGGAGAGCCCCATAGCTATGATTATGGACTAAGCCATTTACGGTAGTCAGTAGGCGAGTACAACTGCTAACCTTCTTTGCATAATGTGAATGTGTCGGTACACTAGTGCACCTGTACTGTATTGCCGTCCCGATTGAATCATCATAACTTGTGGCCCCACCACATCATACTAGCATCGTGGGGCAGTCCCGTTGGGTACCACGGGACAAGAACTCTCATGAATCATGGTCGCGGTCGAGAGCTTTTCCCGAAGTGACCCAACTGATGACCTGTGTTTGAGCAGAGAGAGCGGAATATCATCAGGGCTTCAGGACCTGTGATATATAGAATCTGGAGGATGGGACAATCAGTGACCTACTGCGTAACTCTTTCAAAAGATGTGAAATCATTCAGTTCTGCGACCGAGACCTTCCTCTGGAGATGATCGCATCATAGTTGGAGCGGCGCTCGGGTTTTGGAAGGGGTTCAGGGCCCGGCGTCGAGGGACCCAAGGAGGTACCTCACAGATGACACTGATTGCAGCGAATGGTCAAGTACTCACTAGGCTCGTACTGTAGTCAGAAAGTAAAAATGAGTATGTGATGTAGCTTTCTTGTATTGTACCGTACGGTGTTCCCGTCGCGCCTCGCGGCTGAGCCGACTGTCTTCTCCACAGCCTGACTCGCACACCGTCCCTCCCTCAGGGAGCCTCATCCTGCCCCATTCTTCAGCATCCCACACCCGCAGATTGGGAATCATATTCTCGAGTCAAGACAATCGTCACACCCAAATCTTTGACAGGGACACAGGGCTCATCTTACCCAGGTCGATGTCCCCCCCCCTCCCCGATTGTCATTCTATTTCCAGAAGAATTCCTCCTAGTGTCCTCATTTCCGGCGCATCGGTAGCGAAGTTTGCGTTGGTTTTGAACCACTCAGAGCTCGATCTCAACCAACACCAGCACAAAAATACCACTAAGGATTTAGTCCCATTGCCCGTGGGCTCTCGCCAAAGGTGAGGCGTTCGGAGGGTTACAGTCTGCAGCAGACCAACGACCATTCCGGGAACTGCAAGGACTCAAGGAGTACCGTAGTATGTATTAGGACTAGAGACTAGTACAGTAGTAAAGGGTGAAGAGAGTTCATCTTCTCTCCCGGGGGCTCCTGGGAGCTCCTCTCGCACACCGTCCTCCAGAATGGATTTAGTGCACGTCAATCAATCGGCCAGCACACCAGTCATAGATTGACGGCATGGCTGCCCCTTCGACATACCCGATGAGGCCATAGGTCCAAGATGATCGACAATCATGAATTTTCCCCCAAGTTCGCTCCGTCATGTGTGTACAGTCGTACCTTGTACACTGGTACAGTCCCTCCAGAGTACCGTGAGCTCGGTATCTACGAGTCTCAACAGTGTGTCTCGAGTACCCATATCTCTCTACACCGTGTGCTTTGCGCCTCCAACCTGGGCGCCATCGATTCCCACCACTATAGTGCGCGCCCGATATGCTGGCTGGGCGTTACACAGGATTCTTGTCTGCGGCAGCGCTGTTGGCACGCCTCAGCCGCAACGTCTACCACCGACAGGCCTTGCAGTGAACCTTCCGTTCCGCCGTCGACCTGAGTGGTCCGCTCGCACAGCTAACCCGCTTGAGTAAGGATGGTCGTGGTGGCTGCTTTTCATCCTCATCCAACAACGTGGTGAAATGCTGAGTGGTTCGATGGTCAAATTGAGGTTCACTTCTGTGAAGCTAAAAGAAAAGGATCAAATGGGAAGAAATAAATTCAATCGAGGGTAAAAAGAAGAAGAAGAAGAAGAAGCAGAAGAAGAAGAAGCCCAAAAAAGAAAAGAAAAGAAACATTAAATGCAGAAAAAACAACCGTCCCCCCTGAAGAACACCAACGGTCGACCAGAACGAGTAATGATGACTATATCGGGGCCAAATCAAGGTACACATACGACAGTCCCATCTGTCAAGAGGAAGATTAGCATTCTCAGTGATGATCTTGTCTGTTTCATGTTTCCTTTGCTGGACAGTTTATTCGTCTCGATAATAATAGGATGGGCTCACGCCTGATCATCCCGAGCGATCACCGCCTCCACGCCCGTGCTTGGTTCTCTCTGATCTAAGGTTAGCAGGATAATTATGGGTATTATTTTTGGAACCCGGGGGAATTTACCCAAGTGACTCTGTCCGTCTAGCACAGGAGGAAACTGTTCACTGACTGGGGATATTGCCTGAAAGTACACTAGACTGATGCACGAGGGAATACTGGCCCACCATCAGCGACCCAGCTCCAGAAGAGTACGAGGTAGACAGTACCACTCTTACCCACGACGTTCGATCCGTGAGATGGGATCATTTCCGCTCCCTCGATATTATTACCTGATTTTTTTTTTCCAATTTCGAATTTTGGGGGGGGTTTTTTTTTTTTTTTTTAAAGCCCAGGCGCCTTTTTCACATACTCCCGTTGACCCGTCTCCACGCTCTTGTTGGAGGCTCTGATGGACTTAGCCCTCAATCTCGATTCGATTCTGGTTCCCCCTCCGTTTTCTTGTTCACTCGACAGTAAATCTCAATAATCGCATTTTCAGTCCCCTACCTCATCTTTCGACTCATTCGAACGCGGACAATTTTCGTCATTTCCCATTTCTTAAGCTTCCCGGTTTGGGAAAGCTAGCCATCCACACGGGAATCTGTAACAATAGCCCCCGCCGGTGCTATCAACGTGCTGCTTCTATATCAATCCAGTCTCCTCCGCATTTCTGCGCATTCTTCATCAGTTTCATCTCGACCGCCAACCCCATTCTAGATTCCTTCTCTGAATATTTCCAATTTTTGCATTGCGCTCGGTTCCTCGATTGACGCTCTCCACTCATCTGCACATACATACATATATACCTCCTCGTCCTTCCCGTTCATCACCTCCGCAGTATCTCCGCCAGTATACTTCAACATGACTCGATCATCTCAGCCCGCGCGAAAGAGCCACTCCCGCATTATCTCAGAGTCATACTCTTATGCCACTGTCAGGTTGACCACGCCTGCTACATCTGCATCATCTTCACCTGAACCTCATCTCGTCTCGTCCTCCACATCCGCCATGGCTGGTCGCCGAGGCACCATGCGCCGCAGTCCGCAGTCACAATCCGAGCTCCCCTTACCCATTACCTATACCCCTACCACCCACCGTATCAGCAAGGCAAAGAAGGGAAAGCGGGTACACGCTTGCGAATATCCTGGATGTGACAAGGTATGCGCCTCCTTCGGAAGGACTGAGATGATCGTCTGTATGTGCAAGCCGACACTGACGTTCCATTCGCCAACCTGTAGGTCTTCACCCGGGCAGAGCACCGCAGGCGACATGAGGTGAACCACAACCCAGAGGCCTCACACCGGTGTACATATCCAGGTTGCAAAAAGGCTTTCCACCGGTCAGACCTGTTAACGCGACACATGGAGAGACAGTGAGTTGAGAACCTCCATCTTCGGAACATCGTTGCGCATCGGCTTCCGTACCCTCCCATATGACTCTCACAGACCAGAACCCTAACTTGGCCCTTTCCGTGCACCACAGTAAATTGGAAGCTCAGTCGGAGCAACGCCACTGGACACCACCAGCTTCATCCGCGCTGCTCGACGATTCCGCCTCAGTCTCACGCTGCGTGTCCATGGACAGCCCCCAGATGCTCACCGGAACCCCGCCACAGTCGCATGCGATGTCGATTGGCACCATCGTGGCACCGGGGATTCACCCAGACCTCGCCAACGGCTGCTCATTGATGTGGAATGGCATTGACTTGCCGCTGCAGCCTCGCCCCACGACCAACCTGTTCCAAAACCTGCCCGAGTCCGTGGACGACAGCCCATTTTACTCCTCCCCTCCAGAGACCTGCCCCTCTCCACTCTCCGATGTGGCCTTTACAACGATGCCTTCCCAACCGGGCTCCATCTCATCAATCTCCTCGCTTGGCAGCTCTCTGCTGGATCAATACCCGAAAACCATCCTGAACGCCGACGTGACCTCGTCCCCTCAACAAATGCCCACTCCTCTCCGGTGGGACAATCCCGATGCGGGAATGCCCCCATCCCACATGGTAGCCATGTCGATGGAGGAGAGCCTGATCCAGCACCCTGCGCAATGTCACTACCCTTCTCCCTCCTGGTCTGGGACCGATTGCCTCTACGATGAGCAAGTACAGTCATTGACCCAATTTCAGCCCATAAGCTGGAAGCAATGGGACATGTGAGCAAAGGCTCTTTTTGTTCTTTCGAATCTGTTGCCTTTCCTGCTCTCTTTCTCTCTCTCTCTCTCTCTCTCTCTCTCTCTCTCTCTCTCTCTCTGTGCTTGGGAAATGAAATATACCCGCGCTTTGACGCTTCCCGCGGACGATCTGTTCGTCTTTATACGAATTCAACGACTTTCTTTTTATTTCTCTCCTGTTCAACAGCACAGCTTTGCATCATGACCACTAGCCGGGATTTGTATCCCAAAAGAATACGAGAAGACCTTTTTGTGAAGACCATTTGGTGTTTTTGAGTGATTTTGAAAAGAACCGTGTCCCCCAAGAAGCCCGACGGAGGGCACGACAATCCGCTGTCCGTCTTGATTTTTGTCCTGCAACCCAAAGCAGAATGTCAACGGATGACGAGCAAAGAGCAAAGAGCGAAGAGGGTTTAGAGCCAGTCTTGATTCGCTCCGTGCGCGCCTCAAAAGGCAAAACGAAGAACGCGCCGGACGATCTCTTTCCTCATTTGCGCCAAGCTTGGCTTGGCTTGTCCACTCTTTCCACGGATCTTCCGTCCAGCCATGGTCCACGAGGGTCCTCCGAGTCCGACAGGTCTGTAATGTCATAACGGGGGATTCGATCATTAGAATCATCCCGGGGAGGAGCACTTTCCAGACCCTGACCATTTTTCGAGTCTCGCAACTGTGATCGGTTGCCCACCTTGCAGTTTACACATCCAGACTGTGTGCGAGAGCGCGACCGCGGACCGTCATTCTCGGGGGGAGAGGCTCCGCTCTGAAGCAAGCGGCTCCACCGTTTCGAGGCAAGTGGATAAATTCACCAATGCCCCGAAAGGAAAGATGTTTAGGCGGATTCAGATGGGCACTGATCCGCCGAATCAACAAGCCCTTGTCCGCTGTGTTTCTACTCGTGATCTATTTGGAATCTCCCTTGGTCCGTACTTGGTTTCTGCCATGTGTGCCATTCTGCGGGCAAATAGATTTCCTTTGGTGTGGTACGATTATTTGATATGCTTGAAGAATTTTTTCTGGTGCTCACTGTTTAGTGGAAGCACTTTTTCTTGGTTTGGTTTGGGGGGGGTTTTTTCCCCCCTTTCTGTCCTGTTTAGCAGAGAATCTCCTTTGGCGTGGCTCAATTGTCACGATCATCCAAGGGTCTCCCAGCCGAGTTGACCCTATTCTCTCGTTCATGTCGTATATACCCCCTTCGTTATTGGGGTCTTGCTTGGCTTTCAAGCGAATCGACATTATCATCTTCACCTTTACCACCAGTGCAATAGCATTATATGTACAAATCGTCGTAACTCACACTGTACGCAATCTTTCGCACTGACACTTCAAATGCTGGATCATTTTCCCAACTCACCAAGGCCCTCTCTGAAGGTCAATTAAATACATTCGTTCCGTAGGTCAGTACCTAACTGACCCCTCTCAATCATGGCACGGCAGGCACACCTTCTATGATAGCCGAGCCCTGGATAGCTACTGCAGGTAACTCGAAGCTTCAAACCCCCAAAATCCCGACACGGAAAACGGTCCCTCTCCGATTCATTCATTCACCAGAGTCATGAACCGCTTAAACATTCTCCATCAAAAAGCCAAAAAAAAAAGACTGCCCCAATCCCAATCCATCAAGGGACTCCTCTTCCAAGCGACTCCCCCGTCGGAGGCTCCCCGGAAGCGCCGACCCACAGAGCCGCATAGCGTTGGCGGTGCCCACTCCGGGCCTTGTCGCTCCACTGTTGATGGGGACTTGCCAGCAAACACAGAGCGTGACTGGAGATTGGAGGAGAAACTAGCAGTTGAAGTACCTCGTACTCACCCCGAGCTGCCTGTCCGTCCTGCTCAATGGGATTTTTGGGGAAGTGGTCTGGCTAGAACAGCGAGCAGACATTCTGAGCATGAGAGATTGAGGTAGGAGAAGCACAAGCCCACGCGTACTGCTACTACTAAGTTCTAACTCGTTCTTCGGCAATTCCTCGGCCCTTCCACGTGCGGGTAGTGTACTGGCAGTGGTACTCTGGCTAAGTGAGATGAGAGAAACCACCAACGTACCGACTACTGATGTTGAAGGACCTTGTTTGCGAGTCGAACGCAAATCTGACTTATTCGAGGAACCTTTTTCTTTTTTGGGTCGTTCAATATGGCTCTTCGATTTATGATAGAATTCCCCGTCCTATTAAGACAGGATCATTCCAACATTGAAGAAGTTAGAACGCCCTGAGGCTTCTGTTTTCCAGGTTTAGATCGCTGTTGTAAGACATATGGTACTCCATTGTAGTCACACACGAGGCGTCGTCCGTACGGTGTACACTTTATAGTAAATCACCTTGTCGTATGCTGTTGTGCTCTCAAAGGCTCAATTGTAAAGGCTGCTAGCGGCAACATTTGCACATCATACTGTATGAATTCTCGGACAAAGGATCGTTATACTTTGCCCTTACTGTCCACTCCGACCCAGGCAGATCCTCTTTGCCAACGGGCGACGGTCGGCCGTCCGGGCAAGCGGCGCCACCACGTGTCAGAGGCTCCGAGTAAGCCCTTAGCTACTGTATTTTTGATTATCGAGTGAGAAAAACGTGGAGTCTGCTTTCCACCGCAGCAGCGCAGGTGAGAGGCGCCTGGTAGTGGGACTGTAGTTCCAAATTCCAATTACTGGAAATGGCAGTTGAATCGAGTCTCCATCGGTCAGGATCTAGACAGGGCAGCTCAAGCTCCGATGGCCCTGTTTATCCGCGTGAGAGTGCTTTGGACTCAAATTGCATTCCACCGTACCCGGGGAAATGGATGCAACTCTTCGGGTTGACAGACGGCGAGGATGGTTCTGAAGATCAATCATAAGCAGCATCTTCTTGAGCTCCTTCTCTATTTGTCCAAGCTTATTTGCCCCCAGCGGGCGCTGTCAGGGCAGCTGCTAGGTTTTGCAGATGAAGACCATCATGTGGATGAGCTATGGCTTAGACCAGACCTGTGTAAGGTTTATGCTGCACAATCGTACTCTTTATGTTCTCAGACATTCCCCAAACTAACTTCCCAGACGCATCCTCCGTATACTGGCAGTGTCGGGCGGCTAATGACCCGTGGACGGACATGATCCACTTCAGTTCCATCGCAAGGCGAGCGTTTCTTGCTGCATTCAGAGGTACGCCAAACCGAGTGGCCATGTGACTGACTCACCCGAGTCCTGACCACGGTCCACCACTGACCACTTTAAACCAAGCAAGACGGACCCTGTGAGTACTAGCTAGTAGCGACTAGCTGCACAACACTGACCACAGTGCTGTCGGGAATAAGAACAATCTCTTTGGATCGCGACCACTCCCCCTGAAACCTGCATGCCAAGCAACACAACCATGGCCTAGCTTCCTCTGTCGAGTCGTGAAGGCCCTCCCAGAGATTGGCCCCGGCCACGCTTGCATAGCCGGTTCCCGGCCCTGCGAGATTTAAGATTACAGTGAGACCTGGGCGACCGCCGAGGAGGTGTGTGTGCCCCTAGTTCGATAGAGTGTCCAGTGTCACTACCCAGTGTCCGGTGTCCAGTGGTTCACTGCAAGCTTCAAAGCAACAAGGCGCACAGTCGAGTCGTCGACAGAAAAGACGGCACGAGACAAGACCTGGAAAGAGACGATGGCACTTGGACCAAGACTTTGCAGGCAAAGACGGGAACCCCCAACTCGATACAGTAGTAGTGCTGAGGTACTACTACTGTACTGGAGTAGTTCAATGGTCCCGGGCCTTAATCTTCCTCCGATCGGCCGAAGGCGAAGGGGAACAAAAAACTCAAAAGGGCAACTTGGTCACTGCGCTTCGCCTCGCCTGTGAAGGTGGGTTTGGTTTTCCGTCCATCGGATGGTATGAACTTATGAAGTGACGATGATTCCAAATCCAGATCCCACCTGGGCATCACTGACCACATGGTGATCTGCTACCTCAAAATCGACCTTTTGGGCAGTCGTATCCGAAACTTCTGCCAGTCATATGTGACGGGCCGATCAAGACTTGGAGAATCATCCAACAGTAGCAGGACTGAGCACGAGTCGGTTGCATCGTCCACAATACGATGCACTGATGAGTCACGACTGGTCCATCGCTCGACCCGCTTTTTCTTTTCTGTTTCTGTCGGGCGGACTTTTGTCGGGAGTGGACGATATTAAAAAAGCAGTGTGAGCGATCACGAACGTCTAGGGTTTCATATGGAAGGCTGGAAAAAGCCGGCTTAGGGGAGAAGCCTCACCAACAGAAACGAGATAGGACAGGACCATGGGAATTGATCTGGCATCAGCTGGCACAAGCTATTCTCACGGAACGTGCCCCTGGAATATCAACAGCGCAAAAAGCGCCGCCTACCGAGCTAGGCAATCGGTCCAGCAACGGCGTGCTTGGCTCGACCCCTATGAACAGGCTCCTTCAATTTTGAGATCAACCCCCACGAGTCAGGGCCGAAGGGCAAGGTGGGTAGCGTCTGGCTGTCGTGACTCGCAGCGGCACTCGCTCTTCTTTGGAAATGATGGATAGCAGTACACAACTACACATCTCATTCTCGGCAGCTCCGTCGGCTCCGAGAGCAAGATTGCACTCAATGCTGCCGCGTTTGGTGAATGTTTTGAGACACCACTAAGGTCGGTTTGGCAGGAACTTGCTGCTCAACGAGAGGGCTTGTTACGGAAGCGGGCTATCTCATTCTCTAGTATCTGCAGTACAACCTGCAATTGGTGATTGCTTTGCTCGATCCGGACTCTGGGCTCAGCGTTCCTCCATTTCTGTTTGATACTACTGACAATGCTTGGCACTTTGGGCATGGCTTCTCTGGCAGAACACTGCCCGGTGGGTATTGTGTAACAACGTGGTCTTCAATTACATACTTCCAGCTATGAGGTCAACGCCTTCACGCCGTCCACACGATACTTTACGAATCTGACAGTCAGATTTCAACCAACTTCTAGCCGTCCTAACCGTTGTTGCCGCCCGTGCGACTTGGCAACGGCCCCCTGACTTCATCAGAACTCTGTACGTGGATCTAATTGAGTTTTCCAAGGCCGTGTGGCTCGCTGTTGATGGATCATCATGCGCCCAACCACCCAGACACATCGCACTCCTCGTCTCAAATAGGTAAACGGTGCATGCAATGCTAGGATGTTGAAACTGGGGGCCCACTCGAGCACCGCATGGGAATTTTAATTCAAGATCCGTGGACTTTTCCCCCCTCTTTGGCCTCCGTTTCCACTTTTTCTTTCTAATCGTCTCAATCTCCAAGCACTAACTGTGGAGAGAAGTCTGTGAGCCTTCTTTTTTCTCCTCTTTTCTTGTCTGCTGCAACTCAACTCGTCTAGTCTAGTTCAATCTCGCTCCACTTCAGTCACATACACTCTAGCCATCTACTAACCAAAGAGACGACTAGCGCTGAAGATCGACATACCCATTAGGCAGCTCCTCAACCCACTCACCCCCTCTCACCATTCTTCAATATCCATGCTGGCGATTCCTGCCATAGAATGTATAGCCGAACATGGGGACCCTGGTTAAAGCCTGGGCCGTGGAGCATAACCTGCTTCCTGTTCCGGTGCGGAGGTGCAACAACCTCTTGCTTTTATCAATGACTCTGGTAACATCAAAAGGCCTTTCAGGCGTAGTTTCCTAGTACACTGGAAAGGGTGGATCGGCATGGTGCGCAAGTCACTTAACATCGGTCCGTTGAACGAGCCTGTACCATGTCATACTAGCCATCCGACTAAAGTGGTCTTGGGACTGAAATTGTGCCTCGTCAGAGGCCACAATAACATTTTAAATCCTATACGCCGAGCCCGCATCGTAGCCAGCATCGTAGCCAGATCCGCACCAGCATCGCAGCTAGCATCGCAGCTAGCATCACAGCCAGGAACACAGTCAGTATCGCAACCAGATCCGTAGCCAGTATCGCAGGTGAATGGTTTCGATGCTTTCTCTGCCTGAACTTTTGTCAAAGCTAATATAGCTGGGCATATAACATCGCTTTCTCAACCTATTTGGTTATTCCAAGGCAAAGGAGGAGATACCAATCATACATTAACGAGCTAGCAAAAGTCTCAGGCGAGTAGAACTTGAGGTATACAAACAGCCCTACCATACTGCAAGTAGTATTCAACCTTAGCGGTTAATTATCTTCGCCGTTTACCCGCCTAAACCGCCTTTAACCAGCCAGGAGGATCTCTGGGCTGGTGGTATTTTGCCTGGGATTCATAAATCTTTCGGGCAGTAGTATCGTAATCTTGGATGGATCTGGCAAAGCTTCACAGCCCTGGAGGGTCCTTCAAATCATTCAGATGACGGTCCACAGCCTCTGATTAATGGAGTTACTTTGAGAGCCATTCTCATTCTCATAGCCATCTTTGATCCCGAGCTAATTTGTGCCTTGGCCAACTGCCTATAAATTCCACGGTTGAATAGAAGTATAGTGCAATGTCCCTGCCTTTACGGGACGGCTACAAAGCATCGCCCATTTCCTGCGACAATGAAGGATTCAAGTTGCGCTCATGAAATCAATGATTTTCCAGTGAGACAAACGTTTCCCCTCCAAGGGCGCCCAGAGACCAGAAATAATCGATACTACATGAATGGAGAACTACCACAAACCCAGAGGTTTGACTGTGAAGAGCAAATTTATCTGTTCATTGAAGAAGACGTTGACGATTTCCCTGCTCTTAAGAAAATCAACTGTTAAATACAATCTATTTAAGCGGGTTGACAACGCTCAATGTGTTGAATCTTCTGAGAGCCATGGCGAGTATTCTGTCTCACTTAGTGGGTTAGTTTATGAGAACTCATCATGTTGTACTCTGCTCGTTTTTGTAAATATGGGAAGTATTGAATATCGTCTTTCTCTGTATTTCATGTCCTTGCTATTCGGCTGATTGTGTGACGCTCTAAGCTATAAAGAGAACTTAAGTCAAATAACATAATTTCATTAGTTTTTACCCCCCTCTCAATAGCTTGTCGAGCGATGAGCTGTTGTGATAGAATGGATGAGTTTTCCGGCGAGTGTTCCGATACCTGTGATTGAACTACGACAATGTCAGTGGTCGACGACCTAAATACTCAATAGAAACCTAAATGACTCTTTCAATCATACAAGCAATCTCTTTATTGAACAAGGATGAATCCATATGCAAGGTACGGACCGTCGGAAGGACTTTAAAGAACCTGAGTATGTAACCCATTGAGGCCGGAAGAAAGTCCCGGGACATCCACCGTGTCTGACAGTATGATATCATTTGATCATAAAATGATCGTACGAAGCGGCATATTCGCACTCAAGCCCGCTCTTTAAAATGTGTGGGGGGATCAAAGAAGCTTTGAATTATCACTGAGTAAGGATCAAACGGCTTTTAACCATTCCTCGAGCAACGGATGATAAAAAAAAAAGTGTTGCTTCTTCGATGGACGAGCACCGTATATCCGTCTCTTCAACCGCACTCACCATCACCACCAATCCTGAATTCGAGTAGAGGAGATGTCAGAGACTACTTGGCTAAAAGCCTATCACATTGTCGCTGAAAACCTGGAATCAAATCCGATAGCAAAGCTCGGGGAACATGCCTATAGACTGGCTGCCCATCGAATCATCTCCCCAAGCGTTCTGCGTGAGCTGCCATTCACATTCCAAGGATGGGGAATCTGGGCCTGGACAAAAGTTCCACCTCTGGGTAAGTAATCCACGAGATGGCCATTTTTTATGATAGACAAGTAACAACGTCCGATGTGACTTGGGCGTCAAGTGGGCTCGATGGCAGCAGGAGCAATCATATTCCAAACAGTTCTCGGGATTCTGAACGTTGGATTCGGGCCTTTTGGAATTGTCGCAGGTCTGATCCACAGCATCACCAGCCATCATTGCATTGTTGAACTGCTTGAAGCTAACACACATGACACTCGCCACAGGATCTCTGGCAGCAAAATTCCAGTCTGTAATGTACGGTGCATTCACACCCGGAGGGGGAATATTCGCGACCTTGACTAGCCTCGGCATGCGCGGAATTCTTCAGCAGGCGGTTCAGAGTTTTGCTTTACCACTAGGATCCGCAGCTGCTGTGGTGACAGCGTGGCTGATATTTTGACATTCGAAAGCGGTCATCGGCCTAATACTGCAAGATTGGATATGGTTGGGAAATCTTGTCTACCATCCGGTAGCTCGAAGCTGGTCCAGGTTGGCAGATCCTGGTTTAGATGAGAATGCGCATCGTATCAGAAGGCTTGACCAAGCGGTGTTGCAGTTCTTGTGAAAGCGCATGTCTGAAGCACATGTGGACGGACAGAAGAGAAGGAATGATACCGTGGGGGGTTCCCTATTTGGTTCTTGACGCACCTTTCTGCTACAGTATTAGGATAAATGAGACATGCGGGCCATTGGAATCCATTTAGACTGGGGTCCTGGGCATTGATCGACTCAGCTACGGAGCGAGGTCACGTCGGCTCACGATTCTTTGCTCAGGGTCCATCATCTCCCCAGGTATTGCACGTCCAACATGGTGTCCTCGCCAGCGTCGTTGTTCGCACATGCAGTGTTGATGCGAGTTTGGCTAGCTGTCAAGACGGAGACGAGGATGTAGCGTAGCGCCACTGAAGCGGGAGTAACATGGAGCGACAAGTGGAAGTTATGGAATTGCTAGCTCTGTCCAGATTCGGATCTATCCTGCCCAGGGAAAGATAGAACATGACGCTTTGAGTTCGAATCGTGCGGCTAGAGGGCTGGACAGGGTAATGTTCAGGGTCACACTTATGCCAAAGCACACAGCTGATGGTCAAATAAGCTGACCCAAAGGAGGTTAATCAAACTGCTATACTATAGTCATTGAATGAGAGTCGTCTTTCAGAGATAATCAAAATACCTGCCATTCTCTTGGCAAGTCGTCTATCAGGAGTGATCTCAGCTGTCTCGTCTTGTGCGTCAAAACCGGGTCGATAAGAGATAAGAGATAAGAGATAAGAGGGAACAGCGAGCAAGTGCGGGGATGTCATCATCAACCCCAACCTTGAACCTCGACCATACAATTCAACTTGTCAACCTCTTTCGAACCCCTTCAAATTCATCGTAGCCTGCTTTATCGGGCCCAAGGATTGTGCGAGTACTAAGATCTGACCTGATATGAATCTTTATATGCTTTGACCTCAAAGTCTCTTTCAGCTTGGTCTAGGTCAGTTCAATCTTGAAAGTCATCCGACACGGAAGATCGTCTCCGTGCTCCACAGTGTCACGGTCGTCCTCCCAGCCTGCTCAGGACAGATCCACCTGGCGAGTGAAAAACCTCGCCAGCCAGGCGTGCCACAGTCTTATTTTCATGAATGATAGCAGTCGCCGGATCTCATACAGTCCACTGATGGCGGAAGCAGCGTGAGAATGGTGGTATTCGTCGACTTAGAAGATTGCAATGATGCCTTCTCCGAGAAGCATTACGACCAGCATGCTTCGCCATTTTCTTTGGAAAAGCAACCAGCACACGGAACAAAATTAAATTCCGCCGGGATCATCATACGTGCTACTACTCCATCTTTTTCCGTTTCTCCAAGAGATAATATCAACGGGAACGTGAAGCCTACAGCGCCCGGAAGTTATGCCTTCGTCACCAATCAGAATCGAGGTGCCTTTTCGGCTGCGCTCAGCTGCTATCCGTATGTAACTTCCCCCCTCAACAGAGACCCCATTCCCAATCTAGTGATTCCATTTGCTGATATGAAATTCTCTCTTTGAGCCAGTATTGTCAAGGCCATCGCTCGTGCTATTGACCTAAACACCCTCCATGCCTTGTCGCGGACGTGTCGCCAATTTCATGTTAATCTGGCCCAGTTCCGACATCAACTCATCCGGGAAACTTTGCGTTGCGAAAATGAGTTTATTGAGACTGTGGCGGATATGCTGGAGGCGGGGGCCAACGTCCCCAACAGTGTCAAATCGGTGCTCCGGCTGTTGAGTCAGAACAGCCATGAAGCGGGCAGGATCTCTCGCGGCAAGGTGGGCAAGTGCGCACGGGACATGGTGGATGAGTGTAGGCGCTGCCACAAGATCGTATGCAGGGTATGTCCCTTTGCATTACCCGCCATATAATCATCTCACATCTGTAAGGAAGAAGTCAAAGCTGACGTTGCAAACCAGAATTGTACGATAAAGCCCCCATCTCAGTCTCATATCAAGGGCCGTATCCGCCGCCTCTGTCGATACTGCTGTAATGCGCCACTTTCTATGCATTTGCCAAACGGATCTGTTCTCCCAGAGCCTCGCATGACTGGTGAAATACTTAATGTCGCAGCAGAGCTCTCGCGCATAACAGGAATATGCAATTGCAGAGACGCGGTATGGTTATGCCAGCAGTGCGGACAGACGCTACGGAGCGACGACACCACCTATCGAAGGGTTTGGGACTGGAGGACCCGATATAGCACATATCTTGGCGGCGGGCTCGGCACTGGCATTGGTGAGGGAAGCCAGGGCGTGAAATGCGGCCGCGGACAAGCTTGTCTCGCGGCAAAGGAAATCGAGCTTGAGGTTGACTGTGAGGTAGATGAAGGTGTCAGTGACGGCAGTAGCTCAAGTTATAGTCCGCCTGGCCATACATCGCATCACCACCACCACCACCATCATCATCATGACCAAGTCCTAATTGAAAGTCATGACGAAGAACCAGGCTACTTCCGACAGGAGATCGTCGGATTGGGCGGACTTATGAAACAAAAGGCCAAAAAGCGGGTGCTCGTCGGTGCCTGTGTGGTCGAATACGAAGATGAACGAGAAACTGGCAAATATCTTGAGCGGGAAGAGCTTGGAACCTACAGAGCATGGTGCAATTGGTGCTCGAGGGTAATTCCAGCGAGGAATGAGCTGTAATCATCGTATCCTACATATGGCCCTTTACGATCTTGTATAACCTGTCCTCGCGGTGGTAGTTTCACCATACTCGCGGATATTTGGGCACTTTTTCTACATAGCGTCTCTGCGAGCCGTGAGATCGATTCGTACCATCCACTCACGAATATGCAATCGAGTACATGAATTGTTCTGGTCCTAAAATTTGTGCTTATTTATGCACTGATCTCCGGTGCTGGTATGTCTTTGGAATAAAAAGGTAAGGAAGTATTCTCTTTGAAAGGGTTACCCCGCGGACTCATTTGTCCGGTCGGAAAAAAAATGTATCAATTGTCTGAGTAGTATAACAAGAAGGAAAGCAAATGAAAAAAATTGTCTGACAGTCTTGGATCAATAAAGAGGAAGCCAGTCTCATCGTACGAATAAAAAGACAGGACTCCAGGAATGCGCGCTTCTTCATGCAACTTTCACATCAAAATTCTGATAACACATATCTTGAAAACATTGTCTCGTAATCACCACTCTTCATACGTGATTCACCGTTCATCTTTCCTTCTTCTCGTTCATGTGGGCACAACTCGAGCTCATGATCACCGAAAGATACTCCCGAGAGTGTACTTAGTGAGCAGTGATGGCTCGTAGGAAGCCCTTGAGCTTACTCTGCTCCCGCGGCGGGGATTCGTCACGCTTGTGGCGGCGATGAGCCCGAGCCTCCTTGTCTTTGCTGCTCTGATGTGGACGGCGAGAACCCTCAGCTCCCTTCTCTCGCTCACGAGTCTCACGGGGCTCACGCGGTTCGCGGGTTTCACGACTTTCGCGTGGTTCGCGAGGTTTTCCAACCTCAGCTTCCACTGAACTTCGTCGCCGACTCTTCTTCTCCTTGACAGCATCGTCTTCACGTCGTGAGTGAGATTTCTCGGATCGTCCACTGCTTCGTTTTTCTTCGTTTGACGAGCGCTCATGATGACCACTACCATGGCTCCGGGTCGTAGAAGAACGTCGTGGCTTCTCCGGAGCAGGAGCGGCGGATTTGGAAGTTCCGTTGGGTCGCACGATGATTCCGTTGGTATTGGCGACGGGGGCGTTGCTCATGTAGCGCAGGAAGGCGCGAGGTTTGGGCGCAGAAGTTGATGCGTGTTTCGAAGAGGCCGTGGTAGGCTTCGACGATGATGTCTTCACTGCCTTGCTTGGTTCGGCCTCAGAAGATCGACGCTTGGACGTGGGCTTCGATTTGACCTTGGTCTCAGGGACGGCCTTGGCTTGAAGTGGTGGCTCAACTGGTAATTCTGTTTCGGTGACAGCAACAGGTGGTGCTTTCTCTGCTACCATCTCGCGCTTTTCCCTGGTGGATGAGCTTCGAGATTTCACGGACTTTTCCGAAGACGGAGCCACGCTGCGCTCCTTTTCTTCAGCCAAAGCCTGCTGTTTCTTCAAATTGATCGCTTCTGCCCTCTTCTTCTCCTCGTGCTGCTTTCGAGCTTCCTCCAAGGCTTTCGCCCATCGGTTGGTGAAGACACCGCGCTCGCTCTTCTGACGGGTGAGCTGGTCTTTCTTCTGTCCATCTGAGGAAGTCCTAGAATTGCGTCGCTCGTTCTCATTGCCGGGACGCTTCTTACGTCGGCGTGAGTTGTGTCGTGCGGCCGAGTCTCCTACCGGTAGTTCAGATGCCTCGGCAAACAAAGCCTCTTCATCGTCATGAGAGGGCCCAGGCGCATCATCTCCAGGGGGAATATCTGCAGCAACGACTTCATCCACAGAAGGAGCCGAATCACTTGGAGTTTCGGTTGTCTCCACGGGAGGTTCTGGTGCTGGCACGTCCTCCTCGGGCATGGCGCGAACAGCTTCCTCCACCACCGCTGCCTCGCTCACCTCCTCCTGCACTTCTGCTAGCTCAGACACCGGCTCGTCCACCGTAGCCTTAACAGAAGCTAGGTCGGGGGCCGAGATGTCAGTAGTCGCCTCAACGGGAGTTTCCACAACAACTGCTTCCTGTGCAGGTGACGACTCTTCGGGCAATGAGGCTACTGGAGGTTCGGCTTCTTCTAGAGACGCGGACTGCTCTTCAGTTTCTTGCGCAGCAGGAGCAGTTTCTGGCTCAGAAACGGGAGCTTCAACCGAAGTGAACTCTTCGACTCCAGGACCTGGTGCAACCGAGACCGAGACGGGGGCGATGGCCTCTTCAGCAACAGGCTCCTCAGCAACAGGCTCTTCAGCAGCAGGCTCTTCAGCAGCAGGCTCTTCAGCAGCAGGCTCTTCAGCAGCAGGCTCTTCAGCAGCAGGCTCTTCAGCAGCAGGCTCTTCAGCAGCAGGCTCTTCAGCAGCAGGCTCTTCAGCAACAGGCTCTTCAGCAGCAGGCTCTTCAGCAACAGGCTCTTCAGCAGCAGGCTCTTCAGCAACAGGCTCTTCAGTTACTGGCTCTTCAGTTACTGGCTCGTTAACTAGGCTTTTGGTCGACTCGTCAACACCAGAAATCTCGACAGGGCTTTCCTCAGGAGAAGCTTCAACACTATCGACAGGAGGAACCATATCAGCAGGCGTGCTTGTCGCAGGGTCCTCAGTGGTGTTGACAGCTTCTTCCTGTTTTTCTGATTCCGTCTCGACTGCTGATGATTCCTCTCCTGGCGGTGATATCTGAGTCGCCGCGACATCTTCCGTCGCTTGAGGCGCCCCAGTCGCTTCAGACTCCACAGACGTTGAGAGTTCCTCGCCGGCGGCCTCATCGGAAGCCTCTGTCACTGCAGGCTCTGCAGACTCTAGAGACGCGGGAGGCTCCTCTGCTGCTGGCATCTCTTCTTCCTTTGCAAGCTCCCCGACCGGATCCGCGGCCAATGTGACAGAAGCCTCTGAAGCTCCCGCAGGCTCCTCTGCTGCAGGTTCCTCAGGCGCATTGGACTCATCCGTTGCTGTAGGCTCTGCAGACGCTGGAGCTTCCTCCGCCACTGGGAGCTCTTCCTGCTTTGAAAGCTCCTCGGCCGACTCAACCGATGCTTCCTGGGCAGCTTCATCTGTCGCAGGCTCAACACTCGCATCTGCCGCAGGGACTTCCGATGATGCAATTTCCGGTTCGGGCGCTTCATTGCTCACTACTTCAGGTGCAGGCTCTTCCACTGCCGGCATAGCTTCTTCCTCGCCATCAACCGGTGCTTCGATCAATTTCTCGATCTCCGAGGGACCTGCCGATTCAGTGTTCTCAGCCTCTACAATTTCAGCGCCCTCCTCCTCCGCTGGCTCAGCCGATTTCTCTTCTGGTCCTGCCTCTGGAGTGACATCAGCCAGCGCAGGGGTTTCCTCTGCAGCTGCCGGTGTGACCTCCTCAGCAAGTGCAGAGTCGGTCGTCTCAGCGTTGTCGCCTGTCTCAGGCTGAGCAGAATCCTCACCGGGAGCTGGATTCTCATCCTTCAAATCTGCAACAACACTAGCAGGAGACTCATCTTGAACAACAGTTTCATCGTCAGCTGCTGCCTTGGGCTCTTCAGCGTTGACATTGTCATCAGAAGCGAGCTTGTTGGTCTCTTCTCCAGCTTCAAGATCCGCTGTAGGCTCGGGGATTGGTTCCTCGACAGGCGGTGAGGGCGTTGGTTCCGGCTCTGGCTCAGGTTCGGGAGCCTGGGAGTTCTTGCCCTTCTTCTTCTTGTCTTTCTTCTTTTTCGACTTCTTGGAAAATGAAGCTGAAGATAGGTCTTCGGGCTCTTCAACAGGCGGGCTTGCTTCTGCAGGCATGCTCTCATCAGCCTCAACTTGCGCTTTTTCGCTCTCGACCGGCTGACCCTCGGCTTCATCTTTGACATCGGGGATGTCAACACTCGGTGCCGAAACTGGTACTTCCGGATCGGTGGCATCAGCTTCAATCGCTTTGCTTTGATCTTCTTCTGTGGCATCACTCCCAGTCACAGCAGGTGTCTCGGCGTCAGTCGCGCCAGGTTCGATTGGCTTGCTTTCTGTTTGGTCTCCAGCTGCCGTAGTCTCAGGCGTTTCCGATTGGACTGGTGTCTCGACATCAGCCTCAACGGTATCGGCTGGTGGTTCGTCTGCGGCCCCAACTTCGGCTTCAACTTCGGCTGGGGCTGGCTGCTGCTCAGTGGTATCATCAGGAACCGACTCATCGGCCTGAGGAACGCTTCCCTCAATAGCTGTTGGTTCTTCTACACTGGCTGATTCGGTAGACACGCCCTCAGCCGGTGAAGGAGTCTCGTCCTGAGGGGGAGAGTCTTCTGCCTTCTTTTTGTTCTTCTTCTCTTTTTTCTTCTTTTTCTTGGAAGACATAGTTGGAGATTCTTCGACTGGCTCTTCAGAAGGTGGACTTGTCTCTGCTGCAGCAGTCTCTTCAGCTACAGGTGGATCATTCGCAGCTTCGAGTGACTGATCTCCGGCCTCCTTTGTAGGTGCAGGTTCTTCTGTGCTTTCAGGCTGTGCTGACACGTCGGCATCTCCCGTGGCCTCGTCGGCTGGCTTGGTTTCAGCTTCGTCTGCGACGACTGGCGACTCTGCAGCTGCGCTTTGGTCTTGTGCTTCAGTGTCCTCAGGCTGTGCGGGAATCTCGACATTGGCGACTGTGTCGTCAGCGGCGGGTGGCTCATCCACTGGCGGTACCTCTGCCGGGGGTTCATCGGTGACAGCAGAAGTCTCCTCTGGCGCGGCAGACTCCTCTGCCTTTTTCTTGGCGTTTTTCTTAGCGTTCTTCTTGGCGTTCTTCCTTGCCTTGCCTGATAGAGCTGGAGCTGCAGGTTCTGGTTCTACCGGTTCACTCGGTGGTGAGGGCGCCTCCGGGGTCGGGCTGTCATCGCCGGTGGGGTTGGCTTCTGTAATGTCGGCCGACTCGGACTCAACTTCACCTCCACCCGCGACGGGAACTTCAGCATTGGCTGCATTATCATCGCTGACATTCGTCGTATCACCCTCGGGTGTTGGTTCACCAGAAGCTGTTTCGATTGGAGCGGCTTCGGGGGATGTATGAACGTCTCCTTGTGATGGAGGGTCCTCGGACTGGGTATCCCCCTCCGCTGGGCTGTCATCGGAAGGGCCTGACTCGGCCACGGCTTCTTCAGCCGAAAGCTCTTTGGCGCCACTGTCCTCCGTGGACTGAGCCTCTACCGCATCTTCGGCGGCCTGCTTGGCGGCTTCCTCCTTTTCGGACTCTACGCCGTCATGTCCAGCTTCAGGGTCAACTGGTGGAAAATCTTCGTCTACCAGTATGTTAGTCTGAGGGCATAGAAGAAGAGCAAGCAGATGGGGGATAGTAGTACCATTGCCTCCATTCTCGTCGCTGGGTGGCTTAACTGCATCGGCTTCCTCTGTCGGGGCAGCGCTTTCGTCGCCCTTTTCCGGCTCTGTAGCTTCCGCAGCGGGCTCATCGACGGCTCCCTGGGGAGCTTCTTCGGTCTCTGAGCTCGCGGGCTGAGCCTCGGGGTTGGGTGTGTCTCCGGGCTCGACCTGGGCTTCCTCTTCTGATGCGTTTGATGCTTCAGTAGATTTGTCCTCAGCAGATTTGTCCTCAGCCGGAGATGTCTCAGCTTCAGTTGGCTCTGTGAAAGCTTTAGCGAATCCATCCTTAGTCGCAATGGTAGGTCCGGGCCCTTTGACAGGTGATATTGCGTCTTTGTCAAAGAATTCGATATGCTTACCTGCTGGCTCTGCTGCCGCTGGGATTCCTTCTTGAGGAGCTGAAGGCTCCTCTGGCTTTGCTTCATTTGTTGGTTCGGTAGCACTGGGCTCAGCCTTGTCCTGAGCATTGTCTTCCGTCAGATCATTTTCGGTTGCGACCATGGGGTAGTAGGTATATGTATAGCCATCATCTCGATCAATGGTTCGATATTGCGAGTTGAAAGATTGGTATGAATATTGAGGGAGCTCTGCGTACTTGATCTTGAACTGGCTCATCTTCGAGGCCTGCGGGAGCCGACCCGATGGCAAGCTCGTCCGGGGTATCTCCTGACTCTTGAGGTGTGTTGTTGATACCGACGGGGAGTCGATTATTATTGTTGTTGTTGTTCTTGTTCTTGTTCTTCTTCTTATTACCTTTGCCAGCCATGTCCTCGGATCAATGACGTATCATAGATTGGGACCAACAAATGGTGATGCTGACTGGCGCGTGATGCGCCTTAGAATGGAACAATAAGGACGTGACAAGCCGCTGTCAGGCTTCGGATGCAAGGTAAAGGGGGGTCTCGGTTCAGGAATGAAACGACAAGGGGGAATCTAGTAGATTCAACAAGAGACGAGAGAATCAAACGACAGCAAGACCAGGGCAGTGTACAACGTATTAGAGGATCGAACGGGGAAATAAGGATATGCTTGTTCTCGGCTGATCTTGAAGGAATGGTATTGGGCGGCCATCGTGAGGCAGCGTATAATCGTTTGCCATCCAAGGGGAGAAGCTTATGGAGACGACCTGCTACACTGCATGATCGGGCTCTGAACGTCATATGTGTATAGCCTTCATGTTTGTTGCCATTGGACCACGTCGCCTTGGGTCCATCGCATCGGTCGTCCATATCTGGCTGGGACGACTGAAAAGTAACCTACAAGACTCGACTATGGCAATGTGGGAGCTGCACGAGCTCCACTCGGAGGAGATGCTGCAGGCGGAAGCATCGCATGGTCGACTAAGATTGGGGATTGAATGGCGACACAGTCAGGATAGGAAAGGGTTTCATGCAATTCCATGGAGCCATATGGGTACGACGCATACGTGGGGTGGGGATTGTAGCCACCAGGGAAGCTGGCCCTGAATTCAGATCCGCTGTCTTGCCTTCAGCAAGAAATTGGCTTGACCCTTGTCGCGTCCCTCTACCATGCGAGAAGTGACAGTCGACTGGCCGCGTGGGGTGTGTTCAATTGATCTTTGACAGCATAGTGGGGTCAACCGACGATCTGATTCACCACTACAGAGTACAGACAGTACCTAGTCCTACTACCTGAGTAGCACAACTGCAAAGTCGCTTTGCAGCCGGTGAGGGGAGTCCAGTCGATACTGAACCACCAGCCTCTCGGCCAAAGTGAAGACGGGAGCTCGGGCGCCCGCCCTGCAACGCCAAAGTGATGCGGTAAAGAGCTTCCAAGTGTGTGCCCAACGAGGACCCGGCAATGGCGGCAAATAGGATGCAGGCCCGGCGCCTGTGGAGAAGACAGGAGAAGCCTTCTCTGCATCTCACCCAAATTCGCGATAAGTAATGTCCATGCTCGATGGATCGGATGGAGCGAACCAGGAATCAGGATGTTCTCGTAGGGGAATGTCTGCTGGTCCGCGGCTTTTCCAGATACTCCCGGGTCCAGACAGTATCACAGGCGACAGTAGGTACTGAGCGGTCTATGGAGGGTCCTCAATCCACGAAGGGAAATGGACGGGGCGGGTTAGGAGCAATTGAACTCCACTCTTCGACACCGACACTTCACCTTAGGCCGGTCTCCAGCCTCCAGCAAGCCTGAGAGGCAGGCATCATCATGCTTCACAACCAAGGTTGTTCACAGCAAGGGCGTGGATTCAAGAGAACTGACTCGGTGATCGGAATGGGCGAGACTGATTATGCATCGATCTTATGCAGCAATGCGGGAAGGAAAGCCTTGACGGTGGGATGGATGGGACGGGGGATCTGTGAATGATGCCTTGCCTGGTGGATCAGGTGATCCCCCTCGCCGCCGCCAGTTGTCCGACAATTGACTAACCAATACAAGGTCTCCTCCTCGCCGCATCATCTTTCGGACTTGCGGTCGCCAGAGAAGTAATCGGATCGCGGGTCAATGAGATTGCAATTCGGGCTTAAGGACCAGACTGGACCGACAGAGCCTGAGAGCCTAAAGGGCCTCGTCAAGAACTCGCGCCTTATTTTTGGCATGTCGCGATCTCGAAAGAGCTGCATGCATGAAGCGGAATCCAGCCCAATCAGCATACTCATGCCCACTTGCCCAGTAGTGAGACTTAGCGGCTTGTTCTGCGTTTCAACACCCAGTTCATCAATGTTCATCCCATGGCTCTCGCAACGGCGCGACCCGAGAGCGACCCGAACGCCTTCCAGCTTTGTGGACGAGCGCCTTGCTGGGTCTGGCAGAGTGTTGTACCATCATTCAAGTCTTGAGTCCTACGCATCTTTTCAAGTCTCCAACTTTGGGTCGCAATAATGGTCCACTGGTTATAGCCGAAGATCAAAGCATCCTGCAACGGGCAGGAAACCCCTGCTGTGATGCCTCATTATGGCTCACCGGAAGATGGTGAAACGTAGTCAGGCTAAAACCAAGTAGGTAGTAGTATACATGTAGTTATTTAGTACCTGAGGTACTAAGGCAGTTACTAAGAAGGACAGTAGTTAGTTTGTGCTAGAGAATACAAGTATACCTCGGGAATTTGTGTCGCTCGGCTCGACCGAGAAAGGCGTGGCTCCAGTAATATCTTTGACGATCAACAAGACTACATCGAACAGGACCGACTTTCAAGCTACCTTCGGCCCGATTCCCCTCAATCTTACCTATCTAGGTAGAATCAACCTGAAACTGAGCTGCCGAGTCAAATTCCATGAGTAACAAAGCCTCAGATGGAAATTGAACCTAGTTTCATGACCTGTTTCGCAGAAATTGATTCAACACTTGGCCTGGGAGTCTAGGCAAGCTCCGATTTCAGCGTATCAGTTACCAATGTGCAGGGTAAAGTTGAGAGCAGAACCTTCCGTCTGTCGGTGCAATGAGTATATGTAGGGAGACCAAACATGGGGATTGCATGTCCTGGTGATCAGACTGCGTCCGGATCAGAAGGGCCTTGCAGGCTGCCCAACTTCCTTTACCCTTCATCAAGAAGGAAGATGGATTTACAAAAGTAACGTGTTTGAGGCCGTCAATTCGATCGGGTATGATATGTAGTGGCAGAAAAGTCCCAGTGTGGGAACCGACAAAGGCAGTAATGGAACACGCAAACCCCCGCCCCCCCCCCCAAAAACAGAACACAGAATAATACTTCACTAGGCCATGCAGAAAGTGATATTGATAGAATAGACATGAGTCCAGAGAGTGAGACCAGCAGCACCAAAGAATGTAAATCATGTGTCGCGTTACCTTGATCAGTGGATGAACAGCCCGGAATCAAGCATGACCGAAATGAGAACCATGACCCATGTCCTGGAAGTAACGGATGCCCTTCTGGGCTTGAACACAACTAAAGCAGAGCAGAAGCAGGTCATTTCATTCGAGCGTCCATGATCTCTCTCCAGCGAGGACCAAAGGCACGCATCAGAAAAATGACCGAGCTGCTTGCAAAGCCAACCAGCCCGAGGATGGTGAAAAGCCACCCGTTGCCGATGCCACTGATCACGGGCGCTGTCACCAGTGAGCCGACGCAAGAGAAGATGTTGCGCACAAAGTTGTTCAAAGCAACTCCTTCCGATGATTTCTTCGGCATAAACTCAGTCAACATGGTAGTCACCATACTAAAAATCAGCATGGAACCGATGCCAAAGAAGAAGTTGGCAATCATCTAAAGTCAGTCACCAACTGAGTCAGCACGGAGACTCACTGGACTGGTCGAAGGTGGCAAGGAAACTTCTCATACATACCGGAACTAGCCAGTATGTGCCCTTGTCGACAGTCCACCCATACCAGATGAGGGCGGCTGGGTAGAGGAAGGCTCCAAGCAAAGCATTCTCGCGCATCCGGTCTTCGGGGCGGAATACTAGCCTCCCCTTGTCGTCGTACCGGTTTGCCTTTTTGGCCTCGCGCTGCATGATGCTGTCCATCCATCGGCCACCGAACAAGCTCGCAACCACATACCCGATGGAATTTGGAATATAAAGCAGACCGATTATAATCGTACTGAAATTGTATGGTGCTTTGCCGAATGTTCCTTCAATACTGACATTCAGGACATAGAGCGAGCCGAAAGCAATACTTGCGTAGTAAACGCTCAGCAGCACTGGAATGAATCGCAGATAAAGAACAATCTTCAAAGGATCAAGAAAGATCATTTTGAGCGTCTTCAGCCAACTCGTTGTGATTCCCAGTACCTGTCGTGAAGACACGCGGCTCAGCGTACGAGCCGTGGGCAGCGAGTCGGCTTCCGTTGTCTCCGGGAGTACAAGCTTCCGTACCACGAGCGTTTCGGGCAGGGCAAACAAGATAAAGACCAGCGTCAGGGCACCATAGCCGGCAAGAAACCACATGGTACTCCTCCAGCCCCAACGATCAGCGAGAAGTCCACCCACAATGGGGGCAAATAGCGGTCCGCAGAGTGGCCCCAAGTAAAAGATGCCCATTGCACGACCGCGCTCGCGAGGCTCCCATAGATCAGCGATCGTTCCGGCGCCCACTGCTTGAACAGAAGCGGATGCACCACCGCTCAACATGCGCATGACAATGAGCATGGCGATCGACTGAGAGATGGCACAGAGGCAGTTGAACAGCACGAAGAGCGCAAACGAAGCCAAATAGATCGTTCGTCGTCCAAGTCGTTCACTGAAGGAAGACCACCAGAGAGGGAAAATCGACATACTTAGCATATACAAGGCAATTGACAAGTTGGTGATGGTCGTCTTCGTATGCAGCTCCTTGGTCACCTGGGATAGGGAAGCTAATTGACATGATTAGGGTATGTGACCAGCCATATGAAGAAGCGAGTGACTCACGGAAGAATATAGATGAGCCCATTGGGGCCGTGGCACCTGCGACAGCCACGATGAAGGTGATGAACCATTTGAGCTTTCGAGAATAGGTCTTGGGGTTCTCGATTTCCGCGACAAGAGTCACTTGGGCCAGGAGGCCTCTGCGCTTCGAGCGTGGTATCTTGACTGCTGGACCCAGCTCAGTGACCTGTCGTGTCAGCGGCACCGGCGGCTCTTGTGACCCTTTTTCATCATCAAAGGGCACCGACGCGTTGTTGCATGAACTGGGGCGAGCAGCATGGATTCCCGGGGGTATGTCGTTGGCTTTATATGGATGTGCTCCGTCAAAACTTGACGATGGGCTTGGAAGGGGCGGAAAGGGTTCAAGGCCCTCGTCTGGAGACGTCATCTCGGCTTCGATACTGATTTCCAAGGCGGTTTCGATGCACAACTTCCAAGGATCAGTCTGATGGGTAACCGTTCAACGATCGGAGATCTCGGATTTCACAGCAACCTGCAGTCAAAGGCTGAAAGGTCAAATTTGTCGCTGATTCGACTCTGTCAACTTAACAATATCAAGCACAGATATGGACTATTCTTCCAGTATGCGTCGAGCAATAAAGATCATATCTTGCAATAGTCGTCAGTTCATGGATGACATTAGATAAAACAAAGACCGCCGAATACTGAACCGGCTGCCGATGTCAACAAGCATTCCGCCAATGACTACCCTACGTAGTCGCAAGGATCGTGCCTACCTACTGCTCTCCTTGTGGCTCCTTCCTCAAGTCGCAGTCACTGAAAGGCTGACGTAGGTCGATTATCACAGATCGAGACACTTAGTCTCTCGAGCCCCCGATGCTTATGCCAACAAGGCATGCGAACCAGAGACACGCTTTGCTTTGTAGTGCACTCTTCGAAACGGACGGTTGCATGGGTATTATTATCTGATTGAGAATTGTCGTTGCAATCAATCAGCATAATCACGCTAATTTTCCGACTGCATTCGGAAAGCCGACAACGACCGATGATCTCCGAGTCATGTAGCGCTTTTTGTTTTCCTTACGCAGTGCGCTTAATATTTTTATGTCCGCCACGGACACTCATTCGATCTTAAAGAGGGGGGTTGATTAATCAGGTAATGGATCGTGCGCTAGTCGATACAGAGTCAATGTGCCGCTTTTCCGTCGGCAACAATACGTGGGCGGGTACTGCCGATGAGAGACTTGGAAATGCACTCAACTGCGATCCATCAGTTCAATCGATCAATCAGTCGAACAGCAAAGATGTGACTAGACAACATGCCTATACAGTTATGCTGAAAAAGATATGCTGGCCATATACACAAACATTTGCGTCGGAGCTCGTGGCTCTTCTCCCGCGATTGACAAATGAGTCCAACTAATCTTGGTGCGTATCTTCAACTGAAGACTGAAGTGTGACATCATCTGCCAGTACCGCAAGCCATGCGGCGTTGTGAGCAGCTACCGCCCGCTTATCCGACTCATATGTTTTGACATACTAGGAAATCTATCCACCGAGTTCGTTCAAGCTGCGACCTTCAACGACTTTTATTTCAATTTTCAATTCAACGTGGAAGCTTTCGAGTGTCCACTTGCCACTGCGGCACCGGTGCACCCTACCTGGTCGGGCTATCGGCCATCGATTGCTGAGTCATTCGAAAGGGCCCGCCTCGGCCCGAAGTCCCTCCACGATGTGGGGTAGACAACCCATATTATTGCTTCTGTCGTTTCGAGGTGTTTCATCCGGCATTGCTCCAATCGACTGTGTTGTTTGAATCAGTGCGTCGGCGCAGTCGCCCTTCAATCTCTTCTCGAATGCGTAAGAGGCTCTTGACAGCACATTGTATCCAGAAGCTCACTACGCGGGCGATTCACCACACAAAACTACTATCCGCAGCCCGCCGAACCACTCCGAGACTATCATCTCGTGCATATCCAACCGCCCCCGCACTGCGACCTCTGCTATTCACAGCGATGACACCACCGGCCAATATCGACCCTAAGGGCATACAGGCTCATCTGGCAACATACAAGGGGGAACGCTACGTGGAGGGATGGGCATCGCTCTGGGAAAAAGGCGATGATCTGCCATGGGATCGAGGATTCCCCAACCCCGCACTAGAAGACACTCTAGTTGAGCGTGTGGGCACTGTCGGCGGGCCACTCGCACAGCGAGAGGATGGCACTTCTTACAGGAGGAAGGCTCTCGTTCCTGGGTGTGGTCGCGGGGTGGATGTACTATTGCTGGCAAGCTTTGGATATGATGCCTATGGGCTGGAGTATAGCCCAGGCGCGGTCGAGGCATGCAAGAAGGAAGAAGCAGCAAATTTGAGTCGATATCCTGTGCGGGACGAATCAGTTGGCAGGGGCAAAGTCACTTGGATTCAAGGCGACTTTTTTGACGATGCGTGGCTGAAGGCGATCAATGTTCCCCGGAATGGATTTGATATCGTTTACGACTACACGGTAAGTAGTTGCTGCTCTGATTCCTAGTCGCCTCGTCCGAGATATCCTAACCAAGTTCCAGTTCTTTTGTGCTCTCAGCCCCGAATTGCGACCCAAATGGGCGCTTCGGCATACCGAGCTCTTAGCTCCGTCCCCGGCTGGAAATTTGATCTGCCTGGAATTTCCTCGTCACAAAGACCCCCTTGCCCCTGGCCCTCCATACGCCTCCCCCTCAGAGGCATATGTGGAACATCTGAGTCATCCGGGCGAGAAGATTGTCTACAATGACAAGGGTGTCGTGAAAGCGGACCCGTTGCGAGAGCCAAGTCAAGTAGGACTCGAGCGCGTCGCTCACTGGCAGCCAGCACGAACGCATACTGTGGGCCAGGGAGAGAATGGAGTCATCCATGATAGGGTCTCAATTTGGCGAAGACGTGATTAGCTCTGCACGGGCGCCTTTGCGTTGGGCTGGGACGAAGGCTTGTGACTTGACATGAACTAGTAAGGCACCCTCGACATCGTCGCGCATGATCGCCAAATGTGCCGAGCACATCTCCGCAATAGTTAGACCGCCCGTGTCGTGAAACGGATAGTCTTCATGGAGAGCACGTCTCTATTCCTTTTTGAACAGAGCATTGTAGTGCTCGCCCAGGCCGTAGGTATGGCGATAGTATGCCAGCCAAACAACGCGTTTCTTTTTCTCGTCTTCATCAAAAGTGTCCATATCTCCACATTCGATCTTTTCCAACCGTCCGTCCTTTTGCACCACATTGATGTCCACCCCGTATGCTCGTGCAATTGCTTGTAGTTCCAACTGACCGCCCCACTCCGCAGTCAGCTTGATCTTGCGAGTATAGACGTCAATGGGCTCCTCCATGAACGCTTCGAAGTCTTCTTTATGATCAGTGATGAAGTCCGCAGTCACGGCACGAACAGCCCGATATCCGTCGTGCTGAGGCGACGTGACAGTATCGATTCGCGTTTGGGTAGTTGGCTGTAGAACGATGCGGCTGGGGTCTGGGCGTAACCCAATACCGGACTCATCTAGCTGCTTGGCAACGGCTGAGTAAAGGCAATGTCCATCCGGCGTCACCTCGACTTCTTTCAGGCCCAGCTTTTTGAAGACAGCATCCATCACTTCTTGTTCATTGCCCCTGTAGTCAGTCTGATTGGCAGCCTCCTCAGCCGCAGCAGCAGATTGGGCAGCTTGCGCGGCCGCGCGTCGCGCTAGGCGAGCCTTTTGGCGATTGGGCTTCTTGACTTTTGTAGTTGGCTCTTCGGGCGACGGTGCAGTGAGAGCTGGTTCGGGTGTGTTCAAGTTCGCCGCGGCGCTCTCTTGGCTATCATCTAGCGGATTGGTCGGTTGCTCATCGTTGATGCTGAGATCTTCGAGTTGCTCCTCAACCGGCTCTGAAGATCCGCCATTCAACTCGTCAATCTCGCTTTGCTGTCGCTCGGTGAGCTCCCGTTGCATTCGTTCGCATTCATCATTCACACCCTTTCGAGTCTTTTTGGTGGCAGACTTTTTCTTCTGAGTGATGCGACTTTGTAAATCTTTCTGCTCTTTACGGTGCTTGGCGAGTAGCTCCTCCATGCTGAGCTTAGTGGCAAGCAAATAATGTCTGGAAGCGGGTTTGACGACGACAGATAAGCATATCAACAGCGTGGGTTACTACCAGAACCTTTCCGAAATTTAGAAATCCCCGCAGCGAAGCCCTTTAGTGCCTCAGGTATCCAGGTCGCCATGGAAAGGGGGTTAGCGCCAATATAGTCGGAGAAACTCCAACTCCGCTGGGCCTCGGCTCTCCATGCTGGTCTCGGGTATCCCGCGCAAATGGGGGAAAGTAAATGGCGGGGCGAAGAATGATAAAGAATAGTTCTTCTCCTGAATTAAGACGTCTCGTGTTCAGAGACAGCTAAAAGAAAATTACAACAATGGATTCTCAAAGCCTGTTTGACGTCAAGGTACACCGAAGAATGTCACACCATCTACATGTTCTACTTGCTAATGAATGCTGCAGGGTAAAGTGGTGCTGGTCACCGGTGGCGCCAAGGGTATTGGTCGCATGATCTCTGAAGGCTACGTGACAAATGGGGCTACGGTCTATATCTCATCTCGAGATGCGAAAGCCTGTGAGGAGGCTTGCAAGGAGCTGAATGCGCTTGGAAAGGGCAAGGCTCACGCAATTCCTGCCGACTTTTACAAGTATGAGGATGTCAAGAAGTTGGCCGAGGAGCTGGCGAAACGGGAGACCAGTCAGTTATTTTTCTTGCATCAATTCTTGTCAGGCCAAAGCCTGTTGCTAAAGTTTTGGCGATCTTTCGCTGTGCAGAGCTTCATGTCCTTGTGAACAACTCCGGGTCAAACTGGGGAGCACCATACGACAAGTATCCCTCGGAGGCCTTCACTCGAGTGTTGACACTCAACTTGCACCGAGTGTTTGATCTCACTCAGCTGGTCACCCCTCTCTTGGAGAATGCATCCTCTCCTAATGACCCAGCACGCATCATCAACATTGGTAGCATCGATGGTTTGCGTGTCCCCTCCCTCGAGACCTTCGCATATAGCTCAAGCAAGGCTGGTCTCCACCACCTGAGCCGAGTGCTAGCGAACCACCTCGGCAAGCGCAATATCACGTAAGACTGCCCCGTGCTCTATGAACCTGGCTCAAGTCGTGGGATCGTAAGACTGACTAATGCGATCGCGAACAGTTCCAACACCCTTGCCTGCGGCCCATTCGAAAGCAAAATGATGGCGGCTACCCTGAAATCCTTTGGTGATGCTATCAAGGCGGGAGTTCCTCTTGGCCGTATCGGCACACCTCAAGATGTCGCCGGTGCCTGCTTGTTCCTCAGCAGCCGTGCGGGTGCTTTCATTAATGGTGCGACCATCACAGTTGATGGAGGTAGCTCGATTTCGGCTAAGATTTAGACGAACCTCAACTAGCGCGCCAAGCGCTGGGCTTAATTTCGTCACGGGAAGCAAATGTACCTGCTACGGTACTCGAGACGCTTCAGCTGTACAACAATTCCATGATTCATCAAACAGGACACAAGAATCCATTCAAGTATGCCAGATATGAATGCTCATTAGATAGAATCATGCATCAATGTGAATTCTTCACCCTACTGTTACGACTTCAGTGCTAGGTTCTCCAGAAGGTTCCAGCAAAGGTACCATTGAGGACTCAGGTACTAAGGTACCCACGATTATCCATCTCGTCGTTCGCCAGCACATCAATGCCATTCAGAAATAACCTCCACGATTAGCCGAATTCAGACGGACCAGGTATCGGGCCAGGAACAATGTCAATAGCGTTCAACAATGCGTTCTGGTTGTTCATACCAGCTGTCATCCTTTGCAATTGGCGTCTTATCAGACCCGTTGAAAAACGATCATAGTGGAGTAGCGACATCATTATCAGGGTGCATGAGATCATCGCAGTAATCAGGACTCGTTCTTCACATCCCACCATCGCATTAAGAAATATCAGACACATTTGCCCCGCCATTTGTTTTCAGACTCCTTTTGACATACCCAGATTGTTTTTCATTGAGTGAACCACTTTCAATTTCAATCAAGCGACTATTCTTCATTCCAGGGAAGTATTCTAGTTCCCGCAGTCGTTCGACGGCCGAGTATGACCACCGGATTCCCGCCCACTCAAAGAACAGCCTATTGACTTTTGCTTTTTCCCAAAGGCCAAATCACCTCCTGGTTCCTTATCGCCGCCTCACCACCCCTCCATTCGAGTCGAGGATCTCGCAGTCGACATCTCAAGGGATCCTTTAGTCGTCTCCGAAAAGTCGGTGTACGCTTAAAAACAAACCCGCATTGCGTTACGCACGATCGGAGTCCCTAATTGTACCTTCCGTTCCACTTCTCTCTCTCCGAAATTTGCCTCTCCAACATACAATGGCCTCGACAAATGGGAATACCCAGCGGGTTCCCCAGCGAGCTCCCTCTCTTGACCCTTTCTCCCATCCGGATGTCTACTACGGCGATGATGACTCTTTGGCGAGGGCTAGAGACCGCCGACGTGCATTTTCAACGGTAAGCAGCCGCGGCGCCTGTGCGGCAACCCCGCGGATCGACGACCCCTGCTCACTCAGTTATACTTTGTAGAGCGTAAAGGACTATAGCCGCGGCGAGATCTCTGAGTTATTGGGCACATTGCCGTCTCGCCGAGGAAGTCACGGTACGTGCAATGCGTCGATCCCGATCAATTGAAGCAATGTCGACGGGCAGTCTCGAGCTAACATTTGACTTGGACCGCAACAGATGAGGCCTCCGGACAGCCCCGCAAGTTTCTCATCAATGTGGACGAGACCCTCGAGGCCCTTTTGAAGCAAGAGGATACCGATCAGAACATGCAGATCACCATTGAAGACGTTGGTCCCAAGGTAAACTGCCCCGATAACGCTACTAGCCCTTGCCCATCACTAACCAGCCCAGACCCTCTCAGTGGGCACTGCAGGCTCGTCTGGATTCAACCGTGTCGACGTACGCGGCACATACATGCTGTCCAATCTGCTGCAGGAATTGACCATCGCGAAAGACTACGGTCGCAAGTCTATTGTACTTGATGAGGCCCGCCTCAGTGAGAATCCCGTCGCGCGGTTGTCACGCCTGATCAAGAATTCTTTCTGGAAGGCTCTGACGAGACGCATCGATGGTTCCAACATTGAGGTTGCTGGACGTGACACCAAGGACTGGACCGATGACCCCCGCCCTCGAATCTACATTCCCCCTGGTGCCCCCGAACAGTTCGAATACTACTCCAACATCGCTGAGAAGAAGCCAGAGTTGCGACTCGACGTGGTCATGCTTGACGCGGACATTACCCCGGATTATGTGATGAAACTGAAGCAGAAGCCTGGTCTTCTTGCCCTGGCCATGAACAAGACCGAGAACAAGGAGACCGGCGAGGCTGAATATTCCGGCGTTCCCTTCGTTGTCCCTGGAGGTCGATTCAATGAGTTGTACGGCTGGGATAGCTACATGGAGTCCTTGGGTCTGATTGTCAGCGATCGAGTAGACCTTGCTAAAGGCATGGTCGTCAACTTCTGTTTCGAGATCAAGCACTACGGCAAGATCTTGAATGCCAACCGTTCCTATTATTTGACACGGTCGCAACCCCCATTCTTGACGGACATGGCGTTGCGAGTCTACGAGCGCATCAAGAATGAACCAGATGCGCTGGAGTTTTTGCGGAACGCCGTTCTGGCTGCCGTCAAGGAGTACTACAGTGTTTGGGTTTCCGAGCCACGATTGGACCCTGTGACTGGTCTGTCTCGTTACCGGCCAGAGGGCTGGGGTGTGCCTCCCGAGACCGAGCCAAGTCACTTCATCCACGTCCTGATGCCCTACGCTGAGAAGCACGGAATGAATTTCACTGAATTTGTCGATGCTTACAACTCGCGTCAAGTGGTTGAGCCTGAGTTGGATGAATACTTCCTTCACGACCGAGCTGTCCGAGAGTCGGGACACGACACAAGCTACCGACTTGAGCGAGTTTGTGCCAACCTTGCGACAGTCGATCTCAATTCTCTTCTGTACAAGTACGAGGTTGACATCGCCCGCATCATCCGCATTTACTTCAAGGATAGACTCGAGATTCCGCAGGAGTTCCGGACGCCCTCGACTCAAGACGTCAAATTCGAATCTTCTTCCACCTGGGATCGCCGTGCGCGTAAGCGTAAGCAGCGCATGGACCAGCTGCTCTGGGACGCCGAAAAAGGTATGTACTTTGATTACGACACTGTCAAAGAGGTTCGCACCGACTACGAGAGCGCCACTACCTTCTGGGCTCTCTGGGCCGGCTTAGCGTCGCCAGCGCAGGCTGCTACTATGGTCGAGAAAGCTTTGCCCCGACTCGAGGCTTTTGGAGGTCTGGTGTCTGGTACAGAGGAGTCGCGTGGACCTGTCGGTTTGGAACGACCAAACCGACAATGGGACTACCCCTATGGTTGGGCCCCACAACAGATGCTGGCATGGACCGGCTTCTTGCGATATGGCTACCAGGAGGAGGCCGAGCGGTTGGCATACAAGTGGCTTTACATGATCACTAAGGCCTTTGTCGACTTTAACGGCGTGGTTGTTGAGAAATACGATGTGACCCGCCCTATCGACCCACACCGAGTCGACGCAGAGTACGGCAACCAGGGAACCGACTTCAAGGGTGCGCCCCGCGAAGGGTAAGTGGATTTCTCGTTATTCAGAAGTCTTAAATAGCCTAATGCTGACAACAATTCTAGATTTGGTTGGGTCAATGCCAGTTACGTGTACGGCCTCGAGTTCCTGAACGCGCACATGCGGCGGTCACTGGGTGCCATCACCCCTTACGACACCTACAAGAAGGCAATTGATTCCTCAGACACTCTTTGAGGAGAGCATTGCGACATGCGTTTTGGATCCTCGGGCATGGCTTTTTTATAGTCTTGATATTTATATCTCACAGACTTATGAAGCAAACGCCATTAAAAGGCAAGCATTGCGGATGTGATGCTTACTTGAGATGGACTTTTAGCAGGCGAAAAGGCCCCCCCCCATTCTTATTGCGTTTTTCCTTCGTTAACATGACACCTGAAATTGAGTGTGTGCACGATGTGCAGGATTCTCTCCTACTGCAACATCTTGAGTTTGCTGTATCCCACCACTCGCTCGTTCATGATTGATGGACGCCTTCCATGAAAAATAGCATAAATGATTAATTTGTTACAGAGAGAAAGAGAGTACGGGGGCCATCCTTGTCCTTCCGGCGCGCTGTGCGGAATACCTAGCAACATTTTGAGGCTTCATTCCGTAACGGTCCCATCAAATGGACATCTTATTCAATCTGACTCCTCAGTACCCAATAGAGCCATCTGATACGATAGGTGGCTGCTACGACAGACACCGGTCTGAAGTCACTGTAACAGATCGATTATCGCAAATACAAGCAGCCAAGCACTACTAGGTAGTAGGTACCTTGAGCTGAAGCAAGCAGAGATCCCCGCGTACCCACCTACATCCTTCCTGTCATGACTATTGCGCAATCCAGTACCATCCTTTATGCTGAGACTGTGCCCACGGGCAAAAAGTTTGGGTCTTTTCGCACGTGTGCAAACATCTTGCGTGTGGCTTTTCAAACTCTGTGGCTGCTTTCGATGTTACGGGATATATAGAGGCTTCGTCGTTTCAACACGAATTCCGAGGTATTTCTTCCCAGTTCGGTCTGCATGGCCGAAGAGGTATTGGGCACCGCGTTAGTGGATTCTCCAGTACCTGATTGACTTCAAGAACCCCTTGAGAATAAAATGAGGACTACTCAGGTCTCACTAGGTAGATTTTCGAGTACTATATGGATTTACGGAGTTATCTCGTGAGGTAGCGCTATCTTCTTGAAGTGAGCTTGCGACCGAGTTCTGTGACGTGACTTGTGAGTCAGTACCTCAAGATGAAATGCACGAACATCAAATCACCTCCACTGCCAGCGGACTGGGCATGTTGCAACGCGGTCAGCAATACAGATTCCCTCGCATTGGAGCTTAGCGCCAGAATAACATGGTCAAAGTCAATTTGGAGCGTTGTTGTGGTGAAATCGGATCCGGTAGAAGAGATGGAAGTAATAAGTGTCTACAGATTAAAAAACATCCAGTTCGGTCCAGACCTGTCGGGCTCACGACCCTTGTGACTGTGCAGTGTCCACTGTCCACTGGTCCAGTGGCCCATAGGAATGCCTCGTCGTAAAGGAGAGTAAACATTCAATCACCCCTGGGCGTGGTGGTTGAGCCGAGGTCCATCTGCGATGGAAACCCGCCGCCCTCACCATGTACGATTGTACTGTGTGTGCTTCCTGGAGAACAACCAGTGACAGCCCTGGAGGGTTGGAAACGTATCTGAGTCATTTTTGAGAACAAAGTCCACCCTGGAATTTATTGGTTTATCTTTCCGCTATCGGCCTTTCACACATGCCTTCTGGGATAGATCTTTGGCGTTTGTGTAGGTATGGATCCTCATAACTTCGAAGCACATCGCCCCTACATCTTCAGAGCGGGCTGACGTCTGCATGCAGTTTAGATGTATTGTACATTACTACGTAGTACGTACAACCCGATTGGTATCACAGCCCTAGATGATAGTCAGTTACTGACAGTCTGAGCTACGGACCGATCACGACCTAGTAGTATGGATCGAAAATCAAATAGTTTGAAACATTCTCAGCTCTGTTCGGGCGAGCTCCACGCGGTGTGCTGCTCACTGCTAAATGCTGATGTCTGCGACACGAACGAATTTGATTGAGCTGGAACTGTGGCGCCGAGCAGACATTGAATACCGGGGCATGACCGAACCGTATTGAGTCATGGAGTCTCATTTTCAACATGCATCGAGTAACTTCGCTGGAAGAGATCCGTACCGCGATGCCATATAAGCAACAGTAACACTGGTCAACTGATAAAAGACAAGGATTTGACACCAATGACTATCTCAGAAGCCATTTGTTGCATTTGATTCTTAGTCGGAAGCGTTCTCCAAGTACTTCAAAAGTTCAGTCCAGCCGTGTACCTCCGCAATTCCTCAAGGCGCTCCGACTCCAGCCGCATGTGAAAGTCTTAGCGTACTGTCACGTCTGTTATGCATGTGTTCAGGCGACGTCATTTAAACTTTGCCCGCAATCTCATGCCGATTTCTTCCCTGAAGATGGTCGGAATATGTTTTCTGGAAAACCTCAGGACTCGAATCCCAAAGGAAGACCAGAGTCTTTTGACATGCAAAGTGCGCAGTAAAATCAAAGATGCAATCAATCAATTTAGAGAGCACAAGTGGTCACGGGACTTATCTCATGAACGCAGATGAAGGCTTCGGCCAAAGGCACAGTACTACTACTCAGTAGTGAGTCAGTACTGTAATACGAGGCTACCAAGGGCGCCGAGCCCAGCTGTCCGTTAGACCGAGGATCTCCAAAAGTAGGATCCTCTCTTCCGAACCACCGCACCCGCATTCCGGCTTTCGGAGCCAAACTCATGAGGATGCGGAAATTCTACTGGGCATGGGATCAAGCTGACCATCTTGTTTCAACGGGAATGCCTAGGCTTACAAGGTTTCGACCATGAGCTGTCCAGCCGCTAAGCCGAGCGTTTACCGACCATGTTTGAATCTCGAGGTGACGCATCCGTGGAAGTAAATAAGTACCCCGGGGTTTCCCCCTCTGGCTTGTGAAAGAGGTCTCTTCTTTTGGAATAAAGTTGTGGGTTTTGACTTTTTAGAACTTGAATCATTGATCAAGCTTCTCTATCTTTGACTACTCAAATAAATTTATACTCTGTACTGATTTATTGTCGTGCATTGCTGATCATCCTTATCACACCGTGACCATGGGCCTACACGAAGACGAAGACCGCAAGTTTGCGGAGGATGTCGAGGCTGTCCAGAACTGGTGGAAGGACTCTCGATGGCGCTTCACCAAACGTCCTTTCACAGCCGAGCAAATTGTGGCCAAACGTGGAAATTTGACTATCAGCTATCCCTCCGCCGTGCAGGCCAAGAAGCTTTGGGGTATTTTGGAACAGAACTGGCAGGTATGAAAGCGTCTTATTCCGATACATAAGGGGTTGAGAGAGAGCCTGCAGCTTGCTAATGCCTTATATGCACGCGAGTAGAACAAGGAGGCCAGCTACACATATGGCTGCCTGGAGCCCACGATGATCACGCAGATGTGCAAGTTCTTGGATACCATTTACGTTTCTGGCTGGCAGAGCTCTTCAACTGCCTCATCCACGGACGAACCCTCCCCGGATCTTGCAGACTACCCTATGGTACGTGAAACGCGACTCAGTACGAGGACATTGAAGCTTGAAAGTGATGACACTGACCATTCTTCTGATAGGATACCGTCCCTCGCAAGGTCAATCAACTCTTCATGGCACAGCTTTTCCATGACCGAAAACAGCGAGAGGAACGCATCACTACCCCCAAGGACCAGCGCTCCAAAGTTGCCAATGTGGACTACCTCCGTCCCATCATCGCAGACGCCGATACCGGTCACGGTGGTCTGACTGCTGTGATGAAGTTGACCAAGCTCTTTGTGGAGCGCGGCGCGGCCGGTATTCACATTGAAGATCAAGCTCCCGGCACGAAAAAGTGCGGTCATATGGCCGGCAAGGTGCTGGTGCCCATCAGCGAACACATCAACCGTCTCGTTGCCATCCGCGCTCAGGCCGATATCATGGGCACCGATCTCCTGGCCATTGCTCGCACAGATTCCGAGGCCGCCACACTCCTCACTTCCACCATTGACCACCGTGACCATGCCTTCATTGTCGGTTCCACCAACCCGAACATCGAGGCTCTGAACGATCTGATGGTCGCTGCCGAGCGAGCTGGTAAGAACGGGCCTGAGCTGCAGGCAATCGAGGATCAGTGGACCACCCAAGCTGGCCTCAAGCTCTTTGATGAGGCGGTGATCGATGCGATCAATGCCGGTGCTCACTCAAACAAAGAGAGTCTGATTGAGCAGTACCGCGAGGCCGCCAAGGGCAAGAGCAACACTGAGGCTCGTGCCATTGCCAAGGGTCTCATCGGCGCCGACGTTTACTGGAATTGGGAAGCCCCCCGTACCCGGGAGGGTTTCTACCGGTACCAAGGTGGCACACAGTGTGCTATCAACCGTGCCGTGGCTTATGCTCCTTTCGCCGACTTGATCTGGATGGAGAGTAAGCTGCCTGATTACAACCAGGCCAAGGAGTTTGCTGATGGCGTTCACGCTGTCTGGCCCGAGCAGAAGTGAGTTGATTTGGGTTTCATCTTCCCCCGTTCCAGCCCTCACAAAGTTAATGGACCTTCCGTACTGACCATGTCCGTCTTTCCTGTGCCAAATAGGCTCGCTTATAATCTCTCACCCTCCTTCAACTGGAAGAAGGCAATGCCCCGTGACGAGCAAGAGACCTACATCAAGCGCCTGGGACAGTTGGGATACTGCTGGCAGTTCATCACCCTGGCTGGTCTGCACACGACCGCTCTTATCTCTCACCAGTTCGCCAAGGCCTACGCGCAGAATGGAATGCGTGCCTACGGTGAGATGGTCCAAGAGCCCGAGATGGAGCAGGGCGTCGATGTGGTCACACACCAGAAATGGAGTGGCGCCAACTATGTCGATAATCTGCTCAAGATGGTCTCGGGCGGTGTTAGCAGTACGGCTGCAATGGGTAAAGGTGTGACTGAAGATCAATTCAAAAACTAGATATTGATCCGTGATGTCGTCGATCCTTTTTTCCTTGTCCTTTTTTTCCTGGGCCCCTTTTTTCTGAGATGCAAGCTATACATGTACCTCCATATTGGCGTTTGTGTCGATTGATTCTGGACTCAATATTTTTGAATAAACTGGACTGTCGAGCAGTACCTACTACCTACTACCTACTATCTTAATCGGTCGACGCGCTTATCTTTCATTTCAGTGTTTCTCTATATACACACGCTGCATTTGCATTAAGACTTCATCTCGTATCTTCACCTTCTCAATCATCCCTCTCCTCGTCACCACCGACTAGGTATCGTCCTCGCCGACGCCTTCATCCATCTGGATGTGATCACTGAAGATTCGACTTTGCGACCGAACCGAGTCTACAGAGCATTTGCCTTATCCCGTCATTCCTGGTCTCTGTTCACTGCCATGGCCAAACCAAACCAGCTGTCAGCTTCGTCCGATACGGAGCCCGATCTGTTCGATTCTGTGCATAAATTCCTTCATGTCCAATCAGAGACTCTCAAGTGCCCGTGCAGATCTCCAGCGGGGCTCATCCGAAGCCGCGGCTATCAGTTGCAAGTTGCAAGTTGCAACTCGGAGTGCAGATGAACTAAGGATGAACGGATGAAGTAACTTAGTGATATGCGTTTGACCGTACTATCAGGTATCAAGTTGAGTTACTCGTGAACTTGTCCAGACTGTACAGTAGGAGCCCTCCAGCTGGACGCGAAGTCATATTGGCACAGAGCACCGTGTGAGAGACCACGGTCGGACCGGGATGACGGTTGTGTGAGGGGTCGAGGACTTGAATCTCAGTACGCTTTGTTACTCCCGCTGGCTTGCGAAGCTTGTTTGCTTCGAGTATAGAAACTCAAAGTTCGTGAGAAGTGTATTGACATCGAGGCTCCTCTGTAACAAGCGTCCGCAGCTGTATATACTTTATTCGACTGCAAACGTGCATCAGTTGCAAGGTTAACCATGAGATGGTCCGAGCTGGAGAGGTCCTAACCCAAAAGGGGAGTGACAAAGCAACAAGCGCAATTGTCCGGCAAAGCCAACCCTTTTTGAGCAAAAAGAGGCCGAGCATGCGCATGTGGCAGCCCCGTGCGGAGAACTTGGCCCTGCGTCTTCTTAAGAAAGGGACACTCCGCCCACCTGAAGAGGTCTCGACCCTGTAAGCTTCTTCTGGGAAATTCTCCATTGCGATCGTTCGATTTCTCCCTCGGCTACATCCTTCTGATCCCTTATATATACATAGATCTATCTATCGCAGACTCGATCGGCAGCTTGCTTCGATTCCAAGATGGGTGTTCAACTACCCGAGCTGCAGTTCACTCCGCTCGAGGCCATCCCCGCGCGCATCGCCACCGCCAAAAAGGCATTCCTCGAGAACCGGACTCGTGATGTCGAGTTCCGTCTTGTCCAGCTGCGCAAGCTCTACTGGGCGTAAGTCATCGAGAAGCTATCATTCAAACATATCATGGTCCACCTCCATGCAATCGGGCATCCGACGAGCTGACACCATTCGTCTCATCACAGCATCAAGGACCACGAGGAGGAGATCGTCGAGGCGTGCGCCCAAGACCTGAACAAACCTCGATTCGAAGCCGAGGTGGCCGAGAGCGGTTGGATGCTCAACGATATTGTCTTTACGACTCGCAACTTACACAAATGGGTCAAGGATGAGAAGGCGCCCGACATCGAGCTGTCCTTCAAGCTCATGAGTCCCAAGATCCGCAAGGATCCCTTGGGTTGCGTATTGGTGATTGGGTACGTGTCGAGCTTCCGATGGAAATTGGGTGCGCTCCCTCCTCCATGGAACCCAGACTAACGAACACGACACCCGTCATGGAAACAGTGCCTTCAACTTCCCCTTCCAACTGACCATGGGCCCCGTCATCGGTGCCATCGCAGCTGGTAACACGGTGATCATTAAGCCCTCCGAGAATGCGCCCCGCAGTGCCGCTGTCATGCAGAAGATCTGCGAAGCCTCCCTCGACCCTTCATGCTATACTGTTGTGCAAGGTGGTGTGCCCGAGACACAGGCTCTCTTGGCCGAGCGGTGGGACAAGATCTTCTTCACGGGCGGTGCCAACGTGGGTCGCATCATCGCTAAGGCTGCCGCGCCTCACTTGACCCCCGTGGTCCTGGAACTGGGAGGTATCAACCCAGCTATTATCTCCAAGCATGCTGACCCGCGCCTGGTTGCGCGCCGCATGCTTTGGAGCAAGGTTCTGAATGCCGGTCAAATCTGCACGTCGCAGAACTATCTCCTCATCGAGGCGGAACTTGTGTTTCAGGTCGTGGAGGAATTCAAGAAGGCCTACGCAGAGTTCTACCCCAATGGCGCCAAGGGCTCGCCTGACTATTCCAAGATTGTGAACGAGGCTCACTTCCAGCGTCTCAAGTCCATGCTTGACAATACCAAGGGCAAAATTCTGCTAGGCGGAACCATGGATGAGAAGACGCTCTTCATTGAACCCACTGTCGTCCTAGTCGACTCCGTGGAGGACTCATTGTGCACACAGGAGAGCTTCGGTCCTTTCATTCCTATCTTACCAGTCAAGAGTCTCGACGAGGCAATCAGACTTGCCAACGGCGTTCAGAGCACCCCTCTCGGTCTATACCCCTTTGGTAATAAAGCCGAAGTTGAGAAGAGTATGTATTGATCTAACCACCCTTGGCCGCTCTAACACAGCGCTAATCCTGGCCTCCAGTCATCTCCTCCACGCGCTCGGGTGGTGTTTCTTGCAACGACGCCGCTCTGCACATTCCTACCCTGCAGTTCGGTGGGGTGGGTGAGAGTGGTAATGGTGCCTACCGTGGCCGTGCCAGCTTCGACGTGTGGGTGCACCGCCGCCCGATCACTAGCACCCCAAGCTGGCTCGAGTCCATTTTGGCCATTCGCTACCCTCCATACGCTGGTAAATTGAGCAAATTCAAGGCCGCCAGTGCCCTAGCTCCCGACTTTGACCGCAGCGGCAAGAAAGTCACTCTTGGCTGGTTGCGTTATATTTTGACTTTGGGTGGTGGAAGCGCAAAGGCTGGAGCCAGCCGTGCCGCCGTTGTTGCTGCCAGTGAGTAAATCCCCGTAACATATTCCGTCGGCTTTTTCTTTTCAGTGTTCCCTTTGTTTTGTTTCTCCTCCTCCTCCTCCTCCTCCTCCCTCTTTTGACTTGCTTTCGAATGATTCCAATTTCTTCGCGATTTATGCCCTTTCATCTTCCCCCGTTTCGCAACATGAGCATGTCTTGCTTTTCCTATGTCTGTCAAAGTTCTGGGGATATCTCTTTCGTTGGATACGAGAGAAGAGAAGATAGTGACCGCAATTTGTGATGGGTATATGTACTCCACCCGCTTGATATTGATCAATTGCCGTGGCACCCTTTCGTTACAACTTTCTCACAACGCACAGCCGGTGATTTGTTGGCCAGCACACCGACTTTGATACCGTGTTCCCTCTGCATTCCATTTCAATTCTCTTTATCCCCTCCCTCTCCTCCCTTTTCCCTAATGTCAAGGCCGATTCCAAGCTTGAAACTGCCGTTCAAAAACCCAGATGGTCCTCTAAATGATTAATCATAATTGTTGCGCCCCCGTTACCAATTTCGTCAGAGCTGCTATTCACATCACTCTATACCGCACCCTATCAGCTCTCAAACTCCCTAAAAGAGTCATTCTTGATGATGATCATTCTAACAAAATCCGCTAAACCTAGTTGCCTACTTTGTCCTCCAATTCCTCGAAAAGAGATCGTCGAAACTCTAAATCACCCTCAGGTGGTGCAGAACCCGATCCAATGGAGTGCTCTGGGAGGAAGGTTTTACTTTACATTTCATATTCTCGGATGGAGAATCGAACCCCAAAATTTGAGGGAGATTGCTTCGCCTTTTCAAGTGCAAGCACTTAAGGTTACCGAGGGGATTTCATGTGACTTACTTTTCTTCTTCATGGCTTGGTTTTTTTTTTTCCTTTTTTTTCCCTTCTTCCTTTTCTGACTTTCTCGCGAACCTGCTTCGATTCGACTGTCTATATTGACCATTCAATTTTGTAAAAGTTCTCAACTTGATGATTATACGAGTCTCGTACAGTAAAGAGACAAACTCCTATCCTCGCTCAGGCCATCGGACCCCTCAGATCGACAAATTGGCACATGTAAACGCGGGCGTCGTCGATCCCGCATAATCGGCAATGATCGCCTCAACCGCGGCATACAGTCCAGGCCCAAGCATGAACAAACCCACCATCGTGACAAACACATTCACCAGAGACAGAATTGTCCGTTGCGGATCAGCGAACAGTCTTCCACGATTCAATTGCCAATAGGCCACGGCAAAGAAAAGGAATCCGAAAAAGGAATCAAACGCCGCTCCGAGCAAGGAGAGAAAGTCCCCCATGCTGGGGACGACTTCTGAAAAGATAAATGCGATCACCCAGATGCCGATCATGATCAGGCTCCAAACGGTCCATCCGATGAAGGTGTTGCTGTGCGAATGGCGTGACTTGCCGAGGATCTGATTGTAGATGAACTTGGCGGTGACATTTGCATAGATCACGCCGATGATCAGGGTCGGCACGATGACGAAGCCGAATGAAGCTTTCTTGTATGCGACGACCCCAGGCTGCCAAAGGCGGGTGCTGTTGCGTATTGTCCGAGGTAGTGGAATCCAATGGCTGGGGGCCACGATGAACAGAACGCCCGAGATGACGGCTAGGACAGCGAGTGCTTTGGGAAAGTCCTGCGGACGTTCCATTTCCGCGATGAATGTCGGGAAGAGAATCTGAGGCACCCAGAGGAACGTGATATTGAGCACGGCGTTCATGCATGCTATCCACGTTGTGCCGGGGAGAGGGAAGGCGTAGGTTTGGACGGGTCCGTCGCTGGGGAAGTCGCCATTGTAGCCGTATAAGGGGCTTTTTTCCATACCGGCGAAGACGAGGAAGAGAAGAATTGCGATTCCCATGCAGGCGGCTACGGGAGGATGTTTCCGCGGGGTCAGAAGGTTCTTCCCTCTGGGTGATGGGGCAAAAAAAAAAAAGGGAAGAATGCAAGGCCAACCACTTACACGAGAACATCGACATGAAGCTCACATGGCGCAGAGTTCTGGGGGCTGACATGACAATGCCCATGATGGTGACGAGTCCCGAGAAGAGAGCCGTGCAGATGGAATGGTCAGACAGGATGTTGAGGACTTTGGCTCCGGTGAGAACGTGGAATGCGATCAATATGATATTGTTGGCTTACAGCATCAAGGCGGAAAAGTGGAATGCCCATTTACTCTGACCAAAGGCATAGTATCCAAAGTCACCTACATGGGGCAACTCCTCCATCGATTAACAAAGCTCTGCACCAGAAATTTTCGGCTCTGCAGCCTCATGACTACGCGTCTGTTGCTGTCATGCGGGCCCAGGTTAGGTTACCGGTTGCGAGAATCTGTGGGTATTTCATGATGAACTTGTGCATGGTGATTGACGTGGTCCAGAACAGAGCCCCAGAGAGCAACATGGTGATTATTCCCGGCACCCATCCAAGCACTCTGTTCACGCGTCGATGATTGTGTCAGTCTCCCGAATGTGACTGTTTTTCCATCGAGATATCGATTGTACGGGGGATCGTTTTTGTTTCAACTCACGAGAGAGACCACGACTGGGCCATGATTGCCAAGCAGACTTGGTCACCAGCTAGAAGCACTGCTGTTTTCTGTCAGGACATGGTGCACAACTGAATGTCATGTCTATGATCTGCGACGCCATTCAAAGGTTAGACTAGAAGCCATTTGTCACGTCGCAAAGAGATCATCATCATCGTCGTCGTTATACCTTCGGCCACGAGCGCAGTGATCGTATCCACTGACGCTGATTCATCGAGTTCTGTGCCCTGGACATGACCAAAGTCCTTCTTGTCGTCGATCTCTTTGAGTCCAGACATCTTGATTTGTCGGGTTGTTGTTGTTGTTGTTGTTGTCGAGAAACCTTGCCGGCGAAAGAATCAGAGTTGGAAAGACGGAAATTGACTGTGCGCAAACAGAAGGTCGAAGGATCTTGCTCAAGTGAAGATATTGAAGGGACAACTCAGGAACACATAATGCTTTGGAGGGTACTTCACGGGGACAGAAACAACAAAACGAAGAAAATCACGGCCTAGATCGACTTGGCGAATCGACCTCTGATGAAATCTAGCAAAGCTAACCTGAAATAAAAAAAAGTCCAGGAGGATCTTTCTCCACGAGTGCACTCACGGCGTGAGCGGCTGTACGTCTTCTTACCGTCAAACGTCAGGGCTTCCATGAGCACGGAATACATAACGATGGCGTGCACATTTCAAGATTGGGCCAAATCGTGGGACTCATGCGGCTTCGGGTTAGACGGGATACCTGGTCGCTACTTCTGCCCATGACCAATACTCACCGTCAGCAAGCAAGCTACCATGTATCCGTGGCCCCCTTGAAGTCTCATCGGCTTTGGTGGAGCGAATGCTCCATGCATACGCGAGGCATTCGTAGCCGCAGCCTGTACATTGAAAACTGCCGTCACCGATGCAGCTGAAGATGGCTTGCTTGCCTGGAAGAGCAAGTTCGTAGCCGAAGTGCCACTGGTATATTGGCGTAGGCGGGCTATGTGATGGCCCATTGGTATGGTTGGTATGAGGATTCTCGCTATCTCATCGGGTTGTCTCGAGGGCCTATGCCACGTTCTTTCCTACGAGAGGTCGAGACGCTCGACTGAGGACCGATTCGATTACATCAAACCTTGTCGTCGATGTATGAGACGTGCCCGGAGCCGTATCTGGTTCGAGTCGACAGCATGCAAGAGGGAGACCAACTGGCTCGAGGTGGATGGGGGCCTTGATGGCGCAATAGTCAAGCAAATCACGAGATCGGCCAGTGTCACGCGGGACTCAGTTACTGGGTAGTAAGACCTCAATATAGATACACTAACTACTACATACCGCATACTACATACTACACACTCTCTATCGAAGTAAGGTACTGAAGCTTCAGCTTTCAGCCGAGGAGTCGCAAGTCGCAGCTCGCAGCCTGCTTGGCACGGGAGCAGTGAGCTGATCTGATCTTATCTGTCGAGACTGACGGTTGGGCACCTTGGCAGGGTTGGCTTGAGCCCTGGAAGATGCACCTCTCGAGTCCCGTGAACGCTGAATTCGAGGTTTCGTCTGATTTCGCTTAATGCTGATCTCGTATACCTTAGCTTGGCATACCAATGCTATGACGCAAGGACTGTGTCTGTGCAGAATCAAGAGGGTTGAGTCGAGTCGTGTGTAATTTGTGCCGATGAGAAACGTCTCATCAGAGCTCAGATCCTTTGGAGTAGGTAGTACCTGGTACTGTAGGTTCCAGCAGGAAGACATCACCCAAAAAAGAAAGTAGAAAGGGAATCACAGGACCGACTCTCGATGGGCAAAGATTCCCCGACAGGCTTGAATTGCGTTTCTTGCTTGAGCCCAGCCGTGGCGGAAGGTAAAAACAAGGTCAAGACTCGAGGATCGAGCGTTCACGTGGTAAATCATGTGGCCAAGCACTGCGGGCGGTCACGGTTTTGGAAAGCGTCCATCTTCATCGAGTCCATTCTGGCTATTGTACATGAAACCTAGTCCGTGCAGTCTGATACTATACTCTACGAGGATGCTGTATGACGGAACATCCAAGATGCATGTCACGGGTAGCCCAGACATTCGGATCCATTATGTGGAATGATGTACTTGCCTCGTGTTTGACCACCCACCGGCTACCTGAACGGGCTACACCCATAGCCGCAAAGCTATCGGTGCAGAACTTCAGCCTGACAAGTCGCAGCATTCCAATCGCCCAATGTTCACTTCCACTTGGATGAATTTCACAGGTACGCTTAGATCGATGAGGCCACAGAGTACCTACTAGATGAGCATGCGAGAGGGCCAGCTTTGCTCTTCTGCTGGATAAACAAAGATGGGACAATAAATGTTCAATCGAAAGCTTCTTGGTTCAAGATTGCCACTTCCGGCAATCTCCCGTTGCAAGGTGATATAGAGTTTGCAATAGACTGTTAGCTTTATGACCATTCCAAATTCCAATCGTATCAATCGCCGAGTACGCTGGACCATCACCAACTACTCTCCCCCGTGAATCGTGATCAACATCGCCGCTCCACACCGCGCTTGCTGATACAAAGATATTTCACCCCCTTGTAGGGCTTCACACTCTCACCAAGTCCACGGCTGCGCCGCTGGTCGACCGTGAGGCTCTCGACCTTGATGCCAGATGGGAGCCAACCGCGCACAGCAAAAGAGACGGACGCCGAATTCGGCATCAGACTGGCGTTGATTTGGGCTTTTGTCCGTCGCGGGGCGGAACGGTGCGTAGACGAGGCGGGTGTGAAGAAGGACGGGAGCTGTGTTGACGAATTCGTAGGCGCAAGAGTTTGTGCGATTTGTTGGTTGGAGGAGTGGCGGGCAGCCGTCTTGGCTTCAGGGATTTCTTCCGACCCATCATCAGCAGGGGTCTCGCCGGTCTCTTCAGTGACACGGGACTTTTTGCTCGACGACTTCTTCTTCTTTTTCTTCTTTCCTTTGGACGGGTCTCGTGCCTTGCCGCTTCTGCTTGTGGTCAGGTCATATGAAGCTGGTGCCTCATAGTACCCTTGCAGAAGATTTGTATCCGCATCTTCATCCTCCAAACTATCATCCAATTCTTCGTCGGGTGAGGGATATCCAGAGACCGTACAGCGTAGGGTAGCGGTCCCCGTGATGGTCCCGGCATCTTTACCCGTCGGCACTCGCCATTCCAGCAGACCAGTGGCGTGGGTGAATTGTGCATCACCGCGACTGGCCTGCATGTCAGTGATGTGTCGTACAGACTTAGAGATAGGCACCGTGACTACAACTTCCTCCAGGACCGGCCCAGAAGACGTCCCGCTACTACCCCCGAGGAACGATGGAGTCGAGGTACCAGACCCTCCACGAGAGGCCGTCGACCGAGAGGCAGAAGTCTGGCCCGGAAAATTTGTGTTCAGAGTTAGACGAACCTCAAAGTCGGCTCCAGTAGAACCTAATGACTTGCGGATATCGACAAGCGCGGGGAGGAAGAGCTTCTCCATGTGGCTCGGTGCTTGGTCAAGACCGGACTCGATTGGCAATAAATCAACTTCGTATCCTGCGAGTATAAATCGCCCATCGGGAGGTACAAAGCTCAGCTCGCCTGGTCGCTCCCGCCAACGTGCAAGTCGCACACAAGGATGGAATACTGGCAGTTCAAGCTTGCGTGCGAGTGATTGTTGGCCCCCCGGGGTCGATAATGAAAGCAGAAGATCCGGGACCCCAGATATCTTCGCAGTGAAAGCGATCGTTCCGGACGCTATCGCGGAGAGTACTCGACCCGAGGGAGCCACTGTGACGGATAGAGACTCGATAATATCGACGTAAAGCTCATTGGAGGTGTGCCGAACGCCGGAGCGCCGCCAGGGTATTGCGGGACCTTGGGACGCATTGGCTGCAGCTAAGGATTGTTTGAGAGGATTTGTACTTCCAATTGTCGGTGTAGAGGAGCTACTTATGAGAATAGCGTTAGTCAAATGCCCTTGCGATCTCGCAGAAGTCCCAACTCTTGATCCTTACCCGGGCACATTGATCCCACCCAAGAGCTTCCCCATCCACCCGGGCACCTCCACAACTTCTTGGAGAACATTGGGTTCTGTACTGCAGACTATTCCTCCATCGCAGATTTCATGAAGTAACTGCGCAACGACCTCGTAGTTCGCCTGGATCTTGCTCGAGAGCAAGGGCGCGCCGACGAATTCCTCGAGGATGTCAACAACCCGATGAAGGAACTCTAGAACCAGAAGGGGCTCTGTGTCCACCTCAGATAATGCCAGAAATAAGAGATTGGACTGTACGGTAGAGAAGACCGTCACCGGAGGTGTTGTTCCAGGAAGATATATTAATGAAGGACGTGGGGCAGCATGAGCAAGATAGAGGGGCAGGATGGCCGCGGCCGATGGCGGGCGGGATCGGTAGACATGCTCAACGAGGGGGGCGCTAGGTGGGAAGTGTCAGTCAAATTGAAAAGCCTCGAAATCTTCAACTTGCTTACTTATGCTCGTCAAATATGTAAAGAGCATCAATCTCGCCACTCATCGTGAATGCTGACTGTAACCCAGACCTCGATGTCGCAAAGCTACCGGTAGATAGGAAGCTGTTACGATCTGCCGTGAAGCTCCGCCTTGCGCCTTTTACTGATAAGCACGATAAGCTTTTCTCTCCGTGTTTGAAAAGTGTCTGGGTGCCTCCGGAAGTGAGTGAAGCCGTGAAGCATAGCAGCTTAATCACCCAATCAAGCCTTCCTCTGCTTCTCTGAACTCTCCTCCACAAACCCTGCTAATTTTTCTGGCACCTCAATCTTCAATGTTTTCCTCCTCCGAGCCAGAGATCGTCAGCGCAAAGCAGGCTATGAAGGAAGACCAATGGGACGACTGCATGAGTTGCCGAGTCACTGGTAAGTCTACCAACCTTTACTTGGCCGTTTCCCTCCTATGTTCACAATCATGACGCGATTTCCTCAGGCTCTGCTGCGTTCGTCGGTCTCGGGGTCTATAGTTATTACACTGGCATGAACAACCTCCGAAAACAAGAGAAAGCTATCATGCAGGGTGCAACCAAGTACAAGATGGGATCACGCCGTTTGGGTATTGCCTCAATATCAGCCAGTCTGGTTGGGCTGGGAATCTGGAGGGCCTTCAACTAGCGATGAATCGCCTTCCTGGATTATGTATTTCAGCTTAGGGCTCTGAGGAGTGAGGCTATCTATAGCGCAGGAATTTTATCGGAATTTCAAGTACCTTTTACCCGTACCTTTTACCCGCAGCGGGATTGGGGAATCAGATATTGGTGACATGGAGTAGCTAGGCTATTGTGATAATAAGGAGCTGCCCACACCGGGTATCATCAGCGCGTAAGAGGTCTATATGCTGTGGATAAGGTATATGGGAGTGTGTATAAATGATGGAGAAAGGAATTCCAACAGAGGAGAGAAGACCAAACATGGAAAAAAAATTACATGATTAAGGAAAGGAATCGAAAAGAAGACAGTTTATGCGGACAACAGTACAATAACAAAAACTCGCCGGTGTGAGATCCAGACAGAATAAGAATATGCAGGAAGTCCGAAAGTATGCGAAGAATCACGACCTCCAGGATGCACCACCCCAAAACACCCAAGTATCCAACTCGCTGCTGTATGACAATCAGAAGGAAATATTCGTCATCTCGTCGAGTCGTAGAGTATCAATAATTTGGCAGATCTTTAGGTGAACCGGCCACGTTTCCCACCGCTCGACATATTGTCCTTTCCGCTCGATAGATCGGAAAAGTCAAAGAAGTCCGGAAGTGGGAGCTTTCTCTTAGAACCCAAGTGTGTAGGGGTCTCTCGTTGTGGAGTTCGCGAATTCACGTAGGCATGCGAGTGGGCATGACGTTGCGGGCGGGGCGTTCGGGGTATCAAGGGGACGTTGACCGGAGACCGTTCTGGCAATGGAGACTTGGAATCGTCTGTAGGTTGCATGTCTATGTCAAGCTCTTGATACTGAGGAAAAGTTGGGCCGGCAGTGAATGTGAACATAGTGGACGATGCAGCAGTCTCCTGGGGTTGTGGCGCGGGCGAAATCATGTCAGGCTGAGATGAGGGCTCTGTGACGGCAGTAGCGCCAGGGACAGGCAGCTGACGAGATAGTGTCTCTGGGCTCGACGAATCCGCATAAGTCTTTGTTGACGCAGTAGTGGGATCAGACTTCTCAGAATCGACTCGGTCGTCGTCTTCACCTGTCAGAGACCCGGTCCCATCACACTTTGCCGTTGCCCATTGTCGCACTGTCCAGCCCTCTCCATCGTCCAGACCAAGATTCTCCTTGTCCAAAAAATGAAGTAAGTCTTCAATGGCATCTTGATAACCAGCAGAGCGTGCCCGAGCCTGATCACAGACGGCGTTCTTGTAAAGATTGGTGACGGACAAGGCAGCCGCTTTAAAGGATTGGAGCAGTTGTTCGGATGGCTGCGGGCGAGGAGTCGAGGCCGGCAGCGAGGTGTTCAACGACCTCATTGAATCCATGATAGGCCAGTGGAGCAAAGTAGCGCTTGATGTAGGGCTAAAGTAAACGCTTCAGTAACCCTCGTTATAATGCGTGCCAGGTGACGTGGGCTAGTCTTTCAGAAATGGGACGACAGTGACACCAGATGAAAGCTTGACAAGAAGGCAAAGAAGAAATATATAGAACAAGAAACTCAGATAAGACTTCGGTATTGAATTCGAAGTCGACGAAGTTCGTCAAGTAGCCTCGTTCGAGGTCTCGACTTCTATGACTGCAAGCTCTTCTTGGCTGAATAGAGGGGGGTTTGTACAGGTACCCGACACTGCAGATGATCATCTTTTGCACTGACCTGGTAACGTGACCCCACATGTGGGGTAATATGTTTTTCCGAGGCTTTTGAGAAGATAGAAAATCACGTGGTAGGGGTATCGACCGATGTTGAGATATTCCGGTGATGAGTGTTCTCGGGAGAATTATGATCCGGCTCTGGGACCCGAATATGTAATCTGGGCGGGCGGTGAAAGGGAGCTGAGTCATCATTGCATGGAACCGCCGGCGAGAGCGGTACCAATCAGCGCGTACCTGCTCGCCGCGCTCTTTCCGACTCTCTGGCGCGCCCAGCATCATTCTTGCTGTTTCCTCATTTTGCGGCCTTTCAAACACGGAGGTGAGGCAAACGGTTCAACGCGCACTCTCGGTTCAAAGAGACACTTGGACTTCTGAAAACTCTCACATCATTGGTCTCTCTGCTGCTAAGAGCTCTCTAAAATTCACTTCCGATACGCGACCAACTCACTGCGTTGATCGCGATTTTGATTCTATCGTATTGATCCTTGCGCCCCGAGCGCCAAACGTCGACATGGCACCAGCTTCGATCGAATCGCCATCTCAGACAGATACCCCAATGACCGAAGCTTACGATGATGCCATCCCATCCATTCCTGTAGATAGTGCAGACGCGCCTCAGGTATGATTTGCCCTCCATTGCTTCCGTCGCTTCTGTCGCGTCCCCACGGGCAACTAGAGGCATGGTCCTCTCAGTGCTTTTCTTCTGCTTGACGGCACCTTCTGTGTTTCTGTATTGTCTGACACGCGGATAGAGCTACCAAGATACACCTGATTACACGGTAATGAGATTTCCAAAAACCCGTGCAGCGTGAGAAGATATAGCTCGAGACTGACTGGCCCTTTTGATCAGGATTCGGAGACAAATCCAAACACGACTGCTAGTAGTGTCGCAGGCGACCTACAGGCGGACGGGCGACGACGCAGATCAGAGGCCACGCAGCTGAGAAAGAGTATATTGGGAAAGAAGCATGGTCGCTTAGATGAATCGAAGGTGACCACACCCTCACATCTAGCTAATGACTCGGTTCATCACTCATTATGCCATCTGATATAGGACGATGATACCATCCGACGCTTTCGCTATCTTCTTGGCCTGACTGATTTGTTTCGTCACTTTATCGAGACCAACCCGAACCCTCGAATCAAAGAGATCATGGCAGAGATTGATCGTCAAAATGAGGAAAAGACTGAACAAGCTCGGAAGGGCACATCGCGCTCTGGTGGTGCAGGTGGAGAACGACGTCGTCGAACAGAGAAGGAAGAGGATGCGGAGCTTCTCCAGGATGAGGTGCGGGGCGGGGACAATACAACTGTATTCCGCGAATCTCCTGCTTTCGTGCATGGCGAGCTTCGAGATTATCAAATCGCTGGTCTGAACTGGCTGGTGTCACTCCATGAGAATGGCATCTCCGGTATCCTCGCCGATGAAATGGGTCTTGGAAAGACGCTGCAAACCATTTCTTTCCTGGGCTACCTTCGATTCGTTTGCGATATTACTGGGCCGCACCTGGTGGCTGTGCCCAAGTCCACCCTTGATAATTGGAAGCGCGAGTTTGCGAAGTGGATTCCGGGCATCGACGTGCTTGTGCTGCAAGGCGACAAAGATGAAAGACAGCGCCTGATCAACGAAAGACTGGCAGACGGAAACTTCGACGTTTGCATCACCAGCTACGAAATGATTCTTCGCGAAAAGTCCGCTCTTAAGAAGCTTCCGTGGGAATACATCATCATCGACGAGGCTCACCGTATCAAGAATGAGGAATCATCGCTCTCACAAATCATCCGTCTGTTCAACTCCCGCAACCGTTTGTTGATTACTGGAACTCCCCTGCAAAACAATCTGCACGAGCTTTGGGCACTTCTGAATTTCTTGCTTCCGGATGTCTTTGGTGACTCGGAGGCATTCGATCAGTGGTTCTCCGGTCAGGACTCCGACCAAGATACAGTCGTGCAACAATTGCATCGTGTCTTGCGTCCCTTCCTGCTCCGAAGAGTCAAGAGCGATGTGGAAAAGAGTCTTTTGCCGAAGCAAGAGATCAACTTGTACGTTCCACTGGCTGACATGCAGCGAAAGTGGTACCAAAAAATCCTCGAAAAGGACATCGATGCGGTGAATGGTGCAGGTGGGAAACGCGAGTCAAAAACGCGACTACTCAACATTGTCATGCAATTACGCAAGTGCTGCAACCATCCCTACCTATTCGAAGGTGCCGAACCTGGTCCACCATACACCACGGATGAGCACCTGGTGTACAATTCTGGCAAGATGGCCATCCTGGACAAGCTTCTCAAGCGAATGAAGGCCGATGGCAGTCGCGTCCTTATTTTCTCACAAATGAGTCGCGTTCTTGACATTTTGGAGGACTACTGCTGTTTCCGCGACTATCAGTACTGTCGTATTGACGGCTCAACGGCACACGAGGATCGCATTGCTGCCATTGACGACTACAACAAACCGGGGTCTGAGAAATTCATTTTCCTCCTCACTACACGTGCTGGCGGACTAGGTATCAACTTGACAACTGCCGACATTGTAGTTCTTTTTGATAGTGATTGGAACCCCCAGGCCGATTTGCAGGCTATGGATCGTGCGCACCGAATCGGTCAAACGAAACAGGTCAAAGTGTTCCGGTTCGTGACCGAGAATGCGATTGAAGAGAAAGTTCTAGAGCGGGCGGCCCAGAAGCTGCGTCTAGACCAACTTGTCATCCAGCAAGGTAGGGCCCAGCAGGGTTCTAACAAGGCTGCTTCAAAGGACGAACTGCTCGGTATGATCCAGTTCGGGGCCAATGATCTCGTCGAGAAGAACGCCACCGATTCCACTTCAAACGATATCACCGAAGATGATTTTGAGGCTATTCTCAGGAAGGGCGAGGAGAGAACAGCCAAGTTGAACAAGAAATACGAGTCCCTGGGCATCGATGACTTGCAGAAGTTTAGCTCTGAAAGCGCCTACGAGTGGAACGGCAAGGATTTCACCGATCGCAAAAAGGACATTGGTATGACATGGATCAATCCTGCCAAGCGTGAGCGTAAGGAGCAGTTCTACTCCATCGACAAGTACTACCGTCAGGCGTTGGCTACCGGTGGCCGCACTGCCGACACCAAACCCAAGGTACCTCGTCCGCCAAAGCAGATCACCATTCATGACTGGCAATTCTTCCCGCCCGAGCTACAAGAGCTACAAGCGCAGGAGACAGCCTGGCATCAAAAGCAAATCGGCCACAAGGCGGAGCTGCTGGAAGGCCCAGAAGAAACACTCAGTGAGCGCGAAGCAGACCGGGAATTGGCCCAATACACCATCGACAACGCCCAACCCCTCACGGAGGAAGAACAGGCCAAGAAAGCTGCAATGACAGAAGAGGGCTTTTCAACTTGGAACCGGCGTGACTTCCAGCAATTTGTCAATGGTTCAGCCAAATTCGGGCGAACAGACTATGAAGGCATCGCTACGGAGATTGACAGCAAAGATCCTGACGAGATTAAAGAATATGCTGCGGTCTTCTGGGAACGGTACTCCGAGATTGAAGATTACCCGAAATATCTGAGGGTGATAGAGCAGGGAGAAGAGAAGCTGAGAAAGATGAACCATCAGCGCAAGATGTTGCGTAAGAAGATGGAGATGTATCGTGTGCCTCTTCAACAGCTCAAAATCAACTACACCGTGTCCACCACCAACAAGAAAGTCTACACTGAAGAAGAAGATCGATTCTTGTTGGTTATGCTTGATAAGTATGGTGTGGAAGGCGACGGTCTGTTTGAGAAGATTCGCGACGAGATCCGTGAATCCCCTCTCTTCCGATTCGACTGGTTCTTCCTGAGCCGCACGCCCGTCGAGATCAGTCGTCGCTGCACGACACTACTCAACACCGTGGCCAAAGAGTTTGAGTCCGATGCTGACGAGACCAAGAAGAGCAAGGCCAATGGAGAGGGCAAAGGCCGCGGACGCGCCCGTGAGGAAGAAGAGGGGCAGGATGACGCAGCACCTGCAAAAAAGAAGGCCAAGAACGGCGCCGTGGTAAGTTCTTCGGACTTTGTGTGAACAAGCTTCCATGTTCCGGCACTGACGATCGTTTACAGACGAAACAGGCCAAACCTGCTAAAGGTAGCAAAGCTTCGTCTACGGCGACCTCAAGAGCGGCTAGCGTTGCCAACGCACCAAAGTCTAAGTCTAGGAAGCGATGAAACACTACGCACATGCACAAGTTCTTGAATTGAAAGGTCTCACTGGGCGGAGATGAAACGGTCGGCGTTTGCATATTAAGAGGGTGCATTGACGACAATTGCTGTGTCGTGACGAATTAAAAGATATAGAGAGTGAATCAAGGCTTATCTCGAATCTTTGCGAATCTACCATATCACACATCCCGCCCGTAGAACTGCGGCAGCAAGCGGCCGTCCAGACTCGCCTGATACACCACTGCCGATCCTACCACCGAGATGGTCTTTTCTTGAGCGTCACTCGCCGCTAGTGCCCACGCTAGTCAAGCCTTGTGAATACGATGACGAAAGAGCATCCAGTGCAGGATAGATCATTTTGCGTGTGCAAATGACATGTTACAGGCAACCGCCCCGCTCTGTGGTGCCTGCACATCCGCTCTCACTAAAACGATGATGCATCCAAGCTTTCAGCCAAGCCCAACTGAGCAGCGAGCTTGCGCAATCATGGTATGCTCAAGGCCCCAATGGTGCTCTGCATGGTGTACACAACTTGGCAGACCCGAGCGATCCTTGTTCTACATAAACAAGGCCTGAAGCTTCTGCGCTGAGAGCACCATCACAACTTCTGTCTCTTTGCCATGGCTGCTACTAAGATCAAACTCATCACCAACCCACGCTATCAGCGGTCGGGAATCAAGTCGTATGTGTACCTCATGCGAAAGTATGGCTTCCAGCCAACACAGGAAGGACCCTATGTCTTCGGCACAGTGATGCAACAAGCTGGCCGCCAGTACACTGACAAGCCGGTCGGAGGTCGTATTCACCGTCATCAGGTCCTGCAGAAAAAAACCGCCGACCCTGGCCAAGTTGGAGAGGTCGGCGCAGATGATGTGCAAAATGATTCTCTTTACCTTGCGCAGATCGGTATTGGTACGCCAGCGCAGAATTTGACTCTTGACTTTGACACTGGTTCAGCTGATCTATGGGTAAGCAATAAGTGCGACCGTTTCTATTGCGTTCCCAGTCCGAGAAATATGGACTGATGTCCATTCTAGGTCTGGTCTACCAAATTGTCTTCGAATATCTTGTCATCAAATACCAATCACCAGATCTTTGACCCCAGCAAGTCCTCAACCTTCCAGAACAAGGATGGCTCGACATGGAAGATCTCGTACGGAGATGGCTCCTCTGCCTCTGGTACAGTAGGCAATGACGATGTTAACATCGGTGGCTTGATAATCAAGGGTCAAGCTATCGAGCTGGCAGACAATCTCTCTGCCCAGTTTGCCAGTGGATCGGGTGACGGTCTCCTTGGTCTCGCATTTGGAAACATCAACACCGTTCAGCCTACCCCAGTGAAAACGCCTGTTGAGAATATGATCTCTCAGGCTGATATTCCCAAAACCGCTGAGCTCTTTACTGCCAAGCTGGGATCTTGGCGTGATGCGAACGAGCCTGACAAGGGCGAGTCCTTCTATACTTTCGGGTTTATTGATCAGGAGACGGTCACCGCGTCAGGTGAGGAAGTTCATTACACGCCCGTGGACAACAGCCAAGGCTTCTGGATGTTTGATTCAACTTCCGCTACGGTCAACGGCCAGTCCATCAGTCGTCCAGGCAACAAAGCCATTGCCGACACAGGCACTACTCTCGCCCTTGTGGATGACAGCACCTGCAAGGCAATCTACGGTGCCATTGAAGGAGCTTACTATGACAATAACAGTCAAGGATACATCTATCCCACCAACACCGCTTTGGACAAGCTTCCCGTTGTATCATTTGCTGTGGGCGACAAGCAGTATGTTGTTCAGAAGGAAGATCTTGGTTTCGCGGAAGCCAAATCAGGCTATGTCTATGGCGGAATTCAGAGTCGAGGCAACATGAATATGGACATCCTGGGTGACACATTCTTGAAGGGAATCTATGCTGTGAGTTTAGATTATTCTTGCACTCCGTGTGTCTCGCAAGCAACAGCTAACCTTTTATCAGATATTCGATGTTGGGAACACACAATTCGGTGCTGTGCAACGCAAGGAACTTCACCAGAATCTCTCCGCGCCGCCTCAGTAACTCACTTGAACTTTCTGACCCGCCCGTTCTTGAAAGAGAGAAAGAAACTTCGGCAGACGCTGAACAGGGTTTGAGAGACTGTTGTTAATTTTCAACCCAATCACGCACACATTTTTCACAATAGACAATTCATCCAGCCTAGGCTCTTGGTCGAGAAAAAGAACTTGCTCGCTCGAGGACCGAGCTGCCGTAGCGAAGAATGACAGACAGGCTGTGCCTGGAAACTACTTCATTATTACTCGCTTCTTGATTGCACCCAGTGTCCCCCAGTTGTATGTGCTCTCAGCAAACCCCATGAGCTATGACCTCTGAGTCCGCCTCTTCATACGAGCGACCTTCATGCCAGTTCTTTGAAGAAGAGTCACTCCATTCCATTCAATTCGGCGTTCGCACGTAGAGAATGACTGATGTCAGTCAAACGCTGGACCAATCAAGCACAGGCTTGATGACCTTGCCAGCGTGCAAATCCTCCAAGGCCACATGCAGCTGATCTGCCGGATAGACTTTAGCTAGTCTGTTCACTGGAAACTTTCCTTCTTCGTACCAATCCACTAATAGAGGCAGCAGCTGGGTAGATTGCGATAGGTTAACCGGGGTTCTCTCAAAAGGCATTGGAACCTACTCACCACAGCTGGGTCAGCGGCGCCTTCAACAGCGCCTACTACACGTTTGCAATTCATCAGAAGATCCAGAGGCGAAATATTCACCGACGCTGTGACTGGTGGCGCCCCAACGATTGCCAGTATGCCACCATGACCGAGCGCTCTTATGGCGGATTCCAAGACTGTACCAACTCCGGTCGTGTCAAGGATATGGTCAACTCCCTCTGGAAAAAGACTGCAAATGCCTTGGACCAGATCTGGCAGATCTTTTGTGTTCAGTGTGCAAGACGCACCGAGTGATTTCGCCAGCTCAAGCTTTGAATCGAAAAGGTCAACCGCCAGAATGCTCTCAACGCCGATAGCTTTGGCAGCCATGAGGGCAGATAATCCGACTGCCCCCATTCCTAAGATCACGAAGCGACTTGTGGGGATGGGCTTCAGCACGTTCATGACTGTCCCTGCGCCAGTGAGGTATCCGCACCCGAGAGGCGCTAGTGAGGCTATATCTGATTCCGAGAGCGCAGAACCGCGGTTGAGCTTCACAATTGAGGTCTCTGGCACAATAGCTAACTTAGCCATGCAAGACTGTCCGAAGAATTGTCCGCGAATAGGATCTCCATTGGGAAACGAGATGGGAGAGTCTGAAATAGACGGTCCGCGGGCACCGGCTATGTTGATCTCAGTAAATCGAATGCAGGACCCTAGGCTTCCTGACTTGCAAGGTCCACACTCGCAACATGTGGAAAAGCTGAGGAGAACCTCGTCGCCCTCATTTAGGGAATTTGTGTTGACACGGCTGCCCAAGCGACGAACGATGCCCATGCCCTCGTGACCCAGGACTGCAGGAAAGTCACCGACTGGTATACCTCCGGACTGGACAACGATATCCTAAAAGTCGCAAAGAGTAAGTCATTCTGATCCGGTGTGTTCATGCCTTCTTTCAAAGCACAAGGTAGTGACTGACCGTGTGGCATAGTCCAGTGTACTTGATCTCCACAAGTACTTCGTTCGCTCGTACTTCGTCCAGAATCACATCCTCGAGCAGGAATGGGGAGCCAGGTGACCGGACTACAAAAGCCTTGGTCGCTATCTGTCCGTCTGATCCCATAGTGAATTATCGGGACCCTCGGCTCAAGTCGCACTTTCCAGTGTGGATCATACAAGGACAAGAGGAAGTAAGGTTGTAAGCTATGAAACGGAGGAGGGTTGACACCAGTGGCAGTCTTGACGCCGGTTAGAATGCAGTGATGCAGCAGAGGTCACTTAGGTCGAGAGCCTGACCCTTGCTGGCATTCTGCACGCTTAAGTCATTGAGCGAGGCGCCAGACCGTGGCTTTCATTCACCACAGCGATTGCCGTGACCGATCGCTGTCGATCCCGCCGCGAACTACCCCTCACTGACAAGACTTTCGGCATCAAGATACGGCAAACGTGGATGGCGCTCATTTTCCTACAGCGAAATTGCTAGGATCAGCCGTAGAGCTGAGCTAGCATTTTCAAAGTTAGATTACCTCTCCTCAGAAGTACTTGGCCGTCAAAAGACGGAAGTGGTAGCATTCCTGGTGAGCTATGACCCGTTGGTCGTCAATTTCATGTCTATGGCCTCTAAGTCTAATATACAGAGGTATCGTCTCAAGCTGCAATATCGTACAATAATAAACCTACCAGACTCGGTCCTTACTCTTTCTGATGGGCGCAGACATGGCCAGTGGTGTCCGCAAAAACATTTCCATCAAGAGGGCCGCGGCAACGCTGACATTGAGACTGTCAATACGGGCAGGATCCGCCTCTACGCCCAGGTGGGCGCTGTGGCGAGCTCCAGGGATGCTGACGATCGAATCGGCGTGCGACTTGATATGAGTGTTCAGTCCGGTTGCCTCGCTTCCCATCATGATCACACTCGGCGAATGCAGCGTAGGCAGCACTTCTTCGCCTTCTGTTGTTGAGCGATCGAGATATGTTGCACCTGGGCCGGGAGCGTCGGCAGCGTAGAAACGCCATCCATTCTCTTTGGAGCGTTTGATGAAATCCACCTCATTGGGGGCGTGTAGCAGGGCCATATTCTCTGCTGCGCCGGCCGAGGCCTTGATGGTCACAGGGGAGAGAGGAGCTGACTGCCGCCCGGCAAAGATGATAGCGTCGATGCCGAGATAGTACGCAGAGCGAATAATAGCACCGATGTTTCCTGAATCCACAACTCCATCTAACAATAGCACAACAGGGTATCTGTGGGAACCTCGGCCAGAGCGAGAATCCTGAGAATGTAGGATAGGGATGTGGTCAACAGTCCCATTGACAGCAGCTTCTTCACGTGACTGGGCCGCGAGTTCAATGCGGAAGTAACTCTCCGAGATAGAAGTGACCTCATGAAGACCACGGATGGGAAGTCTAGGTAAAGGCGAGGCTTCAAGAACACACCCATTATGCGGACGTCCAGCGGCCATCTTGTCCATCAGCCGGTCCCAGCCAGCGAAAGCCAATTTGATCTCGATGTTCTTCGAAAGGGCCAGCTTTCGCAGGGCTGCCTTCGCTGGACCGAGATCTTCACCCGCTCGTTGGTAGAGGTACAGCTTGTATAATTTCCGCCTGCCACATCTGAGCGCCGCTTCCACCGCGCTCGTCCCATAGATGAACTCGGAGGCTGGGCTTGAGTAAGGTATTGACTCGGGAACTTTGACATTCTCTTTGACACGCTCGGGCATGCCATCCGTACGGCGATAAGAAGATGGCCCACGTTTGGGCGGCATTGGTTCTTCTGACGAATGCGACATTGGTCTCGGTCTTGTGTATCGGTCCCTACCCCTCAAATCATTGCGATCTTGGAGATCTCGTGGCATACCCCGGAATTTTCCAAAGCGCTCGGCGTTGTCAAAGTCTTGTTTGGGTCTGTTCGGTAGCCCACCGTTCCTGCTTCTTCGGTCCTCAGAATATGTAAGCGGTGCTCGGCGATCCTCAAGACGCGACCTTTCCTGTCTTCCTTGAGCACGGGGCGCCCTGTCGAATGAGCCCACGCTTTGCGACCTGCGAATGCCGCGGCCAATTGCTGAATTTAGTGACGCATGGCGTATTGTTTGGCTTGCCGACAGGTTTCTCTGTAAAAAGAGACCTTGCGAGGGGAATCCCAATCTGGGCATTTTGGGGAGCATCATGTCCAGCTGTCCGGTTTTAAGATGATCAAAAATGAGGCTGAAAGGGAACGTAAATTTGTCCCCAGATAAACGTTAAGTCTTATCGGGAGAAGATAGCTGCCGGACTAACACACAAGTGACACATCACACGACAGCCTGTGACCTTATCGATAAGGAACGGGAAACAGACGCGTCTTTCGTGTATGAATCTAGAAGTTAATTTATGATACGACTGATCGAATGCCTTACTCGTCAATTGTCCCTCTTCGCTACGACATCCGAAGCTCACCACATTTTTGTGTCGACTATCTCTCACCTGAAAATTACCCGAACTCTCACAAAAACCGCGTATGACCTCACACATGACCACTGCCTGGGCTTAGCTGGCCTCCACATCCTGCAGTTACTGCCAGGATGGAATACCCGCATACAACGCAATCGCCTGGCTCGGAAGATCCTGATGCCATGGTAGCAGAGCTGCTGAGCCAGCTTGAGAGCACGGCTCCGGATCAAGCTGCTGCTGTTCTCGGTTCTGAACCTCACTTGGAAGCCGAAGATGCGTCCAGGGCAGAGGAGAAGGAACCTCTTAAGTCAATTTCGATTGAGGTTCATGTCCCTCACATCGATAACCCCGAAGACTACGAATTTCTGCCTGGTCACTTCAGGGTCCGGCATATTCTGCAGATTGATTCAAGAAATCCAGACCGACCAATCTACACGGTTCGACTCACAAGTGGAGAGCGTGCAACTGTAGGTCTCGCGATCTCATAATCAATTCTACCTTCTACATACAATCGACTTGACTCGACCCTACATTCGACGAACTTGGAAAACTCATATTTCATTCTCAACAGGTTCCACGCGATACATTTCTGAGCCTCGAAAACAGTGCTCGGGCTTTGGATGAGTTTGTGCCGGAATCAGACTCAGAAGACGAACTGGTAGCTGTGGGGATGAAGTCCCGCTCCTTGAATCTCGGCGGTGATGGCGCCGGCAATGGCAGGCGAGGTCCAAGGTCTGGAGCATCCGCTCGGCGCCGTCCTCGTGGCTCGACTACCCGTGGGAGTTACGCAAAATACTTTCAAGCACCTGAATCCTCTAGCTCCGAAGAAGAGGAAGTGGAATCTGGCAACGAGCTTGCACGGCGCTATTCAACAAGACGCCGTGGCGTGGTCCGCGCGGGCAGAAGGGTGATCAAATCTTCTCAAGACGAAGACGAGGATGATTCTTCTGCCAGAGTAGTGTCGAGAAGCACGCGCAATCGAAGAAGTGGCCGCCGAAACCTGCGAGAACGACTGGAAGATGATCTTTCTGAGGCTGGAAGTGAGGCCCCGAAGCAGAAAAAATACTCAGGCGCCCGCGAAGCATTCCCCGAGCTCCCACGAGACGACGAGTTCCGCCTCAGACATTTTGCATCCTGCTCAACTTGCAATCTTTACGAGGACGATGATGTCCGGGGTCCTCTGGTCTTCTGCCAGGGTTGTACCTCGTCTTACCATCAACAGTGTCTGGGTCCCCGTAGCAGCAGAGAGCACCTTGTCACAAAGATCGACGAGAAGTACTTTGTTCTACAGTGTCGCCGCTGCCTTGGAATCTCGCATCAAAGACATGATGTTGCCCCCCACCTCGGCCGATGTGCTGTTTGCAGGAAGGATGGTGCGATGTCACAACCACTGAAGGAACGTCTCTCATCAAAGGAAGAACAGCAGCAACGTTTGGCAAATGGTGGCGAGGACCCCATCACCTCTGTGGATATGGCTCGGATCAACAATGTCGACGAGGTCCTTTTCCGGTGTGCGAGCTGCCAAAGGGCTTTTCATTTCGAGCACTTGAAGACGGATGATATGCAGGACACTACGGAGCTTGTGACTCACTTCACCACCCATTGGCAATGCCATGAGTGCACAAACGCGCCAGGAGATGTTGAAGGTTTAGTTGCCTGGCGACTGGAGGAGAAGCCCGCTGGCGCCACCAAATTACCCTCCGCTGAGCTCATACCCGAAGTAGACAAGCAATATCTTATCAAGTGGAAGCAAAAATCATACTTCCGCACAACCTGGATGCCTGGAGATTGGGTGTGGGGCACAACCAGTCTTCTGATGCGTCGCGCGTTCTACAGGTCTCCAAAGGCCCGCGAGCCCATCTGGACGACTGAGGAGGCAATCTCCGAGGATGATCTCCGGGTTGACATCGTCTTCGACGTGAACTTCTCGAGCGAGACGTCCCCGGAGGACTTTGACAAACCTGAGCAGGTGGAACGAGCATACGTCAAATATAAGGGCCTTGGCTATGAGGACTCTGTCTGGGAATCGCCTCCGAACATCACAGATACTGCCCGATGGGAGGACTTTAAGGTAGCTTTCCAGGATTGGTTGAATCGGGAAGCAATCAGCCCTCCAGACCGTCAGGTTATGAATAACCACCTGGCCAGTACAAGACGCCTGAACTTCGAGAAAGACTTAGTGCTCAATACCCAACCTGAAATGATTCGTGGTGGCCAGTTGATGGACTATCAGCTGGATGGCGTCAACTGGCTATACTATATGTTCCTGAAGCAGCAAAATGCCATTCTGGCAGACGATATGGGCCTCGGGAAGACCGTCCAGGTCATTTCACTCTTCGCAACCTTGATACAAAAGCATTCTTGCTGGCCCTTCTTGGTCATCGCCCCAAATGCTACGGTCCCGAACTGGCGACGCGAGATTAAGAGATGGGCGCCTGACATGCAAGTTGTTACCTACTTTGGGTCAGCCTTTGCTCGACAAATGGCGCATGACTATGAAATGTTTTCGCAGCATGGCAAAGATCTCCGTTGTCACGTCGTGATAGCCTCTTACGAAAGCATGCTCGATCAAGAGGCTGAAAAGGTTCTTAAAAAGGTGGACTGGGCTGGACTGGTCGTTGACGAAGGGCAGCGCCTCAAGAACGACAAATCACAACTCTATGGGCGTTTGAGCGGCATAAATTTTGATTTTAAGGCGCTCCTCACCGGCACCCCCTTGCAAAACAACATTCGAGAGCTCTTCAATTTGATCCAGTTCTTGGACCCGAAGAACATTGCGGACGATATGGAAGCGCAATACGGCAGTCTCACGGCTGAGAATATTCGATCTCTCCATGACATGATCCGCCCTTTCTTTCTGCGTCGCACAAAAACCGAGGTTCTCCCTTTCCTGCCTCCCATGGTGCAGATCATCATCCCGGTTTCGATGTCTGTCCTGCAAAAGAAGTTGTACAAGTCGATCCTCGGGAAAAACCCGCAGCTGATTCAGGCGATCTGCAAAAAGCAGACCAGTGAGCTGAAGAAGACTGAAAGACACAACCTGAATAATATCCTCGTGCAGCTGCGCAAATGTCTCTGTCACCCTTTTATTTACAACAAAGATATCGAAGAACAAACCCATGATCCCCAATTGGCTTTCCAACGTTTGGTGGAAGCCTCAGGGAAGCTAAAGCTACTGAAGATCATGTTGCCGAAACTTCAAGAACGTGGTCACCGAGTGCTGATTTTCAGTCAGTTCTTGGAGAATCTCGACATTGTTGAAGATTTTCTAACGGGTCTTGAACTGCGTTACTGTCGGCTTGACGGGAGATTGACCTCTCGTCAGAAGCAACAGCAGATTGATGCATTCAATGAGCCGGGTTCGCCTTTCTTCGCATTCCTTCTGTCAACCCGTTCGGGTGGCGTGGGTATCAATTTGGCCACTGCGGATACTGTCATCATCATGGACCCAGACTTTAACCCCAAACAAGACATGCAGGCACTTTCACGTGCTCATCGCATCGGTCAAAAGAATACTGTCTTAGTCTACCACTTGACGACCCGGGCTACGGTTGAAGAGAAAATCATGCAGAAGGGTAAGAAGAAGCTAGCACTTGACCATGTGTTGATTGAACGCATGGAGGCTACCGAAGACGAGGAAGACTTGGAGTCTGTTCTCAAACACGGAGCTCAAGCCTTGTTCAGTGACGATGATTCTCCCGATATTCATTACGACGCCGATTCTATCAACGCTCTGCTCGACCGCAGCCAGGCAGAACAGACCAAGGAAGCAGCGTCAGATACCCCGGTCTCTAGCGAAGCCCCCCAATTCAGCTTTGCGCGTGTCTGGCAAAATGATCGCGGCTCTCTCGAGGAAGTCACGGAAACCGAAGAAGCAGACGTTGATGCCGCTTTATGGGAAGGCATTCTTCGTGAACGCGAGCGCGAAGCTGCTGAAGAGGCGTATAGAAAAGCCGAAAGACTTGGTCGTGGCAAACGAAAGCGCGCTACTGTCAATTATCAAACTCTTCGTGAGGAAGAGGACGATGATGCTGTTGGGGAAGCCAGCTCGGCTTTACCTAGTCCTGTCAAAGCACGTCGAGCTCGCGACAACGATGCTGATTTTCACAATATCGAACATCCTCATGATAGCGACTCTGACGATACAATGATGGATGGAGACACAGCAATCCGACAGACTGGATCCACCAAAACTGCACCATTCCAGCGCATTCAATCTCCGCCGGCTGAACCCCAGCCAAATTTCGATTTAGATGGCGCCTCCGACTTGCTACCTTCTTGCATCGCTTGTGGTCGATATCACTTACTTGGTCGATGCCGACTAAAAACGGCCGGGGTTGAACACTGTCCACTTTGTGGCTTAGCACACTTGGGTGGGCGACGTACTTGTCCCCATCTCCACTCGGAGGACCAAATCCGCCTCATGGTACAAGCTCTCAATCAAAGCCCTGAGAATCCAGAGATGGTCTCCTTTGCGAAGAAATATGCCAAAGGTATTCTCGGTCATCTGCAAAGTAGTCGCAATAGATTGTCACAGCCCATTATCCCCGTGCAGGCTCCGCAACCCCGTGCTCCTGAGCCCGTGCCCGAGCAGCACCAAAACCCCATGGCTCATCCTCAGCCACAAAGCGGGACAACTAGCTCCCAAGCTTCTTGGGTCTTTGATTTGACTGACTGAGTCACTCTCATTTTTGGTGCACATAGGACCTGGCATTTGCTTCGATGTGCACCCGAGAGTGTGCATGAAAGTCTTGAATTTCTTGACCGTTATTATGGATACACACCCTGGCAATCTGAATGTGCGCCGGGTTCCCTTGACGTACTCTTTGCAGTTGGCGCTTTCCAACCTCGTGAATGTTCGTCTTGGCTTTCTGGGTTCATGCAATCCTTGACTCGACAGTGTTTTTTCCTCTATTTTCCCCCACCAGCGATGATTTCAGATACCCACTTAGCTTAGCATGGAAGCCCCATTTTGCTTGGGCATTGGATTATTTACATGATGATAGTCAATGACTTCCACGTAGATCTAAACGGCACTAGTTTGCAAGCCTTCAGTCTAGTCCTGCGTACTACAAGCGATCAAATGAGTCTCATCCCTTACTATCTGTAAATTATTCCAAAAGTCTTGGTAAAGCACAGCCAGAGGTGGGCTCTACCTGAATTTTTGAGGCGGGCGTTTCTATACGCAAGAAATGTCTACATGCTTCAATCTAAGCCGACCATAATGAATGAGCACTTTGATCCCATAAAACATTCAGTTGAACCGAACTCCTCTCACATGTGAAAATACGGCAATGATATCTTAGGAGAGATGCAGCAATCATCACCGATTCAGCCGAGTTGCAAGCTCCTGATGAATCGGTGTTTGTGGCAAGAGGAGAAGAGCTACCGGGGTAAGTAGCCTTCGAGATGGGTGGTATTGCACGTCTGGAGTGACAATGATGTCTCGGCTTGTAATCAACTTCGACCTAAAATGAACTATGACTCATTGTATGGCTTTTTGATGGTCTGTTTGCAGCATCCCTAGTCCCATTGAAGAAATTCAGCGAGTCTAATACATACCCATCGTCGTCCTCGTGTTCTCACATATAATGCTGCGTAGGCCAGCATACCTAAATATGATCGACATCATACCCAGCTAAACTCTCTGACTCTTGATCCTATATTGCCAACTCTCATGAACGACAGCAAATAAGGAGGGTAAGTGGGTCGTGTTGTTCTTATACTATGAACAAAGGAATGCGTCCAATAGCACTGGCGGCTTTCACTGCCAAGTGCATATGAAGGCCTTGCTGGAATAAGCTACAATTAAACCCCATATGAGATGCACATTAAGCGACGCGCCTTTTCTCAGTTCATGTATTGCGCTGGCCGATAAGAATTTGTCTTGAGCTCTGACCGTACACGACCGCTGAGAAAAGTTACCGATCTGAACCCATATTGAGCCCTCTCTATGTGTGACGTGAAGTCGACATGAAGTGGAGGCGTGGCTCGGTTGATCCTAAGTGGCAGCCACAAAACATTGCCATGTTTTGATACGATGGGAGGCAGACAAGCTCTTTCAAGCTTTGCTTGGCACAAAGGCTATTGTTTGGGACATATCGAAAGTAGTCGAGGTACATCAGATCATGCAGACATTTCCATTTTAAGGTCAAGATAGATAGGTCCCTGAAGTAGGTTCTAAACACTTTAGACCTCAAAAGGCCAGTAGGGTCGTGTTTGCTCGACGAGATTCGGAATTCCCCACGGGCTAGGCTGACAAGCCCGTGAACCGTATGCCAAATTTTCCATATCCGATTGTTTTGGTTCTGCCGCCTTCTGTGTTGACATCGTCGCGAGGTTCCAGGAAGTGTAGCAAACAATCAACATGCTAGCAGACTAGTGCGTCTTGCCTTGGGTATAAGAGTCTCCCATCTTTCACCTTTCACCTCTCTTCTCCTTTCCTCCCTCCCTCTTTTCTTCAAACCGATCCTTTCACTTCACTTTTCAAGTTTAACATCCTTGCAGCTTAACAGCTTTCCAAGTCATCTTTCTCTATTCACGTAACATTTTCAAATTTCAGTTCAACACACGTACACTCACTTGTTCCACTGCTGAACTTCTTTTTCATCGATCACTTCCAGGCTTTTCTTCAACAAGAAGCATCACACATATCCTACCCCCTCCAATCTGCTTGTTGATTTCCAACCTCAACACTCCTGTTGAACGGTACTTTTCACACATACACTCGCCCATCCTACCTTGAACCCTTTTACTCCACCTCTAAGCACCTGTCAAGATGTCTCCCACCCAGCAGCATTCCACTATCCTGTCCCGTTTGAATGACAAGGGAGCCCTGTCCTATGTCACTCGCCCTGACGGAAGCATGTCACTCATGATTGCTCTCGATGATCTGCCTGACAACATCAACATCGTAGGCCTGCCTCGCAACTTGAAACACTGGCAGACGCAGGACATGATCGACCTTGGTTTTGCTCCACGTCGCGAAGAACCCTGGCGAATCCAAATGAGTCGCAACAGAGACATGGTGAATATCCTGGAATGGGTGACTGCAAACTCTCGCAGTGTCCCTGATCGCCATGTCAATGCTGCCCGAAGCATCATGGCCCGAGGACGATCCCAGGTTGCTGGCGACGTTGTAAGTCAACACATCGGCCATGATAAGACACAAGAATATCAACTGACTCAATCAGCGTCTGCAGAGATCCGGCCAGAAGGTCTACTGCAACTATTGGGTTGCAAATGGCCAGTGCATGTTCGTGCAGCAAGGTCCGTTCCCATGTACACTCGTAGCTTTTCACGACTTGGACTGACATGAATTCAAGGCTGCCAGTACAAACATGAGATGCCGAGCACCATTGAGACCCTGAACAAGCTTGGCTTCACGGAGATTCCGTACTGGTACCGCGTCAAGTACGGTGTGCCAGCCCTCAACCCAGACAACGAGGGCTTCGACCCGGACAACCGCCGTAACCGAAAGGGTAAGCAGCCTGTCCGACGAGCCATCAACAGGGCCGTCGCCTCTTCCATCGAGGCTGCAAACTCCTCGGAGGAATCTTGGACCTCCCCTGAGTCCAGTCCCTCTCCCACCGGACTGTCCTTCAGCATCGAGGCCAGCAATGCCCCTGTCCGTCGTGTCGACAAGCCCGCCAAGCCCACCTATGTCGACAAGGCCACCGATACCGGCACCGACAAGGCCACTGATAAGGCCACTGACAAGGCCACCGACAAGGCCACCGACAATGTCAACGGAAAGGTCAACGGAAAGGCCACTGACAATGCCAGCAGCACTGGCACCGATGATGGCAGCCCTGCCAAGGGCTTCGTCGACATCTGGGGCCGTTGGGTCAACACAGGAAGTGAGGACTACTGGCAGAACGGCGAGTACAGCCGAGGTAGTGCCTCTGCTGCGGACTGTAAGATACTTCTTAATTAGTTCCGGTGTTGTTTTGCTCATTCAGCTAACATCCACAGCTGCCCGGGTCACTCCCACACTCGCTGAACGCGAGTACTTCCGTCATGAGACTCGTGAGAAGCTCAAGACTTGGAAGCTCCTGGCCGGGTCACAGGCTGTCGGACCCAATGAAGACCTCCGTCATTGGGGGCCCATTGGTCAGCCTGTTGTTCGCAAGGCCAAGTAGTCCTCGCGCTTGGCACTGACTGGTGGCGTCAACGACTCTCATCTTCATCTCTGTACGGAGTCACTTCTTTACGAAGTTGCGTTCACCTCGGATCGTGGATGGTCACCTGGCAGTTTCTTGACGGGCTTTGGATTTCTTTCCGTTCTTGTTTGAGTATTTCTTAGCGTTTCCTTTCTCTGTGTGTAGTTTAGGTTTCTGGGCACATCTTGGCGTTTGTGGACCCATGTCCTTGTGCGATATTTTGAGGTTCCAGGCTTGTAAATGTGACCCCTTAGATTATTGAATGCAAAGTCTTGCAACTCTGTCCATAAAATTGCTTTTCACCCACGTGTGCAGTCATTGTCGTATTGATATCGGCTGTGCTCGACATTGGTATCCATAAGAGGATCTTTACCTCGACCGAAGGATTATTGAGTGAGGCGCCAGAGGAGCAAGAATGACAATCATGTTTTTGAGGCCTGAAGAGTTGAAGGGTCTATTGGCATGGCCTAATTATTAGTACAGCCCACTTCTGCAATCGGAAGTGATATCAATTTCGCTCTTCGAATGGAGGTTGGAGAAGGTTTAATCAAGGACGAGTGGGCGATGCTCTGATCCTCTTCATCAGGCTCATAGGTCTGGCACGCATCAAAGACCTTAATTACTCTTCAGTACTAGGAGAAAAGCGAGAAACTCCTTTGATAGTTATTGCTTTTGAAGAAGAGAGTTGAGATGTAGAAGCAAGATGTACGTTAGGTTAGACTTTCGGGAATCCGATTGGCGTTCCGGGTTGCCGAAACTAATGACACAGTCCGTTGCGATTGGTCATGGGGGCCCACCCGTAATTGAGAGAATGCATGAGGAATAAGGTATGAAACAATCTAAATGTGCAAGCTGTGGCAATGAACATAGAGAAGAAAGACACCATAGCTGTAATTTGAGCTTTGTGGAATGGATATATGAGTTGCTTTAGGTGGTAAGGGGGAAGGATTTGGGGCTATAGTACACTGAAGAAAAACAAAACAAGACCCATCAGACCTCCCAGATTATGCGCCCGCGCCTGCAAAATGTCCGGTCGCAAGTTTTGGTCATACAGTCAAAGAAACAGACCATGCAAAGCATAACTGTACATTGTGAAACCTCCGACATCTTATCGGCGAGCCCCCTTCTTCGCGGGCCGTGCTCCGACCTTGACGGCAACCTTTTCGCGCTCTTCCGCGGCGCGAGCCTTGAGTGCCGGATTCAGTTCGGGGAGTGTAAGCACAGCCTCGGACACAATCTCATTACCATTCACAACAGCTTCGCGGGAAGCTTGGGCATTCAACCGCTCTTGGCGGCGTGCGGCCAGTTGCTCCCGGCGCTTTTCCGTCATGTTCCAGTCTTCGGGGAATTGAAGGCGGACCTTGGGCTTGTGGTGGCGCAGGTCCAGAGGGATATCGGCAAAAGCATCACCCTTCTTGGCTTCCTGGATGAGAGAATTGACCACATCGGCCAGGTAACGCTTGTTCTGAGCTCGCGAGGCAAATTGCTCGCTGGACATCTTCACAATGTCGGTTTGCGGGTTGTATCTAGGCCCGACCAGCTTCAAGAAAGTCTGGCGTTGAGCCTCGGTAAGATAGGTAGGGGTCAAATCACGGGATGCAAGTTCAACCACGACCTTGGGCTCAGCTGGATGTTGCTCGCCCATGTAAGTTGTGTAGCGGAAGCGAAGAATGTGAGTCTTGGGGGGGAGCGTAAAAGATTTGGCGAGTTCTGCCGTAGAAATTGGAAGTTAGTTTTGTGCAGCATCCAGAGTGGGCTCATCGCGATCCGATAAATCTTACTGCTCAGCATCGGCATGTCCCAAGCCGTTATACGAGCATACTCTCGCATTTCACGGTGCAATTCCATCTCGGCGTGTGCCATTGAAGTGATTTCATCATCTTGGATATCTTCATCGCCGTCCTCGACTTGCGCCATCTCATCGGCATCGTCCTCGGCCCAAAACCCCCGGATTTTGGTTCGTACGTCCTCAAAACGAATATCCTCCTGCTTGTCGATTTGATCAACTCTTTTTTGAATCTCCGCAAACGCCGCGGCGCGCTTCTCGAGATTGTTGAAATCGGCCACAAGGCGCTGGTTTTCGGCATCAAAAGCGGCCCTGTCCTCCGGCGACAACATATCATACATAGACCGTTCTTCTTTGGTCAAATGATCCGGGGTATACTCAGGAGCTGGGGGATAGTCCTCTGCCTTGAGGTCCTTGGGGGGCGGAGGGATGACGGGATCTTCGGACACGAATCGGAATGGTGAGACGGAGAAAGGTCGTCTATAGATCGAGCCTGGCCCCCTTGGGGCCAGGTTGCGGACTGAGCGAGTCAATGACCGAGCAACAGAAGCCATTGTGGTGGGCGCGATACGACACAGAGAGAACGCACGTCGAGAGTATCTTTGGTCGATGTTTTCCGACCTGGGGCCGCTGCGCACTAGTCCGCTTTGGGCCCCACACGTGATATGTCTGCGACAACCATAGTAGCAAGAGCATGAAAACGACCTTCAACTATATCATCTGAACACACGCTTACTTTCATTTCCTCTTCCTCAACTTACTAACCATCTTACTGGGTGATCACTCGATTTGATGGCTGTGAAACTTTGTTTCGTGACGGTTGGTGCGACCGCATCATTTGAGGGGCTCATTCGAGCGGTTCTCCAAGACTCATTCGTGGCCGAGTTGGAGAGGCATGGATTCACTCGTCTTTTGATTCAGCACGGTAAAGGCGGCCAAGAGCTGTTTGATGCTTATCGCGCTGAATATGAAAACGGTCAGAAGCGCCATGGCCTCGAGGTTGGTGGCTTCGACCTATGTCCGGATATGACCCCGTACGTCAGTATGGTACGAAAAGATGAGGCGAACTTTCAAGAGCTTGGAATGATGATAAGTCATGCTGGTATGATAATCTTTGTTTCTGTAACTGTTTGGTATTGAATGTACCTAGCTTTCTGACGTACTTCTACTACAGGGACTGGGTCCATTCTGGACGCTCTGCGGGCTAGTGTTCCACTGGTCATTGTACCCAATCCCGATCTTGCGGACAACCACCAGCAGGAGCTTGCTGAAGAATTAGCTGGGCAAGGTTACGCCATTGTTGGAAAGCTCGAGTCAGTGCTGATCTACCTCGCGCCTGTTGACCTGTAACCTTTCAATCTGACATATGATAGTGATCTACCCAGTGTGGTTGCCAAGGCCACAAACTACGGCGAACGCGCACCTTATTTTCGGCGAGAAAACGAAAAACCATTCGCGGTCATGTCGGATGAACTCTCGTGGACGGAGGATTAGGATGCCGCTGTGTGTGTCGTGGTGTTTGCAAATTGTAGCGTTGATGATACCCATGTTATGGTTGGTGCTGGAGTGTAAGGAATCTGCGCGGGATCAGGCTGCAGCCTCTCCTTTGTCATATTAATTTTGATTAGTTGTTTGAACACCGTTGGATTTTTATGGCGGATTATTGTCTACTCTTCTTTTGCATGCATTCAAATTAACAAATAGCACAGTCCTCTGCTGTGTAGTAGGCTCTAGGTCTTCTGAACAACTTGCTTTCTGTCATGTTCTTCCACCCTCCTCCAGATCTTATGAGGTGGAGGCTGGAACCAGGTATTCGGTGATGATTTGTAATGGAAGTTCTAAAAAAGTACCTGGGCCAACATTGCTAAGCCCGAGACTATTGCAGTGACTGATAAGTACGTGTCATAAGGTAGGTTTTTAGGTACCGTACACCTTCAGCTCATTCCGGTCGCTACTTGTCTGTGTTAACAGTGGACACTAAACAGGACCTAGCTTTGATTTCCTGAGGCGTAGGTACAGCCCGACAACTCAGTTGAATGGAACTTTCTTAGTCGAGCGTAAAAGTCTCGCCCTACCCGGATGATAATATACAAAGGATCTCTAGATAGCCAGGTGACCTTTTGCTACTATCTCATACTTGGCCTGGTGGACATACGCGTAACGCCCGGGAGTAGTCGGATGGTCAGACTCTATGGGTAGCTTGATCAAAAAGCCCTAATAAACCAAGTAGAAAAGTAGAAACATACCAATACTTGCTTGTGCAAGCGAAAGTCAAAGAGTAACTATAGTTTACTACTAGCATGTTATGGCTAGACTTCAACATAGATAGTAAAGGTCCTCGGATATGTGGCTGATTACATGGCTTTTGCTCAAGAGCTTTACACCTACCCTAATAGGCTCCATCTGAGGGTGACGTCTTCATGTTTTCTGGTTGTGTTTACTTAGGTGTGAGAGTAATAGAGTACCTGGTAGCACGGCGAGGAACAGGCGGAAATATACCTACACATTGAAGGTGCCTCCTAACTTTAATGATGGACTAAGCCCAGCTAGTTAAAATGAGACCTGATCTCCAGCTATGGTGCGAGGAGGAATCGTGATAAAGTTGTATTAGCCTATAGACAATCTAATTGATCCCAGGAGGGACCTCAGGAATGACCAAACAATATTATAATCAGAAGCTCTTGAGCGCGCAAAAGCACAGGATACTTCATCGATGGCCCTGGACGGAGATGCGTGGAGTCGAGTGGACACGAGGAGACACTCGGATTGGCCCAAGCTTCTTGTTGACAACTCCTAACGCGAAACCGCAAGATTCACGCCCCAAACCACGTTGTCTGGCCCAGACATACACAACTTCTCTTCTCGCCTCTCAGCTTCACCATACTCGTATCTTGCTTGCTTGGAACCTGCTTGATCTTGCGAATCCTCATTTCAGGTCGCAGGGCCGTGTCGCCTACTTTGCGCCTGGACTTTCGACTCCCCCGATCTTGACCCCGAACCCCCGAACCCCCCGAATTCCCCCAAATTCCTCTTACACCTCTCCCCGCAATGGCAGAGGCAACCCTTCATAATGTACCGATTGTCATTGACAATGGCAGTGGAACAATTCGAGCCGGTTTTGCGGGCGAGGAAATCCCATCATGCTATTTCCCGTCCTTTGTTGGCCGACCGAAACACCCGCGGGTGATGGCCGGTGGACTGGAGGGAGATTCATTCATCGGCCAGCGCGCGCAAGACCTGCGCGGTCTTTTGAAGATTCGATACCCGCTCGAGCATGGCATCGTCACAAATTGGGAAGACATGGAATCCATATGGCACTATGTCTACGAGAACGAGCTCAAGACCCTCCCTGAAGAGCACCCCGTGCTTCTGACTGAACCACCTCTGAACCCTCGCGCGAATCGTGATATGGCCGCCCAGCTCATGTTCGAGGCATTCAACGTGCCTGCTCTGTACACATCTATTCAAGCGGTCCTGTCACTATATGCGTCAGGGCGCACGACGGGTGTGGTGCTGGACTCGGGAGATGGAGTCTCTCACGCGGTTCCCGTCTTTGAGGGTTTCGCCATTCCCAACAGTATCCGGAGAATTGATGTGGCCGGTCGCGATGTGACTGAGCAAATGCAATTACTCCTGCGCAAAGCTGGCCATGTCCTGCACACTAGCGCCGAGAAGGAAGTGGTGCGAATGATCAAGGAGAAAGTCTGCTATGTGTCTCTTGACCCGAAGAGGGAAGAGAAGGAGTGGATGAACAACTATCACAAGTCGGACGCAAAGGGAATCGATTACACATTACCCGACGGTCACAAGATCAAGGTGAGATGCGCGTGCACCTGTCATGATAGACGTGCCGCACCATCACAGAAGGGAACTGTCTGTTTAACTGACTATCATCTGTCTCATAGATCGGGCAAGAGCGATACCGTGCCCCTGAAATCCTGTTCGACCCCGAGTTGATCGGGCTCGAGTACCCCGGTGTCCATCAGATTGTACAAGACGCCATCACCCGCACTGATCTCGATCTTCGCAAGTCATTATACTTGAATATTGTCCTCTCGGGCGGCTCCACGCTATGCAAGAACTTCCCCGACCGATTGATGCGCGAAATCAAGAGACTGGCCGTGGAGGATATGAAGATCCGAATCTCTGCACCGGCAGAACGCAAGTACACAACGTGGATCGGCGGAAGCATTCTCGCCGGTCTCAGCACATTCAGAAAGGTATGCGAAGAAGAGCATGAGTTGTGCTTGTTTCAAATTCAGTGCCACTAACATTCTTCTTCGATAGATGTGGGTGAGCGCGGATGAGTGGCATGAAGACCCCGAGATTATCTTCAAGCGATTTGCCTAGCCGAATTCGTTTATTTCGAGCGGACGAACAGGAAGTGGGACTCTCTTCGACAAAAACCCTTCGCCCTGTAGTTCTGCCCCCCCCCCCCGACATGGTCAATCCCAGTACCGTCCGCACCGTCATCGCGGCCAGAGCCTGACAAATTCCTCGACATCTGCCGTGTCTCGGCTGTTGCGTGCTGGGACGTAATGTCGTTCTGCGCGCCTTTGTAGCGACGGCATCGCATTCCCCCCTGCATGAGAGTAGCAGCGTGAGATGGAGGATATATGTGGTGACCTCTCCTCGAGACTTTTACTGTTCAATAAGCCCAGGTCGTGCCTGTGAGCGTTGATACCCATTGCCCCCAGCCCATTCCACCCCATATCTAAGAATCATCAGCATCCGGCCAAATAGGATCCATAACGGCAGCCTGTCATCATGCGCAAATACATTCCATGTTCACCATTTGCCTTTTGATAATAAGACAACCTTGGAAAAGGCTTGCACAATTTTTGGGGGGTTGGGGCAAGTTCCACGCTTGGGAGGCTCGATATCCCCCTCAAACGACACAGACGGTGAGGAAATCGAAAATAACTACCAAAATACGTAATCTTGGTCGTTTAGGCCTTCTTACCTTCTTACCTTCTCCAGAGTGAAGCATCGCGATCAGTTCATGACGATCTCGTGCTTTGCGAGCAATCGGTTATCTCAAGCCATGTCGTCCTTGTATTTGTAGGACTTGTTCATGACAGGCTGAGATCGCTACAAGATCTTCTCATGCAGCACTCTCAGCGAGCAGACGGTTATGACCGAAACGATCGGGCGCGCATCTGGATATCAACCCATCGACGAAGAAGTGCCGGGTCCGTGCAGTCCGATCGGTATCTGTAGTTCTGTACAGCCTCTGGTCGTGTCGGAGTCCGGGACACTTGCCCAGACATCCTTGTGCAAGTGCATACCCGAGTCAATGTCATTCTACAGGCCCGCGATCCATGACTCGGAGCAGTTCCAGTCAGCCCGTATCAACCGAGGAATTATCCGAGAAGCCAAAGAGACGAAGCCGATTCGCAAGTACTCAGCCGTTCCAAGGCATGATTCGGGCCCTCTCGGCCGACTTCCACTTTGGACAGGCAAAAGAAGAAAGTCAAATCCGCGTTTGCAACCCCGCGATGGCGGCGAAACTGCTGTGGTGATCCCGTGACTTGATTGGGTGGGCTCTGAACCGACAGCTTGGTTTCCGTCTCTCTGCATCGTGGAGTTTCTCCGATATGGTGACGAAGGGCTTCAGGCTCTGATCTTGAAGAGATGAGAGACGTACTTGATGTACGCGGTGAAGACGCCCACTGCGAGTCGTCTGGAACAGCCACCAAGTATCTCAAGCCCGGAATAGTCGAATGCGTGCGAACATCGCAGTGGCCGTCTGCCCAAACCATGCGCCGACATCCACCGGCCAGCCAGGGCCAAGGCGGGCTGTCACCTCAAGCTTTTGTGTGGGGGAGAGTGGGGTGAGTCTGTCCACGATCGAGCCAGAGCAAGGAAACCCGAACGATTCAATTATCCGATCCATCCTCACGACCTCGACTCGAGCAGACTTGTCGATGATGTCACTTGGGCCAACTTTAGATTCGCCTCTCCGGCGATGCATTGAAACTTCCTATCAGCGCTGTGATGAACCAATGATAGACCCTCGAAGCCCACATTGTCTGCTGGAAGACCGCGATTGTCACCTTTGACAAGCACACTTTAGCCAAAAGAGGACTACGCCATAGCCATGCGACGGAGGTCAACGGAAAACCTGGAACGATGACTGAACAGGGCGAAGCTTGGTGGGAGAAGTCCTTTTAAGAGAGGCATTGATGCCCATTCCATGACTTTTCAGTCCACTACCAAGTATTATTACTTTTTTTTTTGGTTTCCCTTACGCCGCTACATAACACATCATAACCAGCATAATGGGTTACCCAGAGACATTCGAGGGCTTCATGGTCCAGTCCCACGAGAAATGGAGTGACTTTGAGAAGAAAGATGTGTGTTTGATCAATACTCTACACCGAAACTAGAAGAGACAACAATTGTGATTGAGGATCCGGGACTAATTCATCATTTGCGACCCAGTTCAAACCCAAGCCCCTCGGCGAGCGCGACGTCGAGATTGCCATTGAGGCGTGCGGTGTCTGCGGAAGTGACGTTCACACCATCACCGGCGGCTGGGGTCAGGCCAGTCTCCCCGTCTGCGTCGGCCACGAGGTGATTGGCAAGGTCATCAATCTCGGCTCCAAGGCTACCACCGTCAAGGTCGGTGACCGTGTCGGTGTCGGTGCGCAGGTCTGGGCCTGCTTGGAGTGCGAGGTGTGCAAGTCTGGCAATGAGAACTATTGCCCTCATCAAGTTGGTCAGTGACAATCATCAGCCGGGGGCGGTTTGTGTTGGAAGCCACTATACAACCTTTGTTGAAGAATCTCTCCAAGCTGACTCTATGGGAAAATAATAGACACCTACAATGCCACATACCCCGACGGGTCGATGGCGTATGGTGGCTACGCTAGTCACATCCGTGCCCACGAGTACTTTGTCTTTGCCATTCCCGAGAAGCTGGAGACAAGCCTGGCTGCGCCTATGCTCTGTGCCGGTATCACCTCTTACAGCCCTCTATCGCGCGCCAAGATCGGTCCCGGCAAGACAGTCGGTGTCGTCGGAATGTAAGGCTTTTCAGCGACCCCAACCCTGGTCAAAGCTCGCGTCTAGGTGAAAAACAAAAAAAGCATACGCTGACACGAAAATTTAGCGGTGGTCTGGGACACTTTGGCATCCTCTTCGCCGCGGCCATGGGCGCCGAAGTCTGGGCCATCTCTCACTCCCCCAAGAAGGAGGCCGACGCCAAGTCCCTCGGCGCCAAGGGCTTCATTTCCACCAACGAGAAGGGTTGGAATGAGTCTCACAAGTTCAAGTTTGATTTCATTTTGAACACCACCGATGCTACCGACAAGTTCGACATGGGCGCTTACTTTAGCACCCTCAAGGTCAACGGTACCTTCCACACCGTGGGTATCTCTGACAAGCCCTTCCCCCCTCTCAACACTCCCGACTTTATGAGCACTGGATGCTCCATCTCCGCCAGTCACATTGGCAGTCGCGAGGAGGTTCAGGCTATGCTGGACTTGGCTGCCAAGTCGAACATCAAGAGGTAAGTCCGAATAACTCCGTTCCGCATTGACTCTGTGGTGCGATCGCTTATCTGACATCTTGTGTATGTAGCTGGGTTGAGACGATCGACATCAGCGAGCAAGGCTGCAAGACTGCCGTCGAGAAGGTGTACAAGGGTGATGTGCGATACCGTGTTACTCTTGTCGGCTACGACAAGGTCTTTGGCAAGCGGGCTTAGATTGTCTATTTGAGGCCTAACCGCAACGTTGGCCTTGAAACGCGCCTCAATGATCATGAATGATGGACTCGACGCGCCTAATTGATACGCACTAAAGTACATAGAGTTATGACAGTATTCGTCGGCGCGGGGGTAGAGGCGCCGAAATGCAGAATAATGAATTTATCAAATACATGATGTGATCAACAAAATCATTGGATTTGGGTTGAGAAATTGTGTCAAGAGACCTACTTGTATTGCTGTGCATTCACTATGTTTGACATCTCGTTAGAGGTTTCGCGAGCTGCAGGTGGTTCAGAATCTCGACTGGGGCATCTCGATCTCATGGAACGAGGTCATCCTTGAGTGGCAGGTAGGACGCACCGGCCTGCCTCCTTCTCCCCTGTTGTAGGCCCAGCAGTCATGTTGATAGAATGGAATCCTGCTGCCGAACTTTGCAGGTTTTGCTCTTCCTTTCTGTCTTTCCTTCTTCCTTTCTGTGTCTATCTTGCATCCTCGCTGATCGCCAATACAATTTTTTCTCTCTCTTTACTTTCCGTGCGTAGACCGGGCCCAGCTGGTCCGTCGTCAAACCTCCAGTACGTCCCCCCCCATGATCAAGCCACTACAACCTGGCTGGAACAGTCGAGCACGATCCGATGTCAGTTAGGAGGCCATCAAATCTCTGCAGATTAGCGAGGGATTTGGCCTTGATGACGGGGGAATGAACCGTCATGATCTGTTCTTCCTTTGCATAAGATTTTGACCCCCCGACTCACCTACTGTATGGTGAACCTTTTTTCTCAACAGTCCGGTATCAATAACGAGGATCTGGGCAAGCAGTGGGCAAGCAGTGCAGTGCAATGAATGCTTCAATTTGAGGAATCATTGAAGATGTCAGTCAATGATATCTATGTTGTTGTTGTTGTTGTACTAAACGTTCTACCAATGGCCAAAGTGGAAGTATTACCAGATCTAGTGCCCTTACACACTGGGGGGCGAGTCTCTAAGTTAAGGGATCCACAACCGAAGACCGCTTCCTCTTAGTAGTACGTTCCATTCGATGACCTTGAGACTCTTGGACCTGAACCCTAGTGTGCTTGAGAAGTTGAGGACATTTCTGCTCATCGTAACGTGTGAAGAGAACCATTCCTTTCAAGTCAAGCATAGCGAACCAGGTCATCGACAAGTTGTTCGCTTGGGAAGATGTCGTGAGTTACAAAACTTGCTCTGCATGGGTATACCGGGCCTTGACTAGGATTGCATAGGCTAGCAACTACTAGCTGGTAGGTAAGCATCTCATCATCTAGACTTCTAGAGTGAATCTCGAGTGGTAGGTATCGCAGATCACAAGATGCAGATAATTATATGGTATCCTCGTGGCAGCCATGTTAGACGAGGTTAGTACCTAAGTAGTAAGGTAGTAGTAGGTAGTAGGTAGTAGGTACAAGGTATATGTGGGATGTTAGTACCTATGAACAGGTAGGTACTAGGTAGTAGGTACTAGGTAGTAGGTACTAGGTAGTAGGTAGATACTAGATTTCGACGACCAAGTCACTTCTACGATCAAAAACTACCCATCTATGGAAGAAGAATTCTCTATTTCACATTACTGCATGTTAACTTGGTAAGTGCATAGTGCATACCATGCTCCGCGCAAAAATAATCTTCAACCCCAGTCTTATTCCCATCCAATCCCAGAGACCGTCGTCAAGAATTTCTCTCTTCCCCCTCCCCACATCATCGTGAAAATTTGCAAATCTCCAAAGGACTCAAAAGCCCGGACAACTACCTCTAGAGGCCATCGGTCAAGATTCATGATCCAGGAGGAAGCGGCCGAGTGGAGACCCGTACCCGCCCTGGGGGCTGCAGGTCAAGGTCGAGGTACTTTTCATCGAAAAGATTTTTTTTTTTCCCCCACGGTTCACCGCGCTAGTGCTGGACTGTACTATAATATTCCTGAAATACTCGTGGAACTTGTAGGTGAACTGGAGGACTGTCCTAGTCACCGGCGACCTCCTAAGAGTAGGTCGAGATATGCATGGATTCAATGGAAGCAGTGCTGGTGAAGGGATCGTATCGATTCTCATACTGTTGTTGTCGAGGTGAAGAATACCTCAGGAGAGGAGGAAGAGGCCAAAAATACCTACAGAGTGTAGATCCAGAAATGGAAAAAGAGGAAAGGGCGGAAGAGTCTGCATCATCGGTTGGAGTCGCATATCGACGGCGATGACGGTGCCTGACCACCGTGGCGACTCGGTGAGTGGCCTGGCAGGCCATAACCACCCAACTTACTAAGAAGCGGGAAGCCTCATGAGTGATGACTCCTCAGAGTCGCTGCCTGACTTGAGTGACTGAGTCAGCTCGTGGCCACCGGTACGGCACCGCCGGACGTCGCCATGGGGGAAGTGGAGCCCCACCAGACGATGAAATTCGATCTTTAGTGCAGACTGCAGACTGCAGACTGCAGCCACATCGTCAAACTTCAAGATGTACAATACATTGCATGCTGGGACTACACGAGTATACACTATACACTATACACCCGGACATCTAGTAGTATTACGCTTATGAGTCATTGGTTGGAATATGAACGATTCATCAGCCTTGGAAAAAGCCAGAGTCTAGAACGACTCGGAATTTCATTGTGTATTGTGAAAAGCCCCAAAGCTAGGAAGTAGTAGCTTGGGTATGTGAGTAGCCGTGTACTGTGTAGTGTGTACAGCCTTGACAGTGCTGGAATATTGCACGAGAGATATGCAGACGCGATTGAAGGGGACGGGAGAGTTTCAACTCCGGTGGATGGATGCAAGATGCCATGTCCGAGGTCTATGACTAGAAAGCAGAACAGAAAAGGTGCCTCCATGAGGCGCAATCCGGTGCAGATCTAAATCATAAGAACTAAAAGCAACAAAAGAAAAAGGAAACCACCAACAAAGTGGTTAGGTTCCCACCTTGCAAAAAGATGCAATGACCCATGTAGTGTGATACACACATGAGGCCAAGGTCATCAACCCGTCCAAATTACAGGAATCCGGAGCGCATCCAAAAGGAGAGATAAAAAAGGGACAAGGGGAGAGGAAGAGGACCCTTCCATAGAGCAGAGTGCGCGAGTGGTTGTTGAAATAAATGGAAGATGGCGAATGCCGTCGCGGGAGCGGGGGGTATCGAGCGTCGCAATAGTAGGGATAAGAAACGTTGAGGATTAAAAGTGCAAAGTGTTGAAAAGCGCCAAGATAGCAACCATGAGATGATGAGCATCTTTCCCCTTGCCCTAGCGAGAGGCCTCTGTGAGGAAGAGGCAAGTCCCGGTTCGCGCAGCATTAAGAAAATTGGTAGGCGGTTGGAAGCCCCCGATGGAGTGAAGACAGGCCAATATAGCAGCGGGATGAGAAGAACAGCAAGAACTTTTTTTTTTGAAGGAGGTAGGTCGTCGTGAATGTCGTGATGGTCGTTAGTTGCGAAAGCAAAAAGGGCGCAAGTTGTTTCCAAAGGGCGACGGCCGGCTATGAGCTACCCTTGAGCTTGCCCCAGCCCTTCTCCAGGCCACGGCGGGCCATGTCACGAGCCCGATCTGCCACGGAGCCGGTACTGCTGGTGGTGTTGGTGCTGGTAGACGAGTACTTGCGAGACAAGCTGCAGTTGGAGGCGTCGTCGCTGTAGATCATGTTGCCTGCACCGCCGCGGCCGACGTGATAAACGGGAGCAGCGCGGCGCAAGTCACGCTCCAACTCTTCGTCAAAGCTGAAAATGGCACGCTCACTGCTGCTGTGGACATTGCCGGCACCACCGCGGCCGGTGGTGTAGGTGGAAGGACCGCGAGAGTCCAGGCGCGCCAGGGAGGCCGGACCTGTGGCGGTTCGCGAGTCGGTGGTTTTGGTGTTCTTCAAGCTGATGACATTGCCGCTGCCACCACGGCCGGTGTAGAGGGCAGGACGATTTGACGAGGGCACAGACGGGTGTGGCTCGATGACCCGATAGCTGGCAGTCCTTGCGGAAGGCATGGTGGGTGTCTTGGGTGTCTGTGTAGTTGATATGCGGTTTCGAGGAAGATCGTCTGGGAAGGATCACGAAATCCCAAAGCTGCTGAGCAACTGGTCAATGTTTCTAGATGGGATCTGCGCGAGAAAGGATTGCGCAAGAGAGAGCTATCGAAGTAATTGTGTTCAGGAGATTAAGAGAATTTGGAGGGTTGTAGTTATGGATACGATCGTGAACCATGGCGGGGAGCAAACAGTTTTATAGATGGCGCGCCGGTCCTTGCAGGCTTTGTGGGAGCAAGTGGCCAGGCACACCATCCACGGGTCACACGCTGTTTGCGGGTGGGGCTTTTTTTTTTTTTGCGCCTGTGGGGAACTTTTTCCTAATTTCTTTTTTCTTTTCTATTTTTTTCCATCGAGCTGTATGTTTTTTTTTTTCTGATTAATTTCTTTCATTGTTTTTCTTTTTGGTTATACCTTCTCGCATTTTCCAGGGATTCTGAGGACTAGATCTAGGCTCTTTTCTGATCTTTTCGCTGCTGTCGAAAGATGGACCAGGTTTAGTGTCTACTGTCTAGTATCTACCAGCTGGACTGGCCTGGCGTCATGTGTTCTCAACCCGGCAAGATCGAAGTGGCAGGCGTAGGTAGGGAGAACCTTGAGGCGCCATGGTCAGGTGATGCATCTTATAGTTGACGCTCCAAGAACATCCGGGGACGAGGTCTTGATCGAAGTTCAATGAATGATTGTTGAGTACCCTGTGATGCTCGACCGTGTTCTTTCGGTGCCCTTTCCCCATTCGAATCCACGGGGTAACATGGTTGGTCCTGTATGTCTTGTTTTTTTTTTTTTTCGATTTGACGCCCATCTCATGCGCGCGATTCACTGTGTAGTTTGTACAGTTTGTCACTCCGTAGTGGTCGTCGTCGTGACCTATCTAACAAGAATAATGCCTCACCTAAGATGGGCCTGATGGTTGCGTTGTACACAGTACTGTAGTAACCCTACTCCTATTAATATGATTATTCTTGTGATTACTGTGTTACTCCTGTCGTTACTGTAGTAATGTCCCTCACTCCATCGACAACCATCACACCTCACCACGGGAGCGTCATCAAACCGATCATCTGACCTCCGCGCGCGCGCGTTTACTCGGCCCTCCTCCAACCGGGCCCCAACGGGGACGTAACAGAAATGGTGCGGCCCACCAATAGTGCGCCTCGGCGGTGGGAAACAGGGATGCCAAGCGGGTCGCAGTCGAGGGGAGTCGAGGGGGCGCCGCAACGAGGTTTTTATTACCCCCAGGAAACCCGCCAAAGGGCGCCCTCAACCGCCAATGTAACCCGAAACAGAACGAGAGAGAAAAGAAAAATGAAAAATGAAACGAAAAGAAACACCTCACTTGGGGTCAAGTCTCACCGTCACGTCCACTGACCAGAGCGGGATGGATCACGATGTCTGCAGGACTCCTCAAGTCCTCTCCCAGGTCTCTCTTGACTGCGTATGCGGATGCGACGATGCGTGACTCGCGTTCCTTGAACTTTGAAGCCCCCGTTCACCGTCTCCCCCGCACCCTCGTGGCTGGGCTGGCCATTCTTACACTTGCCCTTCCGGGGTGCATCTCTCTCTCTCTCTCTCTCTCCGTCTCAGTTCTCCCCCGTTCTGGTTCCAGGGCTCCAAAGCCGTGCATGAAAGAAATTCCCTCTTTGGGAAGATCGTGAGGCCCCCGTGCTCGCTGGGCGTGGTTCATTTGGCGCATCGTCGCCATCACCTGATGATACACGGGCAGTCTGAGTCTACAATCCAGCCCCTAGTAACTCTAGCGTCTACACTCTACGTCTACACTCTACCTTCTACTTTCTACCTTTTACTTTCTACAGTCTACCGTCTACACTCTATGTCTACACTCTACACTCTAGTAGTCCCGTCCGAGTCGAGGTCGAGAACCCCGGTTGACGGAACTAGGTAGTTGACTAATGGATTCAATGATCCCCCGATCGTATTGCATCATCCCGGCCCGGCTGTCACGGAGACCGCCTGGGCAAGGCGGAGACCACCCCATCATCGAAGAATTGAAGAACGAAACGGATGTCGTGACTCGGGCACATTATTGTTGCGACCCTTCGTATGGCATCAGTCAAGGGTAGACTGGTCTTCATCAATCGTGCAACCACCGATGTAAATGAGGCATTTTCATCTTGGCTGCATGGATGGATGCCTTCCGATCTAATTGATCGTCATGTCTACCCGGTAGTTTCTAGTTTCCACTCACTAGAGTCACGACTACTTTAGTACTTGTCCCATTCCTGTTCCATCCCATCCCGGTCCGGTCTGGGGTCTTCCTCTGCCACGAGGCTTTTTTTTTTTTTTTCATTTTCTGAGAGATGCTCTCGATCTCCTCGACCGCTGCTGATCGACACGGAACATTGAACAGGATCAACACCTTGGTGTTCCCCTGATGACATATGACAGGAGAGTTGTGTGGGCCAGCGCTATACCTATTACTTAATAGTTGGACTACAGTCTTGACTACTGAGTCTAGTACACTGAACACTCCAGAGAGTCCATACTCCATACTCTACTGATCTACTCACTTAGGTGGTGAGTGGGAAGTGTTACTACCGAGTCACATCTTCATCCCGTCTGTGCTCGCTCTCAGTACTCAGTGTACTGAACGGATCCACCATTCCTATTCCAGATCCCAGCCGCGTGGATCGACTGATTCAAAGGGGCCAACCGATCTAGTCTGGGATGACTCTGTCGGAGCCTTGCACAATCGAGATCCTCACGTCCATGTCGTGCTCTATACCAGAGTCCTTAAGGTTGTTGTTTCAGTGACCATGAAAATGTCAAGTCATGAAACACTCGGCCAAGAAGCAGGAGGTTGGGGTTCGGAGATTCCATGGGCATGCACTATGAGTATGCAGTATGTAACTATGTACAGTATATAGCATGCACAGTGCTTCATGTTGCATAATGCGCGATGTTCTTCTGTGTAGCTTCTCCTCCTCCTCCTCCTCCTCCTCCTCCGAGTCCCTAGACCCCCCTACTCCCAGCTCCTAGCGGCATCAGACCCTGTTCGGTGGAGCCTTGGTCTGAACGTCTGAAGTCGGTAAGGGCTTCTTGGGGAAAGCGTAGGCGGCACACTCGCTCGAGGATTCTCCTGGAGGACTCAGGCTAGAGAGAGGTGGACTCGAGAGTTGACTAATAAAAACAAACCACTAACTTAGTTGAAGAGGCCTGTGAGTCGAGCACTACTACTACGAGTGCAGGATTGCGGTACCTGAGCTCAGGAGATCACCCGCGGCAGCACATCTCCAACTTGACAGCCCTGGACCACACCGGTCCAACTTTCATGACTCAGCTGTACATAGTACTCCCCTCCCGTCCATTTGTTAGTAGTATTGTTGCTGGAGTTTCACGCACTTATGCTGGCGTGGTTCCCACACTACCCCCCTTTCGTGGAGAAAAAGGTGCCATTCTGATTCCCCACTCTTGGAATTGCGCCATATGTGCAAAAATCAATAACCTCATCCCCGGCGCAAGTCCCTCTCGCCGAACTCAACACCGAACCTGCCCAGACTCTGACAGTGCCGAGCCAATAGAAGAATATGGAAATAGTATCCCCCTTTTTGGGAAACACATCTTCAGCCATGAAACTAGACCGGCAATCTTACGCCACTGCCAGGTCCATGGACTTGCCTCTCTGATGGTACCAGAGTACCAGATTACTTGACACCGACAGACAAGAATAGCAGGAGCCATGTCGCAGCACTAGGGTTGGGTGGTGAATTGCGGCGCAGAACCAACACGAGAAAATTCTTTCCGAGGATGGAGTAGCCTCAATGGGGTTAGTCTACCCCAGATCAGGACCGCTTCTTAGCTCTTGCAGATGGCGGGGGGAAAGGCGATTGAAGATGACGACATGCAGCGAATCCCTAAGGAAGGCCAGAAAGGATGGATCAAGCGGGAAACTATGCCAAAGAGGAAACTAACACGTTCAAAGGCACTACAGTAGTGCCTATGTAGTTGTACTAATAATAATACTCAACAAATGTTGAATAGAAAGAACTAGAGGCCCGACGGCCTTCACCCTGAGGGAGAGAGAAAACTCTGCGCGCTCATGAGACTTGGCCCGGTGCAATGGCCGACTCATCCGAGTGCGGCCCCAATCACCAATCACCAGTCACCATCGCAGGTTCCTGCACCGTGACTCGATGATGGGCCCCTGGGCGGGTCCTGGTTCCCCACCTGATCCGGTTTTAATCACATTTTCACATTTCCTCTTTCCACTTCTGTAGGGATGAAGGTCTCCCGTTTTGGAGTCGCTGATTACTCATGATTGCTACCGTGTCGTAGTCCAGCCCCAAGAAAACAGAGTTTTTCTCTTCCGCCCTTTCCCCCCCCCCGGGGCAGGTGTTGATGTTGGTGCGTGATGGCCAGTTTCCCCGGATTTTCCTGGTCGCCCAGCTTTCCCCAGATTTTCTGGGACCCCTCGCCTCAGTTGCGCCTCCGCAGAGCAAGTACTGCAGTGCGTAGTGCGTAGTGCGCACTGCGCACATCTTCTAGCGTTTAGTCGCGACTTTAGTGTTGATTCTATCAGGAACTAGTACTACTAGTACCCTGTCATTCAGTCCATACTGCTCACAAGACTGAGATCCCCCCCCTAAACAAATACTCATACTGTCCTCAACATGAGCCAGTCTTTAATTGCGAACAACAACTATACTAGTACTCACGATGACTTACACGATACCGCCACAGACCTGCAACCTCTCCAGCCCTTGTAGTCAGGAAGAGCCATTTTGCCTCGCTCATACCATTCAAAAACGCCCCCTGGGCCATACCTTGCCGACCAGGTCACAGCGACGATCACGGCCACGGCCACGGTCATGGCCACGGTCATGCCGCCCCTTTGCTGCCCCCTGATCCAAGATGAACGCGCCTCGTGATGCTGACTTTTCAGCCCAACGACCGGAAATTAAGAAGGCGGGCATATTACGCACGAACACGTCTCTGCAGGACCACCCCGACTATTTCCCCTTCTCGCATGCGAGGTTCGACATGTTCGAACTCTTTGACTAGGATTAGCTGCCCTCTATGTAGGTACTTACATCCCTCTAATAGACTCTTGAAAGCTTGTCAGACCCTCGTCAGTCGTCACGAGTACTAGTACATGTGGCACCGTAGCAGTGACTGCATCTCTACAGTATGACCACCGAGAAAAAAAAGTCATGTTATGTCCGGCAACTAATCTTCTCGATGAGTTGACTGGTTCGCCTCGGTCCATATCCTCGGTCCATATGGTCATTGCCGAAGGTCGCCTCGTCGGATGGACACCGGAAACGCATCATCTCCAACAACTTCTATCCACGGTCTTTGCCTGGGTTGCTCGTCTAAACCCGGTGTTTCGAGCCGAGGAGTGGCTTCCCGGTACTGATTCTTATGACTAGACAAATTTGGCAGTTGTCAGGTGACTGAGGCAATGCAGACTGAAATAGGGAGCTAGTAACACAATCATGACCTGAGAACTGAAGAAGCGGGTTCCACCATCTCAAGCGAGCGTCATCCATTTCCCCGGACTAGGGTGCTGACCATACTAATGCAGTAACGTTGGCCCCCAACGCCCGCCTTCTGCCCAAGTCAAGTCATGTGGCCACTCTTCTTTCTAGAACAGCGGGTGGAACGAAGTTGCAGCCTGTTTTGGTCGCACTTAGTCATTACTCTCCCTGCCCGTCCCACGCCGCATCTGGCTTGTCTGATGAATACGCCGCTTTTTGATGGACCTGCAGGGCTATCGCTTCCAATGCCCTATATTTGTGTAGCAGGTTCTAAACCTTAGTAGTCATGCTTTCTCAGTCATGACGAGAAACTACCACGTGTAACCTCGCCTGGAACAAGCTACTCAACCTTGTTCCGAGTCAAGTACAGCCGGTTTGAGCTCTACAGGTCGCGCTTGCAGATCTCAGATCTCAGATCCCAGATCCCAGATCTGGTTCAGTCGATCATAAACTACCACTCGATAAGCCTCCTGTTCTTGACAGATTCCAGATAAGTGACGTACACTGGGAGGCGTTTTTCGATCTGATCAGACACACGTGGATAATATACGACGAAGGCGAACAATAGTCAAGTTGCGAGAGCGATGACAGATCAGTGCATATTTGACTGACCCACTTGAGACCGAGAGTCTAGACACTTCCTCAGTTCGATAGCCAATTCGGCGCTCGTTATCAAGTCCGGCAGCTACCATAGTATAGGCTTGTGTGTGGTACGATTTCTCTCCCTACGTAGGTACTTCTATCGGCTGCCTTGTCCTTGTCATGATGCTCAATGAGGCTATCACACCATATGAAAATTGGTCTACAGAACAACTTGCTGCCCCTTTAGGATGTGTTACAAGTAGATATTATTCGACGATATCAAGAAGCGGACATACTCAGACGAAAAATGATACAAGCGAGGCCTTCGTGGGTCAAGGTTCTCTTATCTCATCAGAGGCGCCGAAGGGCTTGTCTGAGAGAAAGAGAGAGAGAGAGGCATGTTCAAGAGATCATCAAGTCAATAGACATGCTAGTTGTCATCCTCGAGATTCTTGCCCCCCATCCTTGTTCACTCGAAGCTCAACCCGACACCTTCGTCAGCTACCTCGCATGCACTCCCGTCCAACATTTCAGAGCGAAGATCCTGATGGCAGTTCTATTGACTCCGGCCTTGTCAGCGATCTCATGAAAGCCGTTTCTTTGGAATCGACCTTCGTCACGTCTGGTTCATTAGTGTAAGGGAGATCCGATGGCCATGTGGCAGCAGGATGTGGCGAAGATCTGTTATCCCACATTTCGATATAGACGCCTCTAAATCGAGCGTAAGCCTATGATCACTCTGTCAAGCTTTCACCTGCAGGATGCGTTCTCAAACAGTTCAGAATGATAAAAATAGAATCATATACTGGGTCTACTCGCCAAGAAGCTCAAAACCGTTGCAGGTCTACTCGCTTGAGACCCATGACACAGGCTTGCTGATGATGTTTCTATTCATCAAGCGCAGTGCGACTGTTGCTTGAAGGACCTCCGCGGTCCATGTAGATCATCAATGACAAACGAGAACCCCTCCCCAAGGTATGAATCGTGAGCGAAGGCGACGATCCCGTCACACTCGAATTGGTGCAAAAGAAATGACACCGCCATGCATTTCAAGTTCAATATTTCCATAGATGTATCTGTCTCTGAGGTAGATTCCAGAATGCCATGGTGAAGATGGATGAAGCACTCTAGACAGGATCCAATCCAAAACAGATGCCCTTAGGAGACCTAGAACTGGCGCCAAGACTTCAAGGCTTGAGATGTAAAACCTACCAGTCGATCTTGCCGCACTGCCTGGATTTGACGACGAACTGGGAGATAAACAGAATTGACAGTAACGAAGAATATGAAGATATGCCGACTCTAGAAAAGTTGAGATGGCATCGCCGGTTAGACAGGTCGCACAGCTTGGTTGAAAGTTCCAGAACGACAAGCTGATAGTAACTTGCTGGACAACCTCCGCCAACGCAAGCAATCTACAGTTGAGCCCTGAAAAGTAAAAGGGTCACGGTATGTAGAATTAGAAGCGCGTCGCGTGGCAAGATTTTATTGTGTATGCTCTCCGAGGTGTTTACTTTTTGATCTCCTTGAGAACCGTGATCTCCAGCTTGCTTCTCTTGTTGACAGACAATCCGTTCGGGGGCTGGCTCACACACTTATGGTAAGTACCCGCATATGAATGCACGGCTTTGGGCGGTAACACTATCAAAGCGCGCAAACCGAAAAGACTGCACCTAGGGACAATACAAAATCCGTCAAGATGCATCTCCATCTCACTTGGAGTTGGATATGAGCGGGCGACGCGATAAGCTTCATTATGCCGCTTCGCACCGCCTTCACGTCCCTTGCCATCGGAGACACAAGACTACCATCTGTCGCCAATATCTTACTCAATCACCGGGTGACGGCGTTACAGGCTGTCAAAATCACATCAAAAGACACGAAAAAGTCTGCAAGAGTTTTTGCGAGTGTCAATATCCCCGCAAGGTCCACCTTGAGCTCCGAGTCTCTCACAAGAGGGAATTTTTGATCCATCAAGCCGCTGCCTCTGAACCCGCGGCAGAAGCTGGCAAGATGCCGAAATATAAGTCTTCGCCTCACTCGATCAAATCGCTTTGCTCTCAATACTGACATTCCGTGAACTCTTCTGTAGGTTCTCTCGTCTTTGGAAATCTCCGCAGACGCCTCGATCCTTTGACCTCCAGGATCCGCCAAGTGACAGCGACGGGCTACCATGCGCAAAGCGACCCGAGTCTCGCGAGCCATTACCAGGCGCCGATATAATCAGTCTTCATACAGCCAGCTAATATCTCGATCCCGTCTAGGTGACTACTGCGATGTTTACCTCACGCACGACTCAATGAGTGTGCGCAAGGCGCACAACTCCGGCCGTAACCATCTTCGCAATGTGGTAGATTACTACCAACGTAAGTGGCAAGCGCTTCCTACCTTGCTGATCAAGTTTCTCTTCGCGGGAAATTGCTTTCGGTGTACTGACACCTTGCCTTCAGAGATCGGCCAGGAGAAAGCGCAATCGGTCATCGACTCTATCACATCTTCCTACGCCGCAGAGGGCAAAGCGGTGCCGAATCCCGCAATGGTGCCGCCTGGTGCACTCCCTCCTCCTCCATTCGGCTTCCCAGGTATGTAGACTCGAGCAGAAAAAGAAAGCGAGAGACAGCAAACACGCGACAGAGCTAACCCGTGCCCCAACTCGTCGTTTAGGACATCCCGGTCAAATGCCTCCTCCATTCGGTATCCCACCCCCCGGCGCTCCAGGTGCCCCAGCAATGCCACCTTGTACGTATCCAAATCATACTTCGGTCGTTCGCACAATCCCCCTCCAACACATAAACTACAGAAGATACCCAAACTAACCACAGAACCCTCGCGCAGTCCCCCCAGGCGGCCGCGGCATGCCCTTCCCACCACCTTTCCCCCCAAACGCCTCCGGCACACCTCCCCAAGGCGGATTCCCACCACCCATGCCCAATATGCCCAACATGCCCCCCGGAGCAGGAAACCTGCCCCCTCCCCATCCGGGCGGTTTCCCCAACTTCCCCATCCCTCCACCAGGTGCCCCCGGTGCATTCCCTCCACCCATGCATTCACAGCAACATGGGGCTATGGACTCGCCTGCGCCTAGAGGACCGCGTGGGTCGGACTCGTATCCCCCTCCGCCTGGGGGCGGCGGCGGTGGCGGCGGCTATTCACATGGACGTGGGGATCGGTGGTAATTATGAATAAGAAGGGTGAAAAGAGGGAGAAAGAAAGATCAGGAGGGAGAAAGTCATGGAGGAAGCGTCGGCTTCGTGCTGAATTGCTTTCAATTTTCATTTTTTTTTTCAATTCCTTTGGGGGCTTCCATATTGCCGGATGGTTTCCGCTTCATATTGCAACTGCAGATTCAAACTAGTGTATTCATTTCACTTCTTTCAAGGTCAGAATTCAACTAGTCACTAGGTGATTTCTTCGATTATGGTACAACAAGATCATTTGGCCAAACAGGTGACTGAGTAATGATCCCACCCAGCAGATCTCGCAGTCTATTCCTGGCTTCGGAATACATGAAGTCGAGTGGAAGGAACCACAGATATCTAGTCCATCTTGTGGCTGCTGATACTGTCCGATCACGGAAACCTGTTACCTAGCTGGACCTTCCAAGCGCAAGAATACTCGAAAACTTTTGAACGGCGAGATCCTCATATCAGTGGAGGGACCCGCAGCCGGAGTCATTAGGTAGTGACGATTTGTCTCTCCCAGCCACAAGATATGTGATCACTAGGTGTGTCACGAAGATCTTCGCACCTCCGCGCGCAAGATGCAGACATAGTCCCAAGGCAAAGTACGATTACGAGTGATACAGTATCAGGAGAGACGGAGCGGTCGGTATATTCCAAAGCCCGCTAGTACCCCTGGGCCAAAATTTCCATAATCAAGACCTATGCATCAGAACGCCAGGTTCAGCCGGAGCAAAACCGCAGCCGAATGCGCGGAGACAAAACAACGAGGGAGAAATGGGAGGAAAAGAAGGAGAGGAAAAAGACGATAATCCAAATCAAAGATGCCGTCACGCAACACCAAGGGCGAGGACAGAGGAATAGGGGTGGGGGTTGAGACGTACGGGAAAAAAACACGCAACCAAACGGCATGAAAGGTATATGGTAAAAAGTGAAAGTTCACCAATGCTGATTAGCCAATGGCGAATTTCCAGAAGAGAAAAATGGAAAGAAGAAACGAAAAGAAAAGGCAGAGCCAAAGGACAACAAGGAAAATTTTGATGGTAGTCCTCGAAAAGGAGACCAGTGTCGACCTCTAGATTGAGAACAGACCCATGAGCCCCCCTTCCCCCTTTTTTTTTCAAAGCGCTTATTCCAAAACCAAACAGATACCGGACCCGAGGGGATTGCGAATGGAATGAGTATCACTGTCCCATTGCTGTCCAACACTTTAAAAAAAAAGAAGAAAAAGATATTGGACGAATATAAAGAGCACAGAAGGGAATCAAAAGTCACATGTCTTCATGACAAGTTGGTGAACTATGAAAGTTCAGGAGACCAACGCGGTACCGATGAAAGTAAACAACTCTAATGGTCGTAGCCAGCACCTCTTTGCCAAGGACTGGAGTTGTTCTGCGCTCTGTAATTGGTTGCAAGGGCTGATGCGCCGACTGGAGCGTTCTCGTAGTTACGTGATGGCGCGGGTGAAGCAGATCGACCATACTGATCGTAACCGGGAGGTGATCCGCGACTGCTGGGGAGATTTGATACACTGCCGTTGCTGGGGAACAGAGGGACCGAGGGGTCCACGGGAGAGTGTGGAGGTTGATGGCGGTTCAGATGCTGGGCGCTATTGTTGGCGTTCAGGTGGTCTTGATGATGACCCGTCACCCCAGTGCCACTGGAGATGGACGCCGTTTCGTCGTCGAATGGGTTCTGCTGGTAGGCATTCCCGTTCTTCATATCACCCCGAGCAGTTGCACCGAGAGCGTCCAACTCAGTGGTCAGCTGTGTCTGAGACTTGATAAAGGAGCCCCGATCATCTCGCATTGGTTGATAACGCGTGTCGGGGTTCTTTGACACGACCGCGTAGACTGAGGCGAGCAAGACCAGGACAAGCAAGACAAGGGCAAAAACCGCATTATAGACGAAGAAGACGACTCCCATCACACCAATCATCATGCCAGGAGGGTTGAACACATCCGAGAACACCAGGAGGAAGATTGCGTTGAGAAAGTTGACGCTCGCAATGGAGATGTTGAAAATATTGGTCTTCTTGTCCATCCATGGGCGCATGACGCAGACAGCGACCAGCATGGCAGCCTCGAGAATTAACAGGGCAACAGTCTGCACCACGGGAGCGGGCTGGCTGAGACCGATGAACATACCCTTGACCATGATGTAGGCCAAGTACGGGACAACGAAGTAGTATGCGGTCGCACGATATTGCACATACAAAAACCCCCACTTGTTCAGAGCCGCCGGGTCAGAATACAGAATGTAGGCCGGGTTCTTATGCATCGTGACCGAGCGCTTGGCGAGACGAATGACCTTCTGACCCGCCCATCCAAGAGCAAGGAGCAGCGAGACGATCATGACCACAGCCAGGACAACCTCAGCGGCGGAGTCTCGTCGAGTGAACTCCCACAAGCAAAGAACGGTCATTTGCGGGAACCCGATCAGTGTCAAGCGGAAGAGAATACCGCGAAGAACGGTCTTCCACCCGTTGCGGAAATCTTGGAATTTCTCGGTCTTCATTTTTCCTTGTTTAGCCAGTAGCTCGCAGACTCCCTTGAATGTCGTGACAATGATGACGACAATGGCGACAAAGACGACGAAGAAGATCAATCCCGTCATGAAGATATTCGTCTCCTCAATATTCGCACGGAACCCGACACGGTTGATTCCTCGCACAATCACAAGCTGCTGATTCGAATTGGCTCGCTTGCTGAGAAGGCCGGTGGCTCGCTTCATCAAATTGAGCGCAGGATCAATCAGCTCACGCTTGCGGCGCTTGAGGACCTCTACAGAGGTGGTGCTCAGCTGCGAGAGGAGTGTTGAGGGAGTGCCGCCGGTCGCGCGCTGGTACCAGGTGCAAATATTTTGGAGGAACGTGACGTGGATGATACCCATGCTCCACTGGAAATTCTGAGTCCATGATTCCACGATAGGAGGCATGTGAACAGAGATCATGCCGATCATCGCTTGACCCTGCATGAAGCCAAAGAGGGAGAGGGCATTCGCGGCAACGTGCGCAGCGGTATTGGAGTGGCCCAAGCCCGAGGTGATTGCTGATGCCGCGAGGCCTAAGCCGGAGATGATGGCCGTAGCCCAGGCGACGGGCACCTGGTAGACACTTTTATTATTCGAAAGCGAGGCTGACACGCACGCAATCTTCTGGCCGGTATCTTTTTTCTTGATGACGATTTGCACGTTCGCATCCAGGTCGGGCACAGTATAGGCGATACCTGTTACCTCAGTATGTTAGACCAAACTCTCTTTCCCTTCCCCTTCTCAGCAATCCAACCTTGAAAATATTATGCGACTCACCGGGAACTTTGTCGGCGGTACCCGCAGGCAGCTGGATGGAGACCGGGCCCAAGTCAATTGGACCGGGAGCCATTGGGCACATGCCCATGCCTTGGATCTGGCATGGGTCCAGCGTGGCTGAATAGGCTTTATATCCGTAGGCTGTCAAGGTCATCTCGGCCTCGACCTTGCCTGAAATCTGGGAGACGCCATCGAATCCGATGGAGAGGGAATTATTCCCGGGGTAGAAGACGACATTGAAGTATGTTGCTGTGAAATTACCACTTTCCATGCACACGTTGAGTGCATTGGATTCAAGTAGCTTGACCGCAGAGGCCAGCGGCGCTATGATGGCGATGAGAAGGGTGAGCAGCGCCAACGACCTCATGCTGACAGTTGGCAGTGAGGCCTGTGTTTCCCCGTGTCTTTTCTGGTAGTCAAGGGTATGAGAGGGGAGGATTGGCTATACAGCCTGGACGCCGAGGGAGGACGAGTGGTCGGAACAAGGACAGAGTATGACGGCGAAGATCAGAACGTTACTTCCGAGTACCACGTTGCCAGCCGCCGGATGCGGAAACGGAGTGCGAAGATGAGAGGATAAGGGGAAAACGTGGAACCGGCAGTGTATCCCAGGCGGTGCTTGGATGCAGCGACAGGTCAAGAGGCCGGTCGAGCCAAGTAGGTGAGGTAGTCGGAGCGAGGCAGGGGGGCTGGGTCACTCCAGCGTCATTGAAGTTGTTCGTCGTGTCGGGCGGAGAGCGGGTCCTGGATGGAAGGTAACCAGGGGCGTGCTTTGTTCGAGCGACGGCTGATGATAAAGGTGATGGTCGGAGAAGCAAGTTGGTGATGGTCGGAGCGAATGAATGACGGTCGGTATACAGAGAAATGAAGGACGGTTGCCGGAAGAAAGAGTCGTGAGGGTCTGCAATGGCTGCCAGAGTCCGTGAAGCTAGTGCCGCGCGAGGTGACAGGCGATGCAGGCAGGTGGTCAACGGCAGAAACGCAGGCTACAGTGTGGCGGGTGGAGATAAAGCGAGTGGACTGGCGGCGCACACACAGTATGGCCGAGAAGGAGATGTAAGACTGGTGGGAAGTCTTTGAGGGGTAGGTGAATACCTTGACGAAGGTGATGAGGCTTAGTGAACAGGAAGGGAGGAAACCAGGATGGGGTGCGAAAGACGAGGCGGTACCTGGACAAGGGGGGAAGCGCCCGTTTGACTAAAGCAGCACCGGTTTTGCCTTTCCAGTTTCCACTTATTTGGATGACTGTATCAGTCAGACAGATCCAATGGACAAGACCGATGGTCACAGTCAGAATCGTCAAATCAGACTGAAAAGCATCGTCTGGCCATGGGTTTGATGGGCCGGCTGAAGGCCAGTCACGAGCACTGGATCACGGGGCTGTGAAATGGTGGGAGCATGTCTCAGGAACAAGGCGGGTCTCGGAGACTGGAATGTGTGGTACGGTAATTTTAGCAACAGCGGCCTGGAATCTGGAACCCAGTACCGGCGTACGTATGTGAGACTCAATACGTTCAGAACCAGATCACGATGGTTCAATGAATTGTCATCGCCCATGGTCTGTCCATGATTCCATGGTCGAGGTAGAGTGTTAGTGATGAACTGGGTTAGTATATTTCATGGGCTTTCGTTTCTGAGGGGCCACATCATCAACAGGGAGTCTTGATTTGGAGCCATCCCATGTCCTGTGATGCAATATCCAGACATATACAGTTATGCACTGATGCAGTAGTACTCGAGTCACTCGACTATCCAAGTGCCCATACTTTATTGCTCGATCTTTGGGCTGACAATCCAAAGAACTCTACCAGTATAAAACAATCAACTATTTAGTCAGACGTGGAAGGGAACGAATTATGTACTATCGAAGTATTAAGTATACGTAATTACGTTTGTAAGTGTAACGTAATACGCATCACATTGAATTATTGATCATCGACATACATAGCCTATAATCATACATATGCAATATTGTTTGTATTACTGACCTGAAATATGACAACATCTCCCACGATATCGAGAATGATACACAAGTACAGCAAGTACTCAAGTTTGCAGCACCTTCAGGCATCAGCGGAGTAACCTTGGCATGCCTAGGCGGCAAGAAAACGGCCAATCAGACTAAAACTTCCCGGTAGCATGTCACCCTTGTTTAATCCATACACGAATACGGTGCTCGGGCGCCGTAGGACAGTAGGACTAGGACTAGCCATCAGGGTACTGTACCTGCAGGACTTTTACCAGGAGTTCTCATTTCACTACAGTTACACTACTGGTCGCCGCTCGATGACATCCTGACGGTACCTGTCAGGCTGTCAATCCTCTAAACGTTCACGCTACTACTCTGACTGACCAAATTGATAGTGCTAGGTATTCGTCTTAGGGTGGAGACTCCTAATGTCATTGTCTTATGTACCTGGGTCTATCTCTTCCGTCTAGCACTACAACTGTGAGTGTGAAGTAAATGCGTGTATGTGTTACAAATTACAATAGATCTGTATGCCAAGGTCGACGCTGCATATTTGAAACAATGCAGATTGCAGAGTAAGCTCAAGGATGGGAGCTTTCAACCTATCTGAGTCTACAACATGTGCCTTGATAGGTAGGTTCTGGCGGCACCGATGAATGGTAAAAAGACTCTCCAGAAGAATTGTATAAGTACTATATACCTGTCACTGTAGTGTATGCACTGAACTCACTATTCAGTACTGTGTACTTATGGTGTTACTGTACTCCATATAGTATATCACATAACTACATCATACAACATTAATTAACTTATAGGCCATCCAAAATAAGCACCTCTCTCAAGAGAATCCCTTATTTAGTATTCAACCTTGTTGATCCCATGTTTGTGTGTATTTAATTGATTATTGGGATAGCATCTTGCTCATGATCGTCCGACAAGCCAGAAATCATCGGTGTTCCAGTGGAGGGGTTGCTTAGATGTGCAGTGACTGACTACTACCGTCTTAACGCGCGTCCCCCCAGCCTAGCAAATAGAAAGGTTCTGGGCCCCCCCCAAAGAGGGTGATGGATCGTGGCGGGCGGCGGGTCTTCTCGCTGGAGACGGTGGATTACCTTTATCCACCGAACCGCTATCCTGGACAGGAACCCCTCGCTCTCGGTGGAGCGCGACGAGCCTTTAATAACGAGCAGATGCCCCATGCTCAGGGACATTTGTGCATCATCCAGTTTCGAGTATGATCTTACATGGAGCAGCACATTGCTTAATGTCGCTTGACGTACCGTTCTTCAAAGCAAGTGATTCACGAGTCGGGGTGCGGGTACTTGAGATTCACCAACTGAGTCTTTGGGCTCGATAGACGAGGACCAGGGATGATTTGTGCAGTGGATAGATAAGCTAAATATCCGTAAACAGACAACTGAGGGTCAGCAATATCACAAAATGGTCTCAAAAACGATATTCATCGACCTCGATGCACAAGCCTGTGGTGTGTAAGACGCTATAATTCCAGGCACTCTAAGAACATTAGAATCATGTATCAGTACGTTACTTGTCTAGTAGTCACTAACAAGCCCTCCTCGCCACTACAAGTAATTGGCAATGCTGTAATTCTTCTGCCTATTGTCTCACATTGGCTTGAGCGCGCTCAATATAAATCTAGCCCTCACCTCCTCAATGGGGCAGGCGCTAGGTACAACCTATTGTTTTTATAGGCTTCCAAGAGTGTGTGGGGAATGTTGTTTACGCATAGCATGATGACCGTAGGTCTTACTCATGGAGGATGAAAAGAGACCTCAAAGATGCGATATGCCAGACGAGGCGGTCTTGTACTGGGCTTCAAGAAGCATCTGACACAACATTGCTGTTTAAAAGGGCGCTCCTCTGTCTTGATCATGCGCTAGGCTGCAGGTCTTTCGCAAACCTAATCTCGAATAGATCACTGGGCTTCGCAGGGCTCGAGCGTAGCACAGCCCGTTTGCGTACACCATCTTTATATGATTCAAGTCGTGTAATAGTCGAGATACACCACTGTAATAGAAGTGCCTGCCAGGTAAACAGGCATATTTTTTGCAACCAACTTGACTCTACTCACGACCCTTTTTTGGATCGGCAGGGTGCGTAGTTCGATGGTGGAGCATAAGGTTATCATCGGATTGCGCGTCTGAGCTGTATGATCATCGTGCTTAGGGGTTGCCGTCTCTGTCGGTCGACTATTTGAAACAGAGAAATACATTCAGCTAACACGTTGACTTTACCATAAGTCACTGCCATCTTCCTCCTCTATATCTATGGCAATGAAAGAGGCAAGAATGACTCATGTGTGGTCGATTTTGTGCCACGCATGTTCTGAATTGAACTTCTCACCAACTGTGACCCAGCGCTGCCCGTTGTTTATTTTTAGGATCAAGGTTTGGTGAAAGCCGGTCGTTGCCTCAGGTTGACAAACTGGCTTTCAAACCTTAAGGATATCTGTGTTTGGGTAAATTTCCTACTTTACAAGTCTGTATGATAACTTTATCAAGTACACCCTCATTAACTGAAGGCAGGAATGTTTGAATGGAGCTCAGCATGTCTTTATTTACATCCAAGTCTTGTCCGTGATCCATTAGCTTCACAAACAAGATGTTGATCGCGGGTTTCACTATCGATAGCAAACCGTACTCAAGCTGAGTCGTACTTTCACCAAAGTGTGCTCTAAGGTAGTATGACTTTATCCGAATCCCACACGGCGGACAACTCGGGGTTATAACAATACTCATGGCACTGTCAAGTTTTCAACTGGTGGAATACACTGACCGAAACATATGCAGAACTTCAGAAGTGTCAAGGCCGCATGATGAAGCCAACGCATTCCACGACCACCGTGCCGTGATCCATCTAAGTCGGTGAAACATACTGAGATCGGAATCCAAAAATTCGCACGGGTTTTTTGTTCCAGTTCAGCTAAAAGTCTTGGAGTTCTCCTATTATAATATGATCTAAGCTCTGCGAAAAGACTTGTCATACTGGGTTAATACTGGAAGCAGATCATGATGATTGACACAAGGTTCATACTACACTTGACTTTGCCCATGTCGGTTCCTTGAAATTGTGTCGAACTTCGATATTATGCGCGTGACAGAGGAATTGAGATCAAGTTCTTGTAATGACTGCTGCATGTGAGATTGTGACCGTGCCTTATCTTTAACCTCAAGTAAATGAACATCGATGTCCGATGGGTGGCATACAGATTTCAGTAAATTTCTAATAGTGTCTTGATGCCTGAAACATGGTAGGTATTCATTGGGCGATAGGCAATAGGGATCGGGCAATAATGATGTTCGACCAAGTTCCTATCAGCACGTGATGTGGAGATTTTGCCCGGCCTCACCGACCAGAGAAAAAAAAGTTAGGACACTGATTTTCCGTGCCGATTAGATCATCTTTCCGGAGATCAACACGAACCCTGCGATTTTTGTGAGATTCGGCTGATCGCTCAGAAAGGTCTTGCTCGATTTGGGTTACTCGAAAGCCACAGAATTTCTGTGCCAACGACTGCAAGATGCCTGGCCCCGTGGACACTGCCAAGACAATCACGAAGAAGCGCAAGAGAAAGCACGCCGCCCGCGCAGGAGCAGACGATGAGGAAGTGCCAAAGTCAGTCAAGGCCCAGTCCAGCCCTGCCGTGAAGGCAAAGAAGGCTGTCGCCTCTCCCAAGCCTGCCTCCGACAAATCCACCAAGAAGCGCAAAGTCGATCACACATCCAGCGACGACGAGGGTAGTGCGAGCGAGGCCAAGGAGGTCGAGGTAGAGGATGCTGAGGAGTCTGAGGAGTCTGAGGACCTGAAGAACGATCAGGATGATGACAAGGACGACGTGGAGGATGTCAATGGCAAGGGCGAGGATCTTCCGGGTATGGACCAGGTTCGCCTGCCGCAGACCGAGGAGGGTGAGCTGAAGAAATTCAGCGAGTTGAACCTTTCCGAGAAGACCATGAAGGGAATTTCAGACATGGGCTTCGAGACAATGACGGAGATCCAACAACGAACCATTCCTCCTCTTCTGGCTGGTCGTGATGTGCTCGGTGCTGCAAAGACTGGATCTGGCAAGACTCTGTCCTTCCTGATCCCCGCCGTGGAGATGCTGAGCGCTTTGCGTTTCAAGCCCCGCAACGGTACTGGTGTCCTTGTGGTTTCACCCACTCGCGAGTTGGCTCTCCAAATCTTCGGTGTTGCTCGTGAACTGATGGCCCACCATTCACAAACCTATGGCATTGTGATTGGTGGTGCGAACCGTCGTGCTGAGGCTGAGAAGCTTGTTAAGGGTGTCAACTTGTTGATCGCCACCCCCGGTCGCTTGCTCGATCACCTCCAAAATACCCAAGGATTTATCTTCAAGAATCTGAAGACTTTGGTTATTGACGAGGCCGATCGTATCCTGGAAGTTGGATTTGAGGACGAAATGCGCCAAATTGTGAAGATCTTGCCCACTGAAGAGCGCCAGACCATGCTTTTCTCCGCTACACAAACAACAAAGGTCGAGGATCTGGCCCGTATCTCCTTGCGCCCGGGTCCCCTTTACATCAACGTTGACCATCGCAAGGAGCATTCGACTGTGGAGGGCTTGGAACAGGGCTATGTACTCTGTGAGGCCGACAAACGGTTCCTGCTTCTGTTCTCCTTCTTGAAGCGCAACCTGAAGAAGAAGATCATTGTCTTTTTCTCCAGCTGCAACTGTGTCAAATACCACGCCGAACTCCTCAACTACATCGATCTGCCTGTCCTGGAACTGCATGGCAAGCAAAAGCAGCAGAAACGGACCAACACTTTCTTTGAGTTCTGCAACGCCCAGCAGGGTACATTGATCTGTACCGATGTTGCGGCTCGTGGTCTCGATGTACGTATCCTCACGCCCCAGATTGCCTTCTGTCGAGGTCCTTTAACATGTCACATTTGCTAATTCTTCCGTCAGATCCCTGCTGTGGACTGGATCATCCAGTTCGATCCCCCAGATGATCCCCGTGACTATATTCACCGTGTGGGTCGTACCGCACGAGGTGCCAACGGCAAGGGCCGCAGTCTGATGTTCCTGCAACCATCAGAAGTTGGGTTCTTGAAGCACCTCAAGGAGGCTCGTGTGCCTGTTGTGGAATTTGAGTTCCCCAACTCCAAGATTGTCAATGTTCAATCCCAACTCGAGAAGCTCATTGGACAAAATTACTACCTCAACAAGGTTCGTTTTCAATTGACGCCGCCCGCTTTCACAGGGGTTTCCATGATTTGCCATTAGCTGACCAATCCTATCCAGTCCGCCAAGGAAGGATACCGATCTTACCTCCAAGCCTACGCCTCGCACTCTCTCCGCTCGGTCTTCGACGTACACAAGTTGGACTTGGTCAAGGTGGCCAAGGGTTTTGGTTTCTCGGCCCCACCTCGGATCGACATTTCGTTGGGCGCTAGCTTGAGTCGAGACAAGAAGCAAGAGCAGCAAGGTCGTCGGACATATGGCAGCCAGCCAAAGGGCAACAAGGGCTTGAAGTTCAAGCGCAAGCACGACAACTAGGCATTGAAGATGCTGGGGTTGTCTGTATCATGAAACTTGGTCGTGCTTGGGTTGACCAAGGAGATATGCGTTTGAATTGTCAAAAGTGTCTTGTTCCTGCATCAACATTCTTGGGAACATTGGCGTTACTCTGTGTAGATACAACTTTTTTCTGGTCAATTGTCGTTTAATTACCCATTTTGCATTGGGTTCATTGTGTGCGCCTGCGTGTTTCCTGTAGAGATACCTTGCTTTCACATCCATTTCTGACCCCCCTCGAGACTTGCCGGTTCGTCACGGGTTATTCAGCTTTATGCAATACGTCAGAAAGCCATGCCCGGGATGGTGGTCAATTCATTATGGCCTTGATAAGCCATCGTCTTTTCATCAACAAATCTCATCAAGTAGAGTTATGTCTGGTCCAAACTCTTTTGACTCCACCACTGCGATGTGGAGTCGATATGAGAGGCTGGAAGACAACTTTCTGGATGCCTTCAAGATAGGATATTGGAATTGCTTTGAAGAGCAGCTTTCTATTTGGATGGTTATGGGCTCAACGTGCCTGTGGAACTAGGTGGTCTAAGTGATGAGATATTTCCAGAGGCACCACAGGAGACTGATAAGCCATAAGATTGAGGTACGTTTGCTGCGCTGCGGTACCGTGCCTGAGTCGCTGTACCCGCAGGCCCGATGTTAACGCTTGGAACCCGATGACTTGCATGAGTCAGATCCCAACCTAACCAGTGGACCTGGACACTGCACGCAACCATCCATATTGCGCCTACTCAGTACTGACCACTGACTAGTAACTACTGAGTGACCTATCTGAAATACAGTGATTATTTCGGAATTGCACAGAGCCGCCACCAGTCCTACTGGCTTCTCGTCAATCCAAAGTTGATGTTAATGCAACTCCCAGCTCTGCCAAAGTGCGCAATGCTGCAGCATGCGTTTCTCCCATCTCCAAGGGACCAACCTAGTTTTGCCTTGCAAAATGAGGCGGGACTGAAAGCACGTTAGGTCGCATTCTGCATCGTGGCCAGCCGAATGGCCACCACATCCTTCGACAGTCTTTCGGTGTGACGAGACGCATGCGTTGGCAGCTATTTGAACCAATCACCACCAATCCGGCATCTGGCCCCAAGCGAACATCACTCCGGCTTGTTGGAAGTCATGAGCATGCAGCCCGAGGAAGAAAGGCTTGACGGACGGTTGGCTAGGTTTGCTCTAGGAATGGTCTATTTAGCTTGTCAGCACCACGAGTCTCAACAATAACCAACAAACATAATTATCATGACGGCACGTCGTTGTCCAGGGTTGATCCAGTTTGAGATGGAGGGATCGTCGTCTGGGTGACACCCAGGCTCGGGTTGCGACCAGAGCGAGGTCCGTCCTGCTTGCTGACTCAGGACAGAAAGTACTAACTTGTACGTTTTGGTCGGCCTGGTGGATCTCTGGCGTGTTCAGTGTTCACTAGACAGCCCAAGCCCCACGGCCACAGGGCTCACCACTCCAGGACTGGGTATAGTGGGCACTTACTGTGTAGTGGTACTGGTAGTGCTACTGGCCCCATGTTTGTGTACCGTCGCCAAGTGTGACAGGCGGAACGAACAGGTCAAATCACTGACCGGGTATATCGACCCTGCAGTATCCTGATTGCCGGGGTGATGAAGGGAGGAGGGTCGAGAGTGCGGAGACCATCCAGATGGGGATGATCCGTGTATCTGAGCAAAGACTGTAATGTGTACACGGCACAGACTCCATAGAGTCTATAGTCCATACTCCATGAGTCCATGCTGACCCTGGACAGAGTATATGCTTTTCTATGCGCTGGGTCGTCAGGTCGTCCAGGTGAGAGTCAACGGCTCCGACACTTCGAAGTTTGATCAGAACTCTTGCTGGATCAACCTTCACTCTCCAACGATGACGCTGCTGTGGATATGATGGCAGGAGAGTTCTGAGGCTCCCAGTCCAGAACCAGAACTTTCATCCCGAGACGCAAAGAACCAAGGAACCAGCGCGGTCCGCCCGATCAGATCCGCAAACTAGCAGGTCCATGGACATCCGTTTGTTTACCTTTTCGGCGCTGGCTCGCCAGGCCCGAGTAGTGAGTACACTGAGTACTAATTGATAGGCGATGACTGTTTGCGAGTATCTGTCTATCACCATCTCAGCAGCCCCATATGATGGCAGTGGTGAGAAGTGAGATACGAGGTCTTCCTGCGAAACCACAGTCAAGAACAAATACTTCAAGCCTCCATCGGTGTAGAGGACTTGCCCTGATCAACCATGAACAATAGTAGTAGTATATCACGGGTACCTGGCCCTCGGCCTGTTGATTTTGAGGCTGTCAAGCCGTCAAGCCGCCCCAGCCATCTCTTTTTCCAACCCGCATCAAGACCATTGAACGAAGGCTGGGCGGCTGGTGCTTACTGAGAGAAGTGCCTATTATTGTACTTCTTGCGGCCAAGATGACTTCTTCCACAATCCTTAAAAAGATTGCAACGGAGTACAACCCTGAAGTGTTCAGAATCCTCCAGTCTACTAGTAGTAGTACTGCTCAAAGTATTGGAGGTACCTGGAACCTCCTCCGACCAGACTGAGGAGGTACTCAGATCGTGTACCCTGTACCCTGCTTTCCCGTCTCTGGGCAGCTGGAGTGGACGGGCTATCGCTACGATCCCAGCTTTCTTGTCTCTCCTCTTCCACCTTCATCTCTCACATTTCCCTCCTCGCCTCTTCTGGCTCTTTCCCAATTGTGTTATCATCCAATTCTTCAGATTGGAGACCCCCTGTTGCCTTGTTCTGATCCCCTCCAAGTGCCCCCCTCGCGTAATTGGATAATCGCCTTCTCTCTCTCTGAGTTGTCCCACCTCTCCCGGACCTTCTTTATGTGAGGAGAGCAGCGGGCAACGAACACTCGTCGGAACGCTCAGCCCGCGTAGCAACCCAGCCGCCTGACCGGAAACCTCGCTGTTGCTCTCGTCTCGACAGGCTCTTCCTGGCCCTTGACCGTTCTTGTCTTGCACTGGTATGCTTCTGATTGCCCCTGTCCTACAAGACATTTTCATATCCACGATACCCCTCCCTCTGCGCCCGCCACATGCTCTGGACATTCCGTTCACTTTGAGCCCGTCCCCCGCCACTACTACAGCCCTCCTGCATCCCCCCCCCCCTCCTCCCGATTCCAAAACACAGAGAGCATTACCAAGTGACCGCAACTCCCCCTGTTTGAAGCAGTCCGACGGGGTCCATCTTCTATGACAAGAGCATGCGATTGTCGGGCTGAGGGCTAGGGCGAAATCATCGGCCGTCATCCTCTCAAGAAAGCAAGAAGAAAAGCCGAGCGAGAAAGAGCACATGAGAAAGAGAGAGAGACAGAGACAGAGAGAGAGAGATAGAGGGTGCAAACCCACCATAAATCACTAGCCCGCCCGGCGACAGCCCTTCCCTCTCTCCAGACTGCCTGTCATCAACCATGGGCGTCGATACTCGCCGATCCAGACCCGTTCTCCCTGCTCCTACAGAGTCTCTCGTCGATACTACAGCCGGAAGTACTACGGGCACAGACCTGGCAACTGACCTTTCTCGCCGCACAGACAAGACGTCCTTCTCAATTCCAGACGACGGCAGCCCCATCACCGTCTCCACCCAGCGGTATCGGGACCGAGACGAAAAACGGTCGCACTCACACCGGGATTCCCATACTTCCCTTCTGATCGAATATTTCGAAGCAGGAAAGGAACCAGGTAAAATCGCCTCGCGACCAAGCGTTCGAGTGCGAGTGACTCCCTCCGGCTCTCGCAAGTCCAAGGACAGAGATCGGGTTCATATCACAGAATCAAATCGCAAACCCTCATACACCCGGCGCATCTCATTGACCTCGCCTGGTCGCAAGCCGAAGCAGCTGGCCGAGTCGGGCGCAGACGAGTACCTCAGTATCAGCGAGGGGGAATCAGTGGACGAGGAAGGTCGATCCATCTCACCCCGCCCGCCAGTGGAGGTCGAATTGATGAATCGTGATCGCTCCAGCGAGCTGTCAACACTCTCGCGCGACGCCAGACTTGTCTTTCCGCCATCTGATATCTCATCAATGCCCGCTGACAGTATGCTTGACACAACCTCCTCCGCTGGACCCCGGCGCAAGCGCAGCCAAAGTCTCGAGCGTGACTCCACTATTGAAGACAAGGGTCTATTGAAGATGCCATCTCGACAGCGCAGTCGTAGCCTGAGCAAAGAGCGCATTGCTCACCGCGTGGCGGAAAAACTCAGCGGCTCACCGCAGGACAAACACCGACATCGACACCGAAGTAAGCATTCACGCAAAGAGTATTTGGATACCGAGTCCAAGTCATCGCGTCGCAAGCACTACGATGACGACGTTGTTCCAAGCGCCGAGTCGAGCCTGCTGAGCACCTCTGCGGTCTCGTCGAACCGAAAATCGGGGGATCAGTATTCAATACGATCTGGAGCGTCCAAGTCCTCTATTAACAACCCCAAGTTGTTGGAGACGGTGGAGGACGCCATCCGCCGGTTGATTTTGCCGGAGTTGAAGGAAATGAAGAAAGACCAGAAGGTGTTGAAAAACACTAACAGGTTTGAGCGCGATCGGGATTTGATGACAAACTATTCATCCACCAGCTCGAGAGACGAACTGGGCCGAAGGCTGTCCAAACATTCAAGTGCGCCGGATATCGTCAAGCCCAGGGTGGTTTTGAACAAGAACAGCAAGGACGAGGGCATCGTGCTCGCTGAGTCCGGACCCCGGACCAAGGAAATCCCACGGGAGTCCCCGCGAACTCGCAAGTCCAGCAAAGGTAGTGAGACTTCAGACAATGCGTGGGTCAAATGGGGTCGCCCGGAGCTCACCGAGCAGGACAAATTGCGACGGCAGAAGAGCAAAGGTCTGCGGGATGCGCAAGCAGCTGGACGAGTGGGCTCTGCTCTTACCGCGGCATCACTCAAACACCATGACTCGCAATCGAGCCTCGGCCAGAGCGAGCGAAGGGGCAGCGGATCTCGGAAAAGTGTCGATAGCTTCAATCTCAACGAGACTGAGCTAGTGTTCAAAAAGCACAACGTGCCGCGCATGCCCATGCATAGCGAGATCGATTCGGAGCTGACCAGGGCATCTTTGCTCTCTGAGCGCACTGAAAGCCCGGGTCCCAATGCTCAGTTTTCACATGGGGAGGTGTCGCGCGGTTCGCCTCGCCAACTCGCCTCACCCAGCTCACGGACACCTACCCGTACCCCGACGAAGAATCCGATGGACACAGGCCCAGAGCTGATGATGCGGCATGGAAACCAGTCACAGCGGGACCTCTCAACTCACAGCGCGTCCGATCGTGATCTCCACAGCAAAAGTCGCTCACCGGGCACTGACCACGGCGACTGGGTTATTGCAGCTGCAGCTGCAGCGAATTTGCTGGATGCAGCCCATCCTGGAGACCAGTCCGCACACGAAGACCGTTACGAACTCGGTCGACCTCTGAGTCCTATTCAGAGCGTGGCAAGCGACCACACCGAGACTCACGTCCATCAAAAGGGTCGCCTTTTACCTGCCTCTGACAATGCTTTGGAACAACGACTTTCCATTGATTCCTTGTCATCCGCTCCGAGCACGAATCTAGCTCGTTCTACTAGAAACGCTATCAGTCCCCATAGCCAGCAAGGCGATTACCAACATGGCCGAGACGGTCTCGACATTGGATATGGGCAGTCGCGACATGCTTCCGATGAGGATCTCTACGGCCACGATGAGGATTCTCGTCTCTCGGGGGCATATGATGACAGCGAAGTGGACTTTATGGACAAAGTCAAAGAAGGTCAGCATGTCTCTGAAGGCGCAGGTGCAAATCCTCAATTTGTACACCCGTTGGCGGTTGAGTCTAATGTTGCATCTTTGATGGATCCATCGGTCCTGGAATCACACACGTCGGGCCAGTCTGGCAACCGCTCCCATGTTGACTATGAACGTGCGGGCAGCAGAAGTCCCGAGAAGCGCGGAAGCCCATTGAAACAAGTCCAAGGGGCTCCTAGCCTCGACGAGACTTCGTTCCCTCGGCGGATGGGCATGACATCGCCGCCTCAGAGTGTCACTCAGTCGGTCGAGGGCTTGGACGAGCACGCCATGCCTGTCGCCGGGGCGCGCGGTCTTGAGAGTCCCCTCGAAGATGCTGATGAGCGTAGCCAGGAGTCTGAGTCTGAAATCAACACAAACCCGTCAATCATCCAAGGTCCCATTGGCGGAGTACCTCCGGTCGACCAAGACCATTGGGGCCCAGCTCCCGTTTCCTACTATGACTCTCAAGGTGCTCAGCCTGACGGCGCTCACGATCGAGTTCACCAGCCTCAGCGCAGTCTTGACGCCGAGTACTACGAGACCGCAAAGAACATCTTTGGTGGCGATGATTATTTTGTGGAGACACAGGATGATCAGCTGTTTGGGACACCTCCTCATGCGAAAGATGAGGGTTACGTATCAGCCGCGAATCCCATGTCTCCAAGTATCGGCACTCCTAAACAGGGTAGTCGTGGTCTGGCTGCCGGTGTGCCCGGGACTGGGGCATTCGACAGCCCTACTGGAGCCGAGGATCCCTTTGCTCCTGACCAACAGCGTCATTTCAGTGGCTACTCTCACGGAGTGGAATCGCCGCTTTATGACAGCGCCACCGGTCGCGGAATCGAAAGAATTCAATCTAAGGACATCGTGGCGTTGATGGATCATGTAAGTGAACTCACAATCGTGCATGATCGTGACCGTCCATTGGCTGACCTTGTATCTAGCTCACTGTGCGCGATGCTCAACGTAATGCTAGGGACACAGAGATTCTGGTGACCCTCGTTCGAAGCGCCGCGGAGATGCGCACCTCGTTTGAGGAAATGAAGAAATTCATTGCGGCTCAAGATGAGAAGCTGCAAGATTCAACTGAGAAGCAGCACTCTCAGACTCTTCGAGCCTTGGGCGGCCCACGTCCCTTGCCCCCCAGTGGCTCTCGAAGTCGACAGATGAATCTGGACACCGAGGAAGAGTTTCAGTCGAAGCGAAAGAATATCTTCAAACGTGCGCTCAAAGGCCTCAGTCTCAAATCTGGGAATGACCTTGCTAAGATTGAGGGCATGTTGGAGCAGTTGCTTGATGAGGTTGAGGCTCTGCGTGAAGGACAGGGTCTTCCCAGTCCTCGTGCTGGACTCCGCGGAGCTAGCGCTGACCCTTTCGATCCATCCGCTGAACACAATGGAGCCGGGCCAGCGAATTTCTCACAGAATGGGAATGCTGCTCGGGCCAGCACTTCTGATCGTGGCGCCAGCGGTTATGGCCAGCGAGACTTGGATCATGAAGACTCCGACATTGACGAAGATGACCGCTTCCTAGCTGCCCATCTTCCTGTGCAAGAGCCTGTCCGCCACGAACGAGCCGGTTCGATGCCTCTTTCGACGCCGCCTCGGAAGCCCGTGCCCACGGGAGCTCGAAGCACCGAGACGACCCCCAAGGATTCCGTAGACAAGGCTCGGAAGCACAAGTCCAGTAACTCGTCGATCTTCCCCAAATTCTCGCGCTGGTCCAAGACTACGGCCTCATCGATGGGCGACAATATCCGTAACAGCATGCAACCAAATCGTAAAGAGCGTCCTCACTCCGACCCCTCTCGCTCTGCGTCGGACGTGCCCCAGGACGCATACAAAACAGGTGATTTCTATGATTCACAGGGTGATGACCGCCTGCGTTCGACATACACCCTTGACGAGGAGCAGGATGAAAACCGACCTCCATCCCCACTTGTTCCTTCTCAAGTCTCCGAAGCGCCCAAGTACCGTGCCCACCGGGGCAGTTTGGATCTGCAACATCCCCAGCCTCGCCAGGGTCCTACCGGCCGGTATCGAAACCAGCTTGAGAACCAAGCCCAATCTTACAACACCCCTACATCACCCACCTCTGAGCAATGGGGATCCAATCCCAGCTTGCCGCCAGCCCTGGCAAGTCATATCCGCCACAGCACGGGGAGCCGTCTGTCCCCGATCTCTGATGCGGGATATTCGGAGGCAAGCTCTCGTACACCGGGCCCACCTCGCCCACCTAAGGTCAAGGACAACGGTCCCCTCGTTCCTGAGCGTCCACCCAAAATCTCTGAGGGAGAGGACGATGCGTCAGCGCAAGCTCAAGACCACAACAACGGCGATCGCGTCGTCTCCAAGGTACGTGACAGTATGGTCAATCTGCCCTTGTTCACAGAAGACTCGATATGCTAATACTTATGCTTCTTTAGAGCTCGTTGCGTTCTCCGCCCACACGCAGACCCACTGGTCCTCGACCTCTTACGTCTGGCGGATCTTACAGTCCCAGCAACATCAAGCGTACGCGCTACCGTGGCAGTCCGATGCAGATTGACTATGACGATACTTATTGAAGCGTTATGACCGCATTGTGATACCCCCCGGGCTTGTACTTTTGTTTCCGCGACATTGATTTCTTCTTGTTTAAATGACTTTCCTTGTGTTTTTATGTGACGAGGTCGCGTCTCGATTCTGTTTCTTACTTTGACGATTGGTTCCATTTCACCTCGTGATGATTGTTGTTTTTCAAGATCTCCTTGTCTTTGCGTACCTGCCCTTTACGAATGTGACGACCTCTGCGTCTGTTTATCAAAGTAGATGATCCATTTCTTCCAATATACGGGCCACTGGGCATAAGAAGCTGAAGAGAACCTGCGGTCTCAACCCCCTTTTATAAATGGAAGCGTGCTTGCACTTGCAGCAAGAAGTTCTCCGTCATTAGCTTCCCCACTCGGGACAAGCCCGCTCCTAGCAATTTCTCGAATTCCCATAAGATCTTGTCAACAACCCCTCGCCTGACCATTTCCATTCCACAAACATACATCGAAGTCCTTCCGGGCGGCAGCAGGCTGGAGTTTGGACATTGAGAACTTTGAAACGCGATAGTCCCCGGGACCACCCTTCATTACCTCGAAAACTCAACCAGCCCATCGCCGATATGAAATAGTTCTGGAAGACTGTTGTCCGAATACTGTGGTCCTTCCGAGATCTGCTCGGTATCTTTAGGTAAGCTTGAATCTTCCCAGAAGCAGTGTAAGCTGGTGGAATAGCATCCAGAATCATACCGCTCCGTCCATAGTATGTTCCGATGGTGTAAGACACGTCCGGCGAAGGAGAAGAGCGGGAAAGCAGGGCAGGGTTAGTAGATGGGTAGTAATCCTTGGTCATCATCCCTTGTCTCGAGATAATACCGTTGCGATAGATGTGGGTACTGCGAGAGTCGAATGCTGGGTGATTAGTATGGTCATATCGGAAGGTATGCCCCGGCCAATTCACTTATATACCTGGCCGAAAGAGGAAAGACCACCTAAGAAACCAATAAGCTGGTACGCAGCAGGGGTCGTCATGAATGTGGACATGCCCATCGTATAGATACCGCTCTACAGAACTTGGTCCCGAGACTTGTCGAAGGAGGTTCATAGAAGCTTTGCCTAGGGGATCACACCTCCATTCGGGGAGCGATGGATAATGGAATGACTTGACTCCCGGGAAGTAATAGACGAATAGAGCCAGGAAGAAAAAGATCACGATACGAGAAAAGGAAAGTAATATCATGACTTCAAAAGCGATGGAACTACCCTTTTTCATCACCGCTTCTATCAATTGTATGTCCCACTCCAACTCGAGAATAATGAATGAGGTGGATCAAAAATAAGTGCACAATAGTGCGTCTGAGGAATAGACCATAGCCGTCTCCCTCCCTCATAGTCCTGCTTCCAGACATGTCCCACTTCTTGTAAACCCTTTATTAATAATCTGAAAAGGGTCTGGCGTGCATAGTCCCTCTCTCGCGAAAGGCTGAAGGATCGGTAGCCAGGGATCCGGGCTTCAAGCCTTCACTGACAGGGAATTGGCCAGGAAAGCTCTCGGCCGAGCGAGCCATCATCGGACGACGGGGGACAAGACTCAGTGCGAGAGATTTGTCGCTGGTATTGGAAGAAACCCGGGGCTTGACGTTGAAAGGACCCTCGAGATCCTCTGCTGAGCTGGCGACAGACATGAGCCTCAGCTGTGTGGGCGAATGGACATGGCTGAGGTGGTATGTGGCCAGATCAGGGGCTCGCGAGTCGTTGGCCTCTTGGCGGCTTTGTCTCTCGTTGACCACTGGGTCAGCGAAGAGGACGTGCTGACTTTTCCAGCTGTTGAACTTCACGCTCGAACCAGCCGCCTCATACGGCACAAATGTATCTGATCTCAAGGGGCTTCGAGCGGGTTCGATGCCACGGGTGTTGAATCGGATCGGACTCTCTGGTGTGATCAAAATGCCGGGTACACTGCTTCGGGTAGATGTATTGTGATAGGCAGGCGATGGCCTGGTGATCCGTGTCGGGATGGACCCGGAATCGTAGTGTCCGTCGAAACCAGCATGTGGAGGAGGAACATGTCCTGCGGTGACTCTGTGCGCGGTCATGTATTCATACGTGAATACACTGCTCGGCACCGGGGAGCGGTAGATCCGATGAGGCGCAATCTCGGTGATGACCGTGAGGACTTGTGCTTCCTTGCATTTGATGGGTTCCTCAAGAGGAAACGAGTCGGCATCCTTGGACTTGAAGGGCTGAAGGACGAGAGAAATGCCATGGAGGATGTGAAGGCACAAGAGATAGTATAAGAGAGTCAATGTTGCTCGAAGCGAGATTGACATTCCAGTCTGGGAGCGCTGAGACTCAACATGATCCGCCGACGGTGTTGCCATTTGAACCTGTAATTGCGCTCATGGGAAGAATGCGATGGGAGGATGTAAGCGTCTGTACAGCTTGGATGATATCTGAATGTGGAATCTTGAGAAGAGGCAGCTAGGTCCCTTGTTTCGCTCTTGATCGAGATTTCCCCGTCCTACATGAGCGAGACGCATGGGAAGTGCGATTATGGATGCACGCAAGAAGAGAACTCCGTTGAGTCAGAGCATGCGGAGGAAGGTGGTAGGCCAGGCGACGGAATTGGGAAGCATGATGGTCTTGCCGAGCCTGATAATGGGACCAAAGGCTAGTTGTATCTTCAACTTTTCCATGCCTGATTACAATCAACATGCTTCATGTTCAAAGTCATTTGCTCGAAGGACTTGCGCAACCCCCGTGGTGTCTCAGTATTGCTCGTCTTATGACATGTGTCATATCAAAAGCAGTGTGATAGAAATGATGAGCCACTAGCGGGGTCAAGAAGCTTCTGTGTCTGATGTTCATTCTTGCGATTCAAGGACGGCATATTGAAAGTTGAGACGAAGCACTCAGAACTGAGAAGAATCGCGATGCAGAACGACACCAATCCACACTCTAGGAATTCAAGAGGGCACGATTGATCTCGTGACTGCGTTACCTGCAGGGAGGCCCGGCATTTCCTGAGATAAGATATCGGAGTGAAAGTACTTCCATTTCCGTGGCAGCTGCAGTGGGTAAATATGTTACCCCAAAGCAAGCCCGTGCATTTCGTGCTCGACGGCTGATCAAGTCTCGAGTCATTCGCCCATGACTCGTACCACACTACTTAGTAGTACTTACTAGATCCCCATTACGTACCGTGGACGAGTTGGGAGCCTGGCTGATGATTCAGCAGGTGTAAAAAAGGGCATCAACTGAGGATAAAAGATTCCACGTAGTCAATTTTTATCACACAGGCACCAGAAGGCCTATGCCGCTCCACACGCCGATCATGAGGGTTACGATCGCCCCGATCGCGCCGGTGCCGTGGGGAGCAGACCCAGTTCCTCACCAACCTTGCCTTGATGACAAGTCCGTCATCGACAGACAATCAATAAACTGGTCACTCTTCCAACTGTGAACACACAGAGGACTGGTCACTTTCCAGCGAACGCCTTCTAAGTTCTCCGAAATTCAAAGACATTCGACTGTAACGCTTCCTCTGTGATACTTCATGACATTTGCTTCGCCTGGCCTTCGCGCTGCCCGTTCCGCCATCATGTCAACAGGCTGTGCTCACCTTCGACCACGACGATTTGCACCGCTGGATGCTGGGAAATCCTCTGATGCCCCAGTACTCAAGGGTATTGTGTTTGACGTGGATGGAACATTGTGGTCAGTGTCCTGATCTTCTCATCAAATTCAGGTGAAAGCTCGAGACGGATGTCTCGCCTGTCTATTCTAGCCGAGGTCAGAAGACTCAGAACTGCTTGGCTGGGCAGCATCCATCTGCTTTCAACGAGGACAAGACCAGATATGGGGGGTCCCAACTGTTGCTGTAGAAGCGTCGGCTAACGGGTCAAAAACGCTACAGTCTGCCGCAACATCACATGTTTACAGAAATGAGGTGAGTTCGCCATGGCCACCATTGCCAGCCATTGGTACTCGTCCTTGGCAAGAAATCAGCCATGCACCTGCGCAATGATCAATGCACCTGGCCCCCAGAAAGCTCAAATCTGCGAAAAGACATTCCAAAGCTACCAGACAAGAGAGACAGAATAGAAAAAAAACTTATTATTATTCCCCGGCTAATGCTGACATTCTCGCAGAGATGCCCTTGGCATTGAGAAATCAGTCGATATTCTCAATCACATCCGAGACCTGCCGACCGCTGAAGAGCGCGATGCGGCCATCGCTCAAGTTCAGGATGTAGAGCGACGCGCCATGCTGCGCCAAGAACCACAGCCGGGTCTCATGAAACTCATGGATTATCTGCAATCTCGAGGTCTTCGTCGGGCCCTCTGTACCCGGAATTTTGAGTCAGTCTGGCCTTTCGTCGTGATTGTCCAATGTAGCTCGGCTCATAGACAAGATCGTGAACCGTGGATGAAGCCGGACTGATCATAAAACCTGCAGGGCTCCCGTTCAATATCTGCTCCAAAATCACCTCCCTTCACATGACTTCTTACCGATCATTACTCGTGATACCCCCAATGTGCTCCCTAAGCCTGATCCAGCCGGGATTCTGCACATTGCGCAAGAATGGGGACTGACCAACCGGGCAGAGAGCATGATTATGGTAAGTAAACTGCTGAGATGCAATGTTTTGGGAATGTCCATGCCTGTGAACCGTCAATGTCGGGTTAACGCTCCTCGCTAACCATTTGCTGTTTTCTCCTGGCAGGTCGGGGACAGCCTTGATGATATGACATCTGGTCATGAAGCCGGCGCTGCAACGGTGCTGGTGGTTAATGAGAGGAATGGCCATCTCAAAGCGCATGCTCACACAGACCTGTGCATAAGGCGTCTGGATGAGTTGATCGATATCCTCGAAAGCGGGTTTCTGGGCCGTGAAGAGAGTGACATGCATGGGGAGAAACGGTAGAATAGCCGAATTCAAGCTGAACTCGCGGGTCTATCGAGAAATGCTTCACGCCCAGCAATTCAAGTCATGACCATGAGGAATGATACGAAGGAGCACAATCCCATGGCAACTGGTCCGCGCGATGAAGAGGAAATGTACATTTGCAATGCGTTTTCCACAGAAATCGGAATTCTACGAGCATTAGCCCGCTCCCCAAGAAAAACCCCCAAAAGGCATTACAAGGACGGAAACGTCAATCATGATTCGGCTATGTAGTACGGAGAAACAGAGTCAAGTCTGCCTTCATCGCCCTCCCCGAGCGCGCCCTCCACGGCCACGGCCTCGACCGCGATTTCCCCCACCGCCACCACCACCACCACCACCGCGATTGGGCGCGCCTTTGGGTCGGCCAGATGGAGGAGGCGGAGGTTTGCCGCGTGGTTGATCGAATGCTGTGCTATTGCCAAACTTGATCGAGCCGCGGCCTCGTCCACGAGACGGCGGGGGTCCTTTACGGGCACCTTTTCGGGGCATCATATCCTCTTCACTGTTTGATGGCGGCGAGCGGACACTATTATTGTTACCACCGCCACCGCGCCGTCCCTTACCACGTGAGGCAGTTGGTGGCGGCGGAGGGGCAGCCTTCCGAGGCAGGTCCGATACGTTGAGATTATTGACTTTAGTCGGGTCGGCATCCTTGAGCGTGAAGAACCTGGTCCGCTGCTGGAGGCTGACCGGTAGATGGGGACAGTCGCCAATGAGATGGCTAGCACTGGTGCAGTGAGCGCACGATATGGACACGGTGATTGTCTCAAACACTGCTTCCCTTGTGGGCTGGCTGTATGTGTGCTGACAATCGGACTCCATATGTAATGTCGAACCACAGTAATCACAAGGGACCTCGGCGGCAGAGCCCTTGAGTAATGAGGGACAATCATCCTGCAGATGACCTCGTGCCCGACAACGCTGGCACCGCCGCCATGTGGGACATTGTGTGCTGGGGTGTGAATTCCATGCGTTGCAATGGACGCACTGCAAATTTCCGTCAGAATCATGTCGGCGTCATGTATTTCTTTCATTTCGCAAATAAGCACATACCTCCTTCGTGGGACAGACCTCGGCCATGTGTCCAGGTCGCAGACACTCGAGGCAACCCACCGGAAGTTGCAGGTCAATAGCATGGACATCCCGATCCCAATAGACAAGCTTGGCCTGTAGATCCATATCATCCCGGTGCAGATCCAAGAGGGTAACAGGCGCAGTAGGGTATTTCTTGGCGAACCGCTTAAATGCGGCTTCCTTGGACTCGCCCTGAGCTGACTGGGATCCAGGTCGCGATGGCTCCATTTGCCCAGTCCCATTGTGCGACTCTGTATGGGTGTCATCCGCCCCATCACTTTTCCCCCCGATATTGAGCATCAGTGAATCGTCCGCTTCAGAGTCCAGCTCTGAATCATCTGTATCACTCCCTGTGTTCACCTCACCCTCCTCCGACCCGTCCCCTTCTCCACCCGACGAGACTGACGCACTGCGGCTACGCCAGTATGCTTCATTGACTGCCTTGAACTGCTTTGAAGATTTGTCCTTCACTGGGCCCTGTCCTTTATTTTCATTGATTTCTGGCTGTTCTGTCGATAGCGGTTGGGCGGTTGACTCGAGCTGAGATGTTGATTGAGATGGCGCTTGGGTGTCTGCTTTACGCTTTCCAAGTGTGGTGCGCACTGCCGCTTTTCTTCCTTGATTCCAGCTGATGGCCGGTGCTGTGCTGCCGATGTGGGGGTTGGCCGAGGGCACTTGGGACCGCGTGCTTGACGAGTCTGACAAGTCCGAAGAGTCGGAATCACTATCTGAGTCTGATCCGGAACTCGACGTCTCATCTGGATCGACCTCTAGAGAATGCGCAGTGAAAGAGGCGCCTTTGGGGACCATGTCATCCAGATCATCTCCGGACGTGCGGGATCGATTGCGGCGCCGCCTTTTCGTGGGACGTGAACTTTCTGTGGACGGAGGTCGAGACACAGGCTGATTTTTGCGGGCACGCATCACTCCCACAGACGCTGTGCGCGAATCTGCTTCATCGCCCGAGTCCGCCATACCGGCAAACGACAAATGAGAGGATGTGTCAGGGTTGTGAGAGGGTGGAAATGCGACCGAGTTCAATCGCGTTCCGAACGTCAAGTTTTTTACGGGTGGCGGGAAACGCCGTTAGCGCAGAGCCACCCCAGTGCATCGCGGGTGGGTTTTGCGCTTCGCAGTCTCCGGCAGCAATTGGACGAACTCAATCTCAGCCGATTTGTGAAGGTGCAGATCGTGTCTATTTCGCAACAAAGGCGTTCTCAGACATGGAGACGATGCTGCACCAGATTCAGTCTTCTCTCGCCTTTCTAGATGTTGCGAACTTGGTGCCTTGTCCACACTCCAAAAGAGCGTTTCTTCATGTCAACAAACAACAGTGGGATTTCTACAGAGTACAGAGTATGTTGCTGCGGAATGACCTTGAGCTCCAAAAAAAAGAAGAGCAATCGGCGATAAAGACGATCCCGTGCATGAGACGTCAATAATTCCATGTCGTCGGCTATGACACACTCCGCGCCATTCTATTTTTGTCTAATTCAAGTGATCGTTCTCTGTAAGAATGAGCAAGAAGCGCGATAAGACGCTGGCCTTTGCCTCTTGTAATGTCAAGTCAACAGGAGTCGAAAGATGGAACATGCCCAGATTGACCCCTTTTTTTTTTTTCGTAGAGGCCAGATGTTTTTTTTTTTTTTTTTTCAGATCAAGCCTCCGGGGTCTAGCCAATTGAGCAATAATTCGCAGTAGTGAAGAGACTAATGGAAGTACTTCCACCGCTTGTCGGAGCTGCTGCAGTCTGACTTGTGTACACGTGCCGGGTCTGTTGAGTCCTGAGTCAGTCCAGACCGTGTCCCATGTTCGACTTGACATGCCGATTTGTCCACTCTTTAGTCTGGACACTCGAGTCTCCCGTGATCACATGAGCAATTTGCTTTCAAGTCACCTCTCATTGTTTTGAATGTAAGAGTTCTCTGCTCCAAGACTGTTGTCAAGAAAGCACCATTCCAACTCTGTGCACAGAGACTCTCCACTGAGTCCCCATCCCTTCAACGTTCTCCGAGACCCGATCCGCCCGACTCACGATTCTGGAGTTCTGGGCCGTGTGTGCCGTGCCACCTTAATCCCCACGCTCCTTTTTCCTCCCCTCCATTACATCTCTTCCTTCACCACCCCCAAAATAGCTGCCAGCTTTCTGTTTTATCGTGCCACCAACAAACACAGTCGAGTCTTCACGCTGGCGTCCACGACCTCAAGACCCTCTACGCTCGCTCCGCGCGCCATCTCTTTTTCACCCGAGATGGACGGAGCGCAGCGCTTATCACCCAACACGCAGAAGCAGGGCCGCCGTCGGCGGTCCAGCAGCATCATCTACCAGGAGCCGCCTGAGTCGATGGAACAAATCAGTGATCAAGCTGCGCTTCCCAACCTGAACGCCAACTGGGTCAATGCCAAGGGTAAGTTTTTGTCGCTGAGGATGAGCTGGGAGCTTTCCGGCCATTTCACTTGAACTCATGCGGTCACGGTGCAACCGAGATATCCCGTGGTACCGTCGACGGGATACTTCTTCAATTCCCTGCCCCCCCACAAAACGGCAGGAGCTGGGCTGACAATGAATGTTGTGATAAAACAGGTGCTTGGACAATCCATTTCGTGTTGATCGCCGCCCTCAAGATTCTCTTCGATATCATCCCGGGCGTCTCACAGGAAACTTCATGGACCCTCACCAACATCAGCTACATGTTCGGCTCTTTCCTCATGTTCCACTGGGTGAGGGGCATTCCCTTTGAGTTCAACGCCGGCGCCTATGACAACCTCAATATGTGGGAGCAGATCGACAACGGTGATCAATACACACCGGCCAAGAAGTTTCTGCTTTGCGTCCCGATTGTGCTGTTCCTCCTCAGCACGCACTATACCCACTACGATCTCACCTACTTCACGATCAACTGCCTGGCGACTCTGGCAGTTGTTATTCCCAAGTTGCCCTTTGTATGTGTCCCGTTGTCCGCCAATACAGGTATCGCATCTTAACTCCCGCAACTAACACTCTCTTAATAGTCGCATCGGCTGCGGATAGGTCTGTTCTCCGATATACCCGACGATTCATAGTCTTGGTTCCGCCTCGTCTCCTAATAAAAATCATTGCGACTCCTCTTTTCTTCAACAACCGTGCCCCCAGCATTGGGCTTGCTCCTTGTGTCCAGCTTTTCCTCCCCTTCGAAACGGACGAGACCTTCCGCGAACACGCCCACGCCTGAAGACCTTTGTCGAATGACTCCTTTTCTCCAATCTATATCAGGCTTGCGCAGGGCGATGCACCGTCTTTCCTCCCGGGCTCTTTTGAATGGCGGCAATAGGGAATTGCAAGGGCCACTCAAGCGGAACTTTTTGGGCGTTTGCCCCGCGGGCGTGCTGGTTGAATAGTCGAAGATTTTCCGTTTCCATTCTGCCATTAGCCTTCAAAGTCTTGCATATCTTATACCTGACTCATCTCGATACCTTTTGCTCTGTGTCTGTGTAAATTGGGAAAGGAACCTTTTGGGAGTTGCAAATATCGCAGCAGGAGTGTTTGGAACCTGTTTTAGAATGGTTGCGGAATTGCTCCCTCGCCTAATGAAAAGCTACTTTCACCCCTTGGGATATGGGCTCTTTAATATGAAGTAATGAGGTATAAGGATCACATGGAGCTTGTCTTACTAGAAAGCCCGGGAATAGCGTCTCCTGGCGATAAGAACGAACCCCAATTGAGTATCCCTGTAACCATGAAACCATACCTCCGGTACGGCTTCACTGGCATAGACCAGACGCGATTCTTACTTGACCACTTTCTCCCATTCGATCTCACTCGGTTCTTTCCAATAATCCGTTCCACTGAGACTAAATCCAAGCTTCTCCAAAGCCCGAGCACTTCTTCTATTCGGTCTTTCTGTCTCGGCGATGAACCTCGTCACCCCGCGCGTCTCCACCGCCCAATGCATCACAGCTTCTGCAGCCTCCTTTGCAATTCCTTGACCCCAGTGCATAGGCGAGACGCCATACCGAACCTCGACCATTTCATTCCACGGCGGGAAGGGTGCATCCGCGGCGTCTCGTGGGGGGATGGACGTTGTCGTCCCATCACGGACGCCAGCGTATCCAACCCAGACGATTTCCTTCAAATTGTGGACGTCGAAGCGAGGGTCTTCCGTGAAATCAAGTCCTTCCAGAATTTCGATGTTTTTGCTGGACCACATTGAGATATCGGACGGGCGTAAACCAACGGCGAAATCACCCATGCCGCGGGCTTTCCAGCATCGTCCTATATCGCCTTTTTGAATTACATCACGAGTCTCCTCGTCGCTCCATTGCCTGGGTGGGCAACGGTCCCCGAAGGCCATTTTACAAAAAGCTTCATTTGCATGGAGCGACGCATAGAATTCTCGGTAGGATTGTAGAGAGACAGCGTGTGGTGTGGGAAGGACAATGAGTCTTGGTGTTAAGAGGACGAATGGTTCCAAGGGTGTTTCCACCACATTCGAAGTAGACATGTTTGGTGGAGGTCTTGCACTCTTCCTGGACCTTTGGCAGCGCCTGGGCAGTACTTCCAATCGAGTTGGAATCAACTGAAGGTGCGGAAAGTCTGAAAGCGACTTCCAATTTGAGATACAACGTCGACGAGAAATGGAAGGTGTTTTGATTTCTGCGATAGCTAAGGATCGGATTGGGTTGGATAGCAAAGTATACCAAACACAAGCTTTGATTGGCTTGCCGAGATTACTGAGCCTCATCAATGGACTGAGCGAAGAGCAGAAGAAGAGCACATGCAGAGGAACAGAGCGTAACGCAGAAAAATTCACGAGGATATTGACCGGACAACCTGAACATATGTATGTATCTCTCATGCTCTGGATATACAGATTCGAGAAAGTAGAATCTCGCTGTCAGATAAAGTCAAGAGCATTATGTTACTCACCATGACTCACGCTCCGTCAAGTCTCAAGCTAGTCTAGTTCAAGAGGCTTTGTCAATCGACGCCGATGTTAGTGTTTTTCAAGAATTCGGCAGCTCGAAACCAACCTCTACGTCAAGGTTATCCTCATGCCCGAGGCGGTAGATGATACCCATAAATCTTGATCATAAAGAATCGAAATCATTTAGGAACCTCCATGTCGAGCTTACAGGTCATGTGATTTAGTTGTGACTCGAAGAGGATCACATGCAGGGTCACAGTACAATTACATGCACAAAGGATGTACAGTACCTGCAAGTTTAAGTCGCGACGACAAAGCAAACGGACTCTATACTGACTTCACACCCATTTGAAGAGGGAATCCCCGGGTCTGATGAGCTTCAATTAGTATATGAATGAATTGTCTATCACTGCCATTGTACCCGAGTCTGTCTCACTGCACAGGCGACTTGACCGAAGCTAGTCCCTCGCAAAGGCCAGACGCATCACCAAACTCCACAACCTAACAATAGTATTCCCTTATCGATAAAGATTTTCCCCCACCCCCCACACGCGTCAACAAGGACGCGATTCAATGGACAGGATGTTGTCTCAACAGCAAACGGTGATGGCTCCCCCCGGCGAGTTTGCATATAGGACGCCGAGGTTATTACCCTTTGAATTGGCGCAGCATGCTGGTATATTCTTCGAGGAGAAGCTCTGTTCGTGCCGCCGCCCCCTCTGTGTTGCATGTCATGTTCTCTATCTGGGTTCCTTTCGCGGAATGCTATAGAACTCACCGTCGGCCTCGACTAAAGCTGACATAGATTGCAGATACACGAGCTTTAGATCTCTTGTTCAACACACTCGCCTCGGGTACTTACGCTTCAAGTACGGCCATTGTACCTCTTCCACAGCACCTTGCGCTGGCAGCAACGCTCCTCGTTCACCCATCCACAACAACGCGCGCCAAATCAAACGAAGAGAAAGATGCACCGGATGTTGCGCTACGGCTACTGCGACTCTACAGCGCCCAGATCAATCCGATCGAGTCGAAATATAAAGTCGCCTTCAATTTCACCCATTCAAATCATTCCCGGTCGGGTCGACGATACCACGAGGAGCATGACAGCAGGAGTGAGAGCGAGCTCCGCCATTCGGAGACGAGACCACTCAATCTGACGTTGGGAACCACCGAGGCTTTATGGGCTCGGGCAGAGGATTTCTGGCACGCGGTCGGCTGGGCGTTTAATTGCTCCGTGCTGTATCCGGAACGATGGGAATACTGGCAGATATGGTTACGATTCATGTGCGAAGTCATCGAGGATGATTGGGATCAGCGCGAGAAGGAGTATGAGGAGTCCAAAAACCAGCCACGTCCGGAAGTTGACCCTCCTACGCCGAATGAGCCAGTCCGGAGGAGTGGGCGAGGAGCCCTGTCAAATGTGTTGGATGACTTGGACATCTTTCGACAGAGTTTGATCTTTCAATACATTTCTTCCGGAGCGCGAAACGGAAATGCTCGCCGAATGGTCCGGGCTCTCTTTGCAGACGGGAGCACTACGTCCTTGAATGAATTTCGACAAGTTTTCAACAAAGAGCTGGTCTCGGCCAAATCAGGAGAAGACGCTAGCAAGACCAACAAGCGTGAGCGCGAAGTCGACGTTGATCAAGAATTATATGGTGACTACATGACGGAGGACGAGTCCGAGGATGAACCCATGTCCGGAGTGAGTTCATCTCTTTCTCGCGCCTCCCCGCCTAGGGATGGAGAGTCCACGGTACGACGATCTAAACGCACGAGACGGGGAACACGGGGTGCATCAGGCATGACTGCTCCAGAAGTCCCTGAACCCGAGACGTCCCAAGCCGGGAAAGGGAATCATCATTCCGGCGTAGGGGTCGCTCAACTGGGCGGTCTTGACTCGCTAGGCTTGCGCAAAAAGCTTTTCGGCATCTTGTCCAAAGTCTCTGATCGACTAAACAAAGACTTTGTCGATCTCCACAACCTCTATCAAGACTTTGCTGAAAACGTGCGCCGTCAACCGCTCCCGATCTTTCAAGCTTTTGTCAGCCCACTCGTCCTCTCGGAGCTCGATGACGAAGCGCAAACCACTCTCTGTGAGGTCCTAACTCATAACATGATCGAAAGCGCCGCACGCACGTCAGAGCAGGATCGGCTCACAGACACGAAATTAGAAGAATGTTTCCTGCCCTTCACCGCTGCCACGGCAAATGTCGTCGATAATGCCAAGTTCTCAATCCTTCTCGAGTCCATGACCATGTCACTAGCCATGAGGGGCTTCATCAAACAAACACCTTCACTGAAGCAGGCGGTTCACGAGGGAATTGCCCGGCGGGCGCATCGGACGCAGGAAGACTCTCATCGGGGTCATGCTGGGAAGAACAGGGATGCGCTTGACTGGTCCTTTTTGTTGGAGAGTGGGGAGAGACTTGTCTTCCTGGTCGATCTTCTTCCTGAGCAGTAATTGATATAATGATAACCACGAGCGCCACGATACTCACCATGCATGCCTATTGAATCATTTCCATATGTCACGATCAACAATCGCTTTCTGTACCAGCGAACTTCTTGCGCCATTTAAATTGTTTCCTCACACGCAGTCTTCAGGCTATATAGCAGTACCATTTCAGGACGGCTAATTATGGCCAAACGGCCTGCGACGTTTCGATGCGTTGCGATCTAGCCTTTCTTGGTATAACCTAATTCATGATACAGAGTCGCAGACAACGACTTGATACATCGGAGATGATCTATTTTGTATGAATAAAGAAGATACACATCAGGGCTTCCAGGGTAATACACGCGGGATGGACTTTCGCAAAACAACAACAACAGCAACAACAACAACAACACACACAATCAATAGACAGGTAGAAACAAAGCGAGAGGACCAGAAAGACGGATACCAAGAACGCTCAGCGTGGAGGTCGAGGCCCGATAATTTGGCGTCTGGCACCCCCAACACCCAAACCAGTACCTCCGCGGTTCTGATTATCGCCGCCCATATAGCCGTACTGGTGGACATCCCAACTCTGACCCGGGCCAGAGCCCATGGAAGGATCTCGTGCAGCGGCTTGGGTTTGTTTCTGGTTCTCTTCCCATTCGCGCTGGCGTTCTCTCTCACGTTCCATCTCCCGCTCCAAGAGTGACTTTGATGCCCAGCCACCGGCGCGAGTCTTCTGCTGTGACTCCATGCGCCGCTTGTTCTCAGCATCAACTTCGGATGTGGTGCTGTAGTCTTGCGGTCGGTGTGTTGCTGGTGCAGCGGGCTGTGGTGCTGGGTTGGACGAGAGGAATCGGTCTACACGATTCTCACGACTGTGATTTGTCGTGTATGTTGCCGGGTCTGGCAGGGGCCGTGGGACGGCGGGGAGTTCACGAGGAGGTGTCGCGGGCTTCGAGGAAGCTGAGGCTGTAGGATCGGGCAAAGGACGGGAGACTGATGGTGCTGGCGCATCCTCTCTGCGGGATGAATCTTCGGTGGCCGATGAGAGATCTTGGCTCCTCTGCCATTCTCCTCGTAACATTCGACGCTCCTGTTCCAAAGAAGAGAGGGAATAGGACGGTTTTGGCGGCACAGGGATCGGTCGTTGACGAGTTCCAGATGCGGACTGCTGAACCTCGACATTGTTTGGGGATTGGGTACTCTGTCGGCCACTCTGATACTGCTGCTCTCGCTCTTTGGCCAAGGCCAGCTCCCGCTCAAGCTCTTTGATGCGCCGACTTTCGGGAGTCTCCTCGGGACTTGCAGCTGAACCCGCCGCGCGGTCTCCATGGGACTGACTGGTCTGATATTGACTCAGGAACTGCCCATTGAGGCGGGCGTCGTTGGCGCTCCGTCGGCGTTGTCGCTCCTGCTCCAGACGATCTTCCGCCGCCTTTTCTTCGGCAAGACGACGCTGTTCCTCCTCTTCCCACTGACGTTGTTCTTGTTCCCAGCGCTTTTTCTCCATTTCCATCTCCTGGCGCTCCTTCTCTCTCAAACGGGCTGTTTCCGCCTCCCAGCGTCTTTCCTCCTCTGCGCGGGCACGTGCTTCTTGCTCTTCTTGTTCTTGTTGATGCCGGCGTTCAGCCTCCTCTCTCTCAACCTGCTCCTGTTGCAGCCTCTCGTTCTCCTCCCTTCTACGCTTCTCTTTCTCAGCCAGACTTGGCACGGCTGGGCCCGGAGTTGTGATCTGTCGTCGTGCGCCAAAGGCAATACCCTGATTGCCCTGGCTCGCCCCACCCATGTATCCATACTGATGGATGTTCCAAGCCGGAGAGGTGGATGTCTCATCATCTCGCTTGCTCCACGAGCTGAGAGAGCTTGTCCCTCGTGATGGACTACCCGGGTAAGGATTGGCATCACTGGCATTACTTGATGCGCGACCATTTCGCGTGTAGGAGCCCGCGTTGGATGCGCCGGTGGCATTGGGGCTGATCACACCGCGTTTGCTCTGAGGACCAACGGTACGAGGAAATTTCCGGGGTGCGAGAGCATTTGCTCGACGACTGAACGCTGCCAGGCACTGCAGAACCTGGGCAGGATCCTTAGATTCGTAGAGGTCGACCGTGAGAAAGACGTCGTGCGGGGGCAGGCTCAAGGGAGCCATTTGGCAAGCGCGTAGGAAATGCGAGATGTTCTCCATTTGCACAAAGGGCATCGACGATGACTTGAACTTGACGCCGGGTGACACGGCCAGATTAACAAGCCTGGGATTAGAAAAGGGGCCGTTAGTCAAGATCGCAATAGTCGCAAGCTATCGGTCGGTGATCGCGATCGCAGCACCCAATTCGAGTCGAGCGTCAGACTTACTTGCAGAGAGCAACGCCATCTTTCAAAGCTTCAAGGAGATCCCCCGAAGGAAGTTTTTCTTGAAGCACTTCCTCAATCCAGTCGCGGACCTCGGCGGCTGCCTGCGGAGTATAACGAGACAGTCGCAAATTGCGCAAGTCCTTGTCCAAAGAGGTTACCGAAGCCATTGTGATATCTGCGCCAGAGTGTTCACTAGCTAGCAGGAGATTTGCGAAAATTGAGAAAGACCGACGCCTCCGTGGTCTTTGCGAAGGCTTCCCTTAGGCGGCGATCGTGCCTAATCGCTCCAAGTGGGGAGAACGGGAACTTGGGTAGCACTATTAGTATTGAGTTGGTGGGGAAGATCTCGGTGCCTTGAAGAAAAGCCGATTCCCAGGGTGAGCGAGTGCTGCTTCCTCTACTGGTCAATGATAATTGTGTTGATCGCAGAACGTCGAAACTTGTGAGATATGGAAGAGGTATCTGTGAATCAAGGGGAGGGTGCCAGGATGGACTCAACTGTTGGACATTCCATGCGGGGCCTTGGGACTGTTTAGTTGCGGCGGTGCCGATGACGTTCGCTGGGGCCTGGCAGATCATCCACCCAACTCGTGCGCCGGGGCTGTCTCCGGCTTGGGCAAGCTTACCTTGGGCCGGACTTCCATCTGCATGCATTAATTATAAAGGCAATCCAGTAAAGTTCACAGCGGGCTGCCCCATGGTCTCGATTGACGTGAGAATCAGATCTTAGCGCTCAGCGACCTAACTTCTCGCGAGTATCGTTGCCCTTTCTGTGTTGGACCGACGATATAACCCCCTCCAAAGCTACTGTACATCTCACCAAGTGTCGCAGATTGTGCCAGTCGACTAGTTTGTGGCTTGTGAACTACCAAAGAGGCGTCTGCTAGTAGTAATGCCAACTTCAGCTGTAATAAATGTAATCAGAGAGCACAGGGTGGTATTGCTTAGCCATCGTCTGGAGGATCTCCCAGAAAAACTACGTGGTTCCACAAGAGCTCAGGCCGAGTATATAAATAATATTTGCAAGACAAAACAGAGCCTTCAAGCTGTAACTTGTGGCCCCAGCACGACGGCAGAGACTCTGACATGAGGATTAGACCTTCTCCTGCACCGTGGTCTCATCGACGGGACTATCATCATCTTCCGGCTTGGAGTCAGGCAGTCGTCGCCATTCCATAGCCAATGCTGTGACGCAAGCAAGTGCCGATGTTGCGAGAGCCACCCAAAAAGCATTCCTCAATGCCGAGTTGAACGCGCCGACAACAGCACTCATCAGGTTGGGGGGTACTAGTGCTCTGAATCCACTTGCACCGGCCGCTACGATAGCATCGGCATCGACTCCTCCCTGTATCTCGTGGAGGCTCTGCAAAAGCCCCGTCGTGAAGAGGTTCTGTCCAACACTGGGAGCTAAAGCGCCGCCTAGCATCTGGAAGAACATGATGACCACTAGGCCAGTGGGGACATCTGGCTTGTTGAGCACAACTTGCACCGCGAGAATCGGCATTTGGCTGCAGATGCCGTAGCCTAGACCGGTCAGGACCTGGAAGCCAATCCATTGCCCGCGAGGGCTGTTGGGATTGATGAGTTGATAAAGACCGCCGCCTGTGGCGAGGATCGGAGGTCCGATTAACATGAATGGCACGTAGTGCCCGAATTTGGACGCGAGCAGACCAGAACCGGCTGTGCCAATACTGTTGGACACAATCAGTGGAAGCAGGTTGATTCCGGAATCTCTCGCATTTGTGCCTCGGACAGATTGGAAGTAAATTGGCCAGAAGTATGATTGAATGACAATCGCTACTTGTACGAGCATCATAAATCCACAGGAAGCTGATACTGTGCGGCTTTGGAAGATGTGAAGAGGTATGTTGGCACTATAAGTGGGTCAGTATTTGTGTATAGATTTGTTGGTCAGATGAACTCGAGGGGCCCTACATAGGCGCCGGTAAAAAGATAGAGACTCACTTTTTTTTACCTCGAGATTGTAAACCCAAGAAGGCAACCAAGAGAAGGCCAAAGCCGATCAAGCAACCAAATACCTTTCCCTCGGACCAGGGATAGACGATGCCACCCCATTGTAGGGCTAGATTCAGACAAGATGTGGCCCCAAGCAAAATGACGGCTCCCGGGATATCCAGTTGACGAAGCTTTTGCCTCCATGGTGAGTCTCCCTTCACCGCAGGTGGGGGATTCTTCAACGTGAACCAGATTAGCGCCAACGCCACTGCTCCAAAGGCTACCAAGAACTGTTAGTAATCCTGGCATTTATGCTGGAAAATATAAAGACAACTCACGAAGATTGATCCAAAAGATGAATCGCCAAGTCAACTTCTTGTTATCCGTGATTGAACCGCCCACAAGAGGCCCGATAGCTGAGCCAACATTGTACATGCCCAGTACAATCGGTGTCAAAAATGCCTGCTTTCTCAAAGATACGCAGTATGACAAGATCGTAGTCGATCCGCTCACCAGGCCAGCGGCGCCCAGGCCGGAAATTGCTCGTCCAATAATCAGTGTGATAGAATTCGGAGCCAACGCCGCGACAATCGACCCAAGTTCAAAGACGACCAGTGAAAGACAGTAGACCCACTTGATGTTGAAGAAGGTATAGAGCCGGCCACAGGTCGGCAGTAATGCCATCTGCGCGATCAAGTAGGAAGAACCATACCAACCGATATCGTTCAAGCTATGAAAGTCATTGGTGATCTTGGGTATTGCCGTGGCTAGACCAAATGAGTCAGCTTATCGAATTTCCGTCAAGGATGGGACTTGAGATTGATCGAGTACCGAGAATGGTGTTGTCAATAGCAAGCACCAAAAATATTGCCATAAAAGCCATCGTCAAGCCTGCGAGAGCCCATCCGTGCAAGTATGTCGAAGCCGGGGGCTGCTCCTCGTCATCTCCCTTGGCCCCAGCCGCGACCTCAGCTGGATGTGGAATCTCCGTCTCAACGTCCATTTTGCTTGCCCGCGATGAGGGAGTGAAGTTGTAAAGCGTACTCTATCAGAGTCTGGTGTCCATGGAAGCACACATCGGACCGACAGCGGTCTTGAGCAAATTAGCCGCCCGGCCGTTCTGAGCGTGCCGTCAGCTGAACTAATTATGCCACCGATGGAGACTCGATAAGTCGACGGCGATGCCCCTGACCGGCGGCCTCGACATCTTGCGGGGTCAGAGTCAAGCGCACTCTAGGCACGCCTGAACCTTCGAGTTCCGATTTCGCCGGCGCAATATTAGCAGTGCTGAATCGAGTACTACTCCCTGACCTCAAAGTGCGTTACCTGCACAAATCAACAGTGCGTGAGCCGCAGACCGGTGTAGGGTGACCCTGCACGGCGGACAGGGATGTGTAGCCATGCCCAAGTCCTGACTTCCTGAGCGTCAAGGCGGCAGAGAGCAGGAAAACGACTTTTTTTTTTCCATTCCCGGGTGAGCCACAACAATAGGCTGAAAGCCTTGCTGAGAGTAAGCCGCAAGATTTTTCACAGCCCATAGATGTGCTCGGGCTCATGTCAAGTCTGAAATAGAGCCAACGGAATGATTGTCAGAGTTGCCAGAATAGACCTGCACTAATGAATGGAAACTTTCAGTCAGTCGATCTTGGAAGATCAGTACCACGGCTGAGAGACCGAACACCTAGAAGAAAGGAATACTTGATAGGTGGCAGTAGGACTAGCCAGAGATGCTATTTTGTCAATGAGCAGCACGCCGCTCGGGCTTCTTGTCAGGACCAGTCCGTGACCAGCTGAGACATTCTCACTGCAATTCCTATGTCCTTTCTGAGCTGGTGGATGTAAGTTCTTCAAGTATTGAGTGTCCGCTCTAATGAAAAGGGATAATCGGATCCCAATCCAAGCGATTCCAGCCTGCTTCCCCTTCAGGTGGACTTCGATGCTTGACCTAGCAAGACCCGACTGTGCGTAGGTAGGAGGTAAGTCCCAGCCCGTGATCGTCTCCCGCGGTCCCGCCCTCCGCATTGAACTACTCAGGTAGATGAGAAGGTACAGAACAGCCCTTCAACGACTGGCAGTAGTAGTGTAGAACCGTACCTAGGTAGGTAGGCAGGAGATGGTGGACGTCAGCTACTCAATTCTTGGAAATCTGTCTTCGCGAAAATACGAGGCAGCTCTAAGTATCACTTCAATCACGTGGAAGAGGAGGATTCTTTGGCTCATTCAACAACCATCATCAAGTGCGACACCATCCTATCAATGCTCCTGCGACCCACAACAATGTGCCTGGGATGTTCACCCCAGCCAGCTCTTACTTCGAGGGATTCCCAACGGATTCCCACGAGAGATGTTTGCCTGCCTGAGGGTTCAAGGCATCTAGCATCAAGTTTAGCAGCAATGGCCCATTTTTGATTCTTGGAATGCCGCCGAAGTGGCTCTGTACTGTATGTAGAACCTTCATAGCCTTTGAGTGAGGCATTTCAGATCTTTGAGTGTCATGTCTGCCATGAATCAGTAGTGGTTTGCCATCGCCGTCAAGGTCTTCTTGGCCCAAGTAGTCACTGGTCCCTAGTCCTACCCGACATGAACACTTCAGTACTCTTCCTGGAGAAGTCCCCGCCGCGACCTAGCGGTTACATAAGCACTACGTGAATCAGCCCCCGGGCCGATCGGCCTCAAGAGGGAAGTTGAACGACGCGGACGGGTGGAGCCGCGGCAGTCGAAGCCAACTCAAACCGAACCATCGAATAGACGCCCGGCCCTTTGTCGCAGACCGTCATCTAACGGATCTCGAGTCTCGAAGCTTCTCAACGCGGTGCCTTCCATCACCAAACATTTGCACATTCGACATTCGACACCCGAGTCTCTCCTTTCGCTCACAACGCAGTGAACACACACATCCAAGTCAGTCATGGTCAACAGTCTCTGGTTCAAGTGGAAGAGTCTGCGGCTTCCCTGGCGGCGATCGTTTCTCGTTGGTGAGTCTCCGTCCGAGTTCCCGGGCCTGTGCATGTCTTGTCCATTGCTCTGCGTGACGATGTCGCCGATCAGTCTTGGGTCTTTGGGGATATGGACGATCCTGATGACATTGATTCCATCTATTAGGCCAGGATCTGAACGGGAATACATTCTGGGAATTCAAGGACGTCGCAAATGCGAGTCGCTTTCGACGAATCGTCAAATTCGATCCAAAGACTCATTTCGGAGATGTCCAAGTGACGCGTGAGTCTATTCCATTCCTTCGCTCTGCTCGTCCACTGCCATTTCCTTGCCGGCGTTCAAGTTGTGACTAACGGTCTCTTGTTCATCGTTTCAGCGCAATGGCATCAATGGCTCCGATACGTCCGCCGCGACCCGCCCAGCATCCAAGAACAACAACAAGATTTAGTCCGCCAAGAACAAATCAAACATCTCGCCCGACTAGCAGATGAGCGCTGGGCCAGCAAGCCGTCTTTCCTCGACAAACCCAAGACAAGGCCCGATATCCAGACGTCTGCGAATGCTATCAACCCGCCTGCGACAGCCGCCGCGACAGCTCTACCAAATAGTGATGCGCCATCTGTTGCCTCGCCAGCCTCGCCAGCTCACCCGACAACGCAGCCCGCCACCCAGTCGGAAGTCTCGAACCCAGCTCCCGTGAAGGAGGATCCATGGGCCAAGGCGAAGACCGGGAATCCCGGAGATACATGGCAGCCCGAGGCGTGGAATCCGACTTCGAAGCGATGAGGGAACTCTCTTCAGAGTCGATTGAGGGGAACATTGTATCAAGCGAAATGGAGAAACAAATTCCAGACGGATCAGCGATAGCTCTATGTTTCTGAAGGCTCAGTCGAGGTTTCTGGGACTTTCAAACCGTCCGCAAGACTGCGTGGCTGCACACAGACGCAAAAGTTACCGATTTGTTGATGACAGTCCAACGACTCATCACCCTGCACTCGGGTATCGGTGCAATGTTCAGGCGACGACTATTACCGGGTAGCGGGACTACCACTCCCCAACTCAGTCTCACTTGTCATGTCCCTGTGCTGCGGTATGAATGAACCTGTCCAACGCCACTAGAGACATGGACAGAAGACACAGAGACGCTATAACTAGGCACCTTTGCAGGAAATGAACTGTCAAGTATCAAGGATTCCACGTGTGTCGTGTACTTTTACATGAGTAACTATAATACAAATCTCATGCAACATGTTTTTACACAGTTCGAAAGCGCCCTGCTTCTACAGACTACAGCTTCCGACCATCATGCCGTCTAAGTACAACTTGAATCAATAGAATGTTTCATACCGAAAAGAAGAGACTTAGATCCATTGCCATAGGGGCGGTTCATTGCCAGCATTGAACCGTTAGGTACATTCCCAGTTTACCCCGGTGTCGTGTTAATAAACTTTTTGTTAATCCAACCATGCCCAATCGCGGCCAGGGACATGGAGTGGAGCGGCACCATGTATCGTCCACTGCAGACAATACGACAACTTTTGATTTTTCATGTGAAAAGAAAACGAACATCGAAACGCTTCAAATTAATCGTGAGATTGGTGGGCGTCGAGTGCCTGAATGACTCCACCGGCGAGGAAACTCATCTCGTCCGGCAGGACATGAATCCGACCAATAGCCAGACGGTGCTCGAGCAAATGCTCCACCTTGTCCAGAAGGAGTCGGTGAGGAGAGGAAGGGAGGGGGGCGGCGGTGCGTTCGGCTTGCAAGCCAGCGACGTTCTGCTTGCGAAGTTCCAGAAGAGTATCAAATTCGCCCGTCGAAAGAAGGTTGGGGAAGACGCCAATGACGTGGCTTTGGATTAGATCCAGGTACATGCAGTGGGCGTCATCGGGATGCATCGACTCCGTTTGATTGCCAAGTCGGACGTTATCCGCCTGCGTCTGGATGTATGCTTTGTATTTAGCATCGGCGATGCCATGAATGCCATTCATGTAGGCGATGAAGAGTTGGCGGTCCACGTCGACGTTGTCACGGGAAAAGTCCTCAGGGTGAGTGACAGCAGCGCGAGTGAATTCGGCGTGACGGGGCTCTTGTTCCTCTTGCTCCTCATCGTCGTCGTCGCTGTGGTCGTCGGACAGCACAGAAGAACTCAAAGATCCAGCCTTGAGCGCCAACATCATCATTTCATGGCATGTCATCTGAGGCTCGGTGGTGTCCTCGTCATCTGCCATATCCAGGTCGGAGCTATCGATGTACTCAATATCGGTAGCAAAACGAACGGAGGGCTCAAAGGCGATGAAATCATCGTCGAAGGTGTCGGTGCGATCTTCGCGGGTCTCGGGGACTTCGGAAGTCTCTTCCCAGACCGAAAAGTCGGACATGTTATCGTCCTCATCCTCGTCCTCATCCTCGGAGCCCTCAGAGAGTGCGTCGTACTCAAACTCGATGTCGTCCGATCCGTAACCGGATTCAGACTCCGAGTCATCAGACGCGTCATGCGCATCGGATGTAGAAGTTTTCAGAATCGACTTCAGGAAGGGGTGCAGAGTAGGCGAACGCTTCTCAACGAAGGTCTCCACGCTGGACTGCAGAGGAGCGGGCTTGTTGGATGTGACAGAGACTTCGTCTGACCCGTAGCAGCTATCCTGAGAAAATGACACCTCCAGATGGGCGAAGGTGGAGGACAGTGAATCCCATGACTCGCGATGCGTAGCGTGCGCGGTAGCCATGGTGGGCGGTGGTTGAGGTAAGAAGTAGGTAAGGTGAGAGCGGAGGAGTGGCGAGCAAGATACTGGATTGATTTGCTCCTCCTGTAGAGGAAGGGTCGAAAGAAATGTGAAGGAAGTGAAGCTTTTGGTGTTTTCAGTGTTGAGTGGAAAAGAAAGAGATGCGAGGAAGGCCTCGATTGCACGGAGAGAGGTCCATGGTGAAGCACACGGGGAATCGTGTGTACGCTTAAGGGCAGCCCCAGGCAGGCGTGTAAAGCGAAGACATGTTTATTTTGTTGTGAGTATTGGCGAAGATGGTTGAGCGAGGTCTTTCCTCTTTGCGCGCGCGTGTGTGTTTGCCTATGAAGAGTGTGTGTTTGCTGGAAAGTTCCGATAAATGACAAACACTTCGATCAAAGGGATGCTGGGAGCCTGGGGGAGAGCGTGTCCTCTGACGGTGTCCAGCTCGGTTACAGTCCGGGCGGTAGAGTTGAGTGGGATTGTTTGTGTCTTCTTTACTGTGGAACAAGGAAGGGTTTGCTGAGGAGGGGTCGAGACTGAGAGGGTGTGATGATTTCGCGACGCGATGCAAGCGGCGGAGGAATGTCAGGTGCCGGATCAGCCTGAAGAAAGGTCCCGGAAAGGTGGGCGGTCGGGTTGGAGGCCACAAGGCAGGGGACAGCAGGTGACAGTCTTGTTGGCACTGGCAGTACTCAGTTTGTCCACGGTGACCGCGGATGGGAGTCGACGAGAGATGCTGAGGTTCACGAAAGAATCGTCCGACGAGCCCAAAGAGGTAGAGAGACCAGTTGAGAGAGTGAGATCCCACAGTGCGCGGGGGTATCGCCTCTTTCGGGAGGGGGAAGTGGATTGAGTCACTCGGCGAAAATCACTTGCCGAATCGACGGCAACTGGACAGTTGCGTTGAGCCCTACGCAGCGACAACAGGAAGCTGGAAACCGCTGGACAGTAACGATTTTCTTGATCGTTGAAGCTGACAGACAGAAGAATAAGAGTATAGATCGTTCGGTATGAGCTACTAGTTCATCAGAGGTTTCAGAGAAGACTGTGAGAGAAGGCTCTGGCTAAAAGGGTAATGAAGGTTTCGAAGATGATGATCGATCTACCCACCCTAGCAGATGCCAGATGATTCCGCCCATGCAATTGAGCCTGATTTTCGGCTCACTTGGCTGGATCTGACCTCACTCTGCATTGCGCACTAATCAGCCCCCCGCGAAGGACTGTATAAATGTATAGTCCATAGTATATACTACTGTGGAGTGTAGAGTGTAGAGTTGTGAACAATAGTAGTAATCAAGAAATTCGTAATAATGATTCGTCTGAATCATTACTAGAACAAAGCGAATTAGTATTGTGCTTGATAAACATTTAAAGTCTGACTTGGGCTACTTACTGATGGATTAGGTTCATTCCAACTGATGATGCCTTACTCTCCACCTCGTCATTCTGAGTCAGCCGTGGGTTAAGTGCCCATCGCCTGGGGAAAATCGACCCCTGAGGCCGATCGGGGCTCCTGTTTGATCACTCTCATCGCGGAGGTACTACTGCACCTCAGTCTACGAGTATGCGCGAGGACACGGAAGAAAGTGCTAGAGCAGTAGTAGGATCACAAATGCAAGGTGATCACCGAGGGAGGCTCCTGAAGCATGCATACGGGAGAGTGAGACTACTACGGTAAGCCTCGGCTGATGGAACCACCAAGAGGACTAATTTTTGTGCAGCGACCTCGATCGATCGTCATCGGTCAATTGTAATTCCGTCGAGGTGGTTGCGCACCGAATCTGAGCGGTCGGCAACTGGCGGAAGATGCAGCTCGGCTGTTGATGGCCTGATGGCCTGATGGCCTGATGGCCTGATGCTCCACCTGACATCCGCATTGTCAATGACTCTGCAACATCCACTCATACAGGAGTCGGTTCATCGCTTGCGTAGGAGGATCGAGATCGTGCACTTTGCGAGCGCACGCCTGATTCTTCTCGGTGTCGATGTGGTAAACCAGCTGGGTCCCGATCAGTAGCACGCTAGCATAATCCCTGATCCCTCGGCATCGTGAAACGTTAGTCTTTGACATGCCCAGTCGAAGATTGAAGCTAGCGAAGCGGCAGACCTACCTAATCACCTACTAACTCACCTGAAGTACATTGCTCCGCTGAAGTCGCCGCTTCGGCGGACCTTTGCAATTACGAATCTGGACTGCCGAATTCCAAATTCTAGAGGAGGGAACACAAGGGATTCTACTTGGCTAGCAGCCACCTGACGGGGCTTAGTTTGCTCTAGTGGACAACGAGGCTGGCTAATTGATTCATGTTCTTCCAGCAAACGTAAGGAGGCCCCTGCCAAATTTAGATGTTCCCACTCTTGCACTTCGGCTTTACCCTACCAACTCTCAAATTCCTGATTCGGCGATCACTGTCTAGCAGTCAAGCAGTCAAGCAGTGCCACATCCGTTGGGAATCCTTGTATGACCAACGTATGCGAACTCCCAACTTTCCAGAGAGGACGGTGGACTGTGTAGTGTTGTGTACTGAGTAGTAGTACACAACATTTGGTGCCGCAATAGCATCCGAGGACGCGAGTCATGGGCGCCCATTTTTGCACCGTCTTGAGTCTTACTAGCAATGTGACCCAAGGAACAGAGCAGAACTCATCATTGATTCGTGTTCCTGATGGGGAAAGGACCGGCAAAGGAACTGCTACCATCGACTGGCCCATGACTTCGTGAGTCTCGCAATAGCTTGGACTGGGAGACTAAAATTTACTGCCAAATTTCCAAGGCAACCATCAGGCCGCGGTCTCATGTGGCTGCCGGGCCTCAATTTGCACGGAAGGAGACACAACCCTTGACAAGAAAACTGCCTCTGGAGAGACAAAGCACAGTGGGATGTCCCTGGCTCCAACATCAAATGATATCATCCACTCACATCTGTGCCACGATAGCTTGATAATAATAGCATCAAGCTTAAGATGGGTAGAACCCAACCACATCAGTTTCTCGTGAAGATCTCATGCAGGTCCGACGTTTTGTTTCTTCAACTCCACTCATGGCTATACTACGCGAGATGAAGCGATCTCAATGGCCCGGCAGCTCTGGCCAAGCTGCTCATGATTTGTCTAGGGCATTGCTTGAGCGGGAATTACATTCCGTCCAGCCTCCCAAAATTTCGACCCACATTCCAGCTTTCAATGCGATTCGGGGGAGAAGACCACCACCCCGTCGCAGTGCAGATGGTCTTGGAGTGACGACTCGGCAAAGCTCTCACGATGGCAAAACGAGTGGAACCATGTCAAATGGAAGGCACTGGGTCAGGAGCATGGAGAGGGGAGGCTACAGTACTGTAGTAGGCGGCGAGCCCGCTCATTCAATCGAAGCAATCAGGACAGGGCCGTGGATGACCGGACCACAGGTGTCATGACGCCTACACCCAACCCACGAGGGCCAGATACGAGACTACTGGCCTCCACTGATCCACTCAGACCAAACTTGAGCGCTTTGCCTGGGTGGGTGATGTTGCTCCTGATCCGCTTGGCAAGAGCTTCATGTGTATATACCACCACAGAAGCTTTGTCCAGCTCGGCGATTGGAAGAGATCATGGAAGTAACATGCCTCTGAGGCTCTTCTGCACTTCTCCCGCCACATGAACCTATGTCTGGTCCCCACTGCAGGCCTAGTGCGGCTGGAAAAGAGAGCCTACTGCATGCCTGCGGGTGGCTATCGGACCGGATATCCACTCTGGGGGTGGAGCCCCATCTCGCGCTTCAAAGAGCTTCAGCAGTTTATCGGAGCGTGAAAGATTCTTCGATTGGCCTCATGAGGCAGAAGGTGTCTCCTGTCATTCCTCGTACCGTGACAGTGGAGTCTGTCGATCAAAGTCCACAGACCAACCGGGCTGTCCCACAGGACTATACATTCCTAGGGCCCTCTGGCCCGATGCTCAGGAATGTGTGCAGAAAGTCCAAGGCTGGGAATCTTCTGCAGACCTTCAAATAGTCGCCTCGACCTGTTTGTTTGCTTTGCCTTTTTTGCATACTCAGCAGTGTTTTCATCAATTGACAAGCAATCAAACAGCCACAGTCATTCAAACAGGCCCTTGTTGACTCTGCTCGGTGGTTTGCACTCGTTCCAATTGATTTGCACCCTTTGCACCCTTTGCAAGCAAGCATTCGTCATTCACCCCAGCTTTCTTGCTCGACTCTTATCGGTAAAGCCGGTCGATCTCCGCAGATCTCCGATTTGAATCCCGCTGAGTCTGTTCTTCTGTCACTGCAAGAAGTCTCGCCCTTATTGGCTGCCAGTCCATCGCAACCTCTTATTGTGTGGTTGCCAATCAAATCGTCGAACATTACTTCCTCACTACTGGATTCTGGCCGCAAACGGAAGTTCCTCAACGCAAAGATGTTCGCCCAACCTTTCGACCACTCATTCAATGACATTTTCCACCAATACGTCAACGTGGATACCCCCGCGTCTGATGGCAAAGATCCCATGCTCTCCAGCACTCATTGGGACCAGTTCTTCCCGCTCGACTCTCTATCGAGCGAGTGTGGCGATCTCTCGCCCACTGTCTCCACCTCCAAACGCCTTCCTTCATCACCGCAACCCTGGCCGCAGGACTGGTCCCTGCAGGACGATAGCTGCCTCGGTGATCAGTTTGCTTTTTCAGAGACTGTCCACCCGTCCGTGATCTCCGGTCAACTTTCGACGCCTTTTGAGACTCCCGTTCGGCCAACCCTGACTCACCGGGCTACCAGTGCTGTCGCTCCAACGACTCCTCCAGTAACTCCTGAGCGCAAGGCGACCAAGAGCGCACTCCTCACTCCCAAGTCCATTCGCCATCGCAACCCGAATGAGCGCCGCAATCTGATGCGCAAGCAAAGTTTCTCGCCCAGCTTGATGCAATCAACGATTTTGAAGGGAAGAATGTCTTACCCAGAGGCTTGGGCCCAGCGAATTCAAAACTTCACCCTCACCGGCTCAGATGATCGCCTGCCTTTGTCCCCCCCACCATCCGATATCCTCCTACAGCAGGGAGGTCTTGGGGATGCTGCGTCTGTGCAGCACCCTCGCTCCTCTGCAGAAATGGCTGCTCAATATGATGCTCGTCTCTTCCACCAATCACCCGCGATTTCGATGCCATCACCGTCTGCAGATGCCCTTGCTCGCCATTCGCAGCAGTACATGAGCCACTCTGCTTCTTCGGCATTGACCAACTCCAGTCCCTCTTCGGCGGACGACATTTTTTCTACCTCACACTCATCCGATCCTCACTCTTTATCCTCGTGTTATTCTGACTCCCTCACTGCCTCTCTCTCGTTCACCCCCGATCTCCAAAGCCAGGAGGCTCAGTGGTGGTCCCCTATGCCCTCTCGGGTCTCCCAACCGTCAACCAACTATCACTCTATGGTCCCATCCCCCGCGCCTCAGCGCTCTCTTTCAACGGCTAACGGCCAACAAGATATGATGCAAGGAGGGTTGATGATTCAGATGGACCCCTCCTTTGATATGTCGAACGACCCTTCATTACTCACCATGGGCGGCCAAAAGTTCATGGCCCCCTTCGCTGCTCCTCAAGCTCACAATGTCTCCTCTTCTCCGTCACGATCCCCGTCCGGGGGTTCCCCAAAGGACGCCAGCAACAGTGCCCGGAGCAGCCACAGCCGAAAGCACAGCCGAAAGCTTTCCGGTCAGAGCACGTCCACACCAAAGCCCACAAAAAGCTCTACCAGTCCTCGCGGTGCGAATAAGTCGGTCAATGTTTCTTTCGTCAACTTCACAGCTCACGACAGCAAGAAGATCCTCACCGGTGTTGCCCCCTCGGGCAGCTCCAAGACCAAGGCGCGCCGAGAACAAGAGGCTCGAGAACGTCGTCGCAAAATGAGCGAAGCCGCTCTGCGTGCCGTCCGAAACGCTGGCGGAAATGTTGAGGCGCTGGAGGCTGTCTTCTATTGATCGCCTCAGTGTTCCAATGTAATATTATCTCTGCCCCTCGTTGTCTTCCTCTATCTTGTTTTTTTCTTTCTTGTTCGCTTCAGCCAGCTCATCATCGTTTTTCACTTGGCGTCTTGATACTTTATTGGGAGTTACTTTTTTCGGTGGCCGGCCTCTTCTGATTTGGTCTGATTGTTTTTGCTCTATTCCGAGCTCCGCTTTATACTCCAAAAGGCTTGATAGATTTTTTACATAATGTTTAGACACAATACATATTTCTTATATCTCAATTCAGAATTCACATGGTGTCGTAAGCCAGAAAGATCAGAGAAACTTTGCCTTTTCCCCGGGCAGGTATGACCATCTCATCTTGCTCTGAGTTATCGTCGCCTAAGTGAGGTGAGACTAAATTTGTCCCCATTTTGATGTGCATTCTGATCTCCCGTGACAGGGCCATGAGTCTTTCCAAAGCCCTAGAATCGTGAGCATTCCAGCAATATATAGATATCTGGGGTTAGGCAGAGAATCATCCTGTGGGTTCCTCCAGGCTTCAGCCTCCTCTGACTATATAAATCATCCTTTCACACCTCCTCCACTCTCCCTCCTTCCTCTTCCATCAACATCAAAATAAGAATTCGATTCATATTTTGATTATTCAAAATTTCAAAATTTCAAACTGTGCGGCTGTCTTGGGCCTTACCAAGGTACGTGAACGGTGTGCTTCATGCTACGCAATTCCTTACCCCTTCACCTTGACGACATTTCTTCATTGGCTATCACTCTTCTGTTCTACTTGTGTTCAAGAGTTTCAATTGATTTACGAGCCTGATCTGTGAGCTTCTCTTCATACCTACCTACCTTCTCCACACTTCCACATTGGCCGAAGGCAACTGAGCGTGATCGAGTCATGTGTTTATGCCGTTGAAATTCTCTGCATTTCCATCGCTCGACCAAACACTCGCGTGTCCCCTCACAGGCATCAAGCAAACAAGTCTTCCAGGGGGTTTGAGTTTCTGTTCATAGTCGTCTTCTACGCGCTTCTGGATCAATACGCTAACGAGTCCCACAGACAAACAAACATCGTCTTCCCTTTCATTTAAAATCTTGATCTTCAGATCCATTCTTCCTCCTTTCTCTTTCCTTCACATCGCTTTCACCTTCGATTTCAAACCTCACTTTCAACTGCCGACGTCACTCAGACGTCTTCTACAATTCCAAGCTAGACTTCCTGCCCTGTCTTAGGGTTCAAGTCTGACCTTGCGAGCTCAGACTCTTTACAATCTTCGCGCAGTTAAATCTCGTGGAGAGGTCTGAACCACTTCGCCACTGACCCTCGGAGCAAGTTTCGACTTGAATCGGCTTACTCCCCGGTTAGTCACGTCACTTTCTCCTTTCACATCCTGTTCCACTTTCTCACCTCGGGTTTCTAGACAACATGTCTGGATACGGCCGTGGACGTGGACGTGGTGGTGATGGTGGCTACGGTGGTGGTCGCGGTGGTGGTTATGGTGGTGGTGGTGGTTACGGTGGTGGCCGCGGTGGTGGTGGTGGCCGCGGTGGTTATCAAGGTGGTGGTGGACGCGGCGGTGGTGGTGGTGGTCGTGGTCGTGGTGGCAGCGACGAAGAACGGTTTCCGCACTCGGGGTAAGTGATGCACACAGCTGAAAGTCAAAAGTGAAGAGCAACACGCTAATGATTTAAACAGGAAGGTGTACGCCAACCCCCCGGCTCACTCAGCCCTTGTCCACAATTACGAAGATCAATGTATGCAGGCAAAGCCCAGCGAGACGGGCAAGTTGGCTTTGCGGCCTGGATATGGCACCAGGGGAAAACAGATCCAGCTGCGTGCCAACTACTTCAAGTTGGATTTTGACGACGGCATGAAAATCTACTCGTACATTGCGAAATTCAAGCCGGAGCCCAGCCACAAGCGCCAACTACCATTGATCTGGGCGCAAATTTTGGCCGTGAAACAAATTCGAGCGGCGCACCCAGCTACTGACTACGCAAATGAACTGGTGACCACCGGCAACCTTGATAAAGCCCCTGAATTCCAGGTGACCATCAATGACCGTGAGCAGTCGACCTTCTCGGTGACCTTGGAGCGCAACGGCCTCATCGATCCTCAAGTCCTTCTTCAAGGTTTGCGAGACCCGCAGAAGCGCTCTCTTGTCGAGAATGAGGCCGTTGTTGTTAGGGCTATGAACATTCTCCTCGGTGCATACCCTGGCCGGGACGCGGGTGTTGTCACACTGGGGAAAAGCAACAACAACCGATTCTACTGGATTGATAGACGCCAGCAGCAAGAGGATCTTACGACCGGTCTGGTGTGTCTTCGAGGTTACTATGCCAGTGTGCGACTTGGCGGTGGTCGTATGCTTGTCAATTTGAGCGTCAATCATAGTGCTTTCTACAAGCCCGGCCCCATGGAGCATTTCATTGCGGCCTTCGCGAAGTACTATGGTCAGAATGCAGAGCTCTTAACCCGGTTTGTGAAGATGCTCCAAGTCGAGGTCACTCATCTGCAGGATTCGAAGACGAAGGGAGCACCTCGCCGACGCAAGACTATCTGGGGTGTTGCGGAGCCCGGTGACGGCGCCCAGGACCCCCATCCACCTCGGATCTCGAGGCTTGGGTCGTCTCCCGAGAATGTAAGCTTCTGGCATAAGGACAAGAATCGGTACATGACCGTCAAGGAATACTTCAAAATGGGTAAGCTTCTAACCTCTGAAATTGTGATTCAGTTCTCCGTAAAGTACAAGCTGACTGGAAATCTTCACAGAATACAACATGGACATCACACTGCATATGCCTGTGATGAACGTCGGCAACAAGCAGAAGCCCGTTTACCTTCCAGTTGAAGTTCTCGTGATCCCTCCTGGCCGCGTTTTCCGAGGCGAACTGAACACTATCCAACGCCAGAACATCATCAAATTCAGCTGTCGGAGACCTCCTCAAAACTATGACTCAATCACGGACCACGGGCTAGATATCACGGGAATCAAGGGCAACCATACCAAGGAATTCGGGTTTTCGGTGTCACAAGAGATGATCACTGTGCCCGCTCGAACTTTGAACGCGCCCAGACTCAGGTATGGAGGTGGCGTTGAGGAGCCCACATTTGGTGCTTGGAACTTGATCAGAAAGAAATTTACTCGCCCTGTCTCTGTCAAACGCTGGGTCCCAATCGTCATTCAGGAAGGCGGTGCCCAAATCGAGGGAGATCTGAACGCATTTGAGTCGTTGCAAAATAATATGAATAAGCTCGGCATGGACATGAGGGGCATGAGGACCCCCATTCACTACATCCCACTCAACTCGAATGACCAACAGAAGAAACGCCTTGAACAGATTCGTAAAATGTTCGAGGTGATGAAAGGGTTCCAGCCAGCTGTTGAGCTCGTGGTGATTTGTATTCCTTCGGGCGTTGAGAGGCTCTTTGACCACATCAAATGGCTCGGTGAGACACAGTTTGGAATTCCTACTCACTGCTGTATGAGCAGCAAGTTCTTCAAGCGGGGCAACAACGACCAGTACTTTGCCAACAATGCCATGAAAATCAATCTTCGCCTGGGAGGTGTCAATCAGGTCCTGGACACACCCTCTCCATTGATCGCCTCCGGCAAGACCATGGTTGTTGGCCTCGATGTCACTCACCCGTCCGCCACTGACCCTGAGAGTTTCCCTAGCATTGCTTCAATTGTTGCAAGCGTGGATTCGACGATGGGGCAGTGGCCTGGTCAGGTTAAAATTCAGGATCCTCGCGTGGAGGAAGTTCAATACCTGAAGTCGATGTTGACGGGACGTCTTCGCCGCTGGAAGCAGAGCAACAAGGGTGCTCTTCCTCAAAACATTCTTGTCTACCGAGATGGTGTGAGTGAAGGACAGTACGACATGGTCGTGACAACCGAGCTTCAACAGATCAAGGCAGCCACTCAATCTCTTTACGCCGCGAATGCTCAACCCAATATCAGTATCATCGTTGGGGGCAAACGACACAACACTCGCTTCTTCCCTACCAATCAGAAGGATCAGGACAGAACTTGGAACCCCCAGCCTGGTATGGTTGTTGATCGCGCGGTCACTCGCCCTATTTACTGGGAATTCTTCCTCCAGGCTCAGTGTCCACTTCAAGGCTCCGCTCGCTCCGCTCGATATGTGGTTGTGCACGACGAGATCTTCAGCAACCCTAAAGTGAAGCCGCAACTCGGAATGAGCCCTGCGGACGCTATTCAGGAACTGACTCATAGCATTTGCTACATGATGGGCCGTTGCACACGTTCTATCAGTTACAGCACGCCTGCTTTCCTGTCTGACCGATTTGCCGATCGCGCTCGTAAGTACGTCCGTGCTTACTATTATGACCAGTTGATCAACCACAACAACTCTCGTCCTCCCGCGCCCGGAGACAATGTCACAGTGCTCCATCCGGCGGTTGCAGAGCAGATGGTTTACATTTGAGTGGGGTTCTTGATTCTTTTTTGGCTTTGGTTCTGGTTGTGCTTCTATTTTGCTAGTCTTTTTTTGGATTCTTACGGAGTTGACCAGCTGCCCTTGTTATTCGAGCTATTCCACCTTTTTATTAGGTAGGCTTTGGCTCATTTTAGTATGGCTTTTTTGTTTTTCTGGGCTTGATAGCTCCTGCATTTTTATCATACTGCATGAGGGTATTTTGAGCATTCTCTTTTGCGTTCGTTTCTTTTTTTTGTTATAAAAAAATAAAAATAGAAACAAATGTGTGTTCAAGACCTTAGTGCCGTCTAGAATCCTTACATGCCACTTCAGCTACGTCGGGTAGTGTAAGAGAACATTGAAGGAGTCAGTACGGTAGAGTAAAGGCATCGGTTTACCTATGTGCGGTCACAAAACACTGTCATGTATCTGGCGTCCTTCAACTGGGTTTTACGGACAGGGCTCGGTCTCCACAAAATCAGAGCAAGCACTGAGGCTGAACTTGAATGTCATTGGTATGCTTCTCGTGGCAGGTATACACTATCAAATAAAGTGACATGGTACGCATATTGTTTCTGCACTGGCACCGAGTCACATGTATAAGTATAAGGCACGTAGGAAACCCCCCTTCTGCAGTCAACATTGAATATCTTGCGTGATATCTGCACGGATGGGTGAAAGCCGGAATGATTGAGGAAGTCAGCTGGGATGGAACTCATACGAACGAGGAGGAGAATATCGGAGATTGGAGCAGTGCACCTGTTGATATCATGTTTCTCCATTGCTCGTAAGACCTCATCAATCTCAACGCTAGTGCTGGCTGGCGATATCACGCTGAGCTATCTGGTTTTTGTGGACAAGGGCATTTCTCTAGGGTATGATGGCGGTCATTCTACTGCTGAAGCTTTCACTGACTATTGGGTAAAGGTAGTAGATCACAGAGCTGGAGCCCCGCGGTCTCCCCTGTTGTTCTCGTTCCTACTTTTCCAGCTACCGTTCTTCCCACGTCTCTAGCTGAATCCCGCCATACTTCCTCCCCCTTCACGTTTTCGGAAGCTCAAACTTGTCAGACGATTGACGCTTTCCACGACTGATCCCAGGTCCGGGAGATCCGCGCACATTCTCTTTCTTTTTTGAAGGCGGCTGCCTGCTCCGGCGCTGCTAGAACTTGGATTCTTCGGACACTCCCGGTTGCCCGAACCCTTTCAGCAAAGCATCAGTACATAACGAAGAGAACATTGAGACCCGTGGGATCGTAGTACATATCTTGGTTTACCAGGAAATTTTCCAGCAGTGGCCACGGGCTATACTGAGTCTGCGACCCAAGATGCAGCCTACCATGGCGCATGTTCCCATGGCCGGCGTAGTAGACAATGAACAAATGATGGTCTTTGTCGCCGTGCACAGTCCCGTGGTCAAATGCCTTGTCAATCTCTCGGCGCAGGATTTGTCCTGGGAGATTTCGATTTCGGACGCTGTAACCACAAGCTGCTTCACCAAGGGTCTAAAGAGGTCTTGAAGAAGGGTTGAGAATATTTGCACATCGTGGGAGGTATCGGTATTGTCATTCGTGAACCTGAGAAGGAGCGCCGAGCGGTGCGGTGATGATGTCCTCGTTTCCTGTCGGTCTCCAAGAAATTCTTCTTTATCTCAGGTATGGATGATATCTCATTTGATGGTCGGGCCTGCTTTTCTTCAGAGCTTGAAGAATCGACCGTTGGATTTGTATGGGCCATTTTGTCCCAATATATCAGATAGCCGAAAGTCGATGTATAACCGAAACTCACTAAGTCGGCCAATGAAGAATGAAATGGGAGGTTGTTAGATTCAATAACGGAGTTTCATGAAACTTCTACGAGCTAGGAAAGGAAGGGTCATTGAAGTATTCTTAGATGGGTCTACCTTCCATGAAGAAGTGAGCGTGTCACAGTGAATGAGGCACTTTGAAACGGGACGGCCCGAGGCCGTAGACGGCTGAGCCGAAGCGATTCCGCGAAGCGCGCAGGCTCGACGATTTCAATTAGAGGTCAGCCTGTATTTCCTCGTGAATCCTCTTGAAACGACTGCCTTATTCAAGGGTTGGGGCTTTCAGTTATTCAACTTAGTTTCTCTTTTTTTCTTCAGAAACTTGGTTCCAGCTTGCAGGTAGGTTCCAGACTTAGTATAGTCGTGAGAAGAGCGGGAGGAAGAAGAGCAAGATGTGAGTAAGTATGCAAATACTTCGGGTTCCTGGGATTATATGTGATCACATGGACGAGAAAGATGGTACAATCTGCCTTGTGAGGGGCCTCGCAACTTGATGAAAGCAATGCGATGGTCCAGACGGGTGGACGTGGATGTATATCACTACTACCTACAGACTGATGCTCGTACCTACCACGCAATTCACACGCCATTCGATGGATTTGACCTAAGGCCACACCAATTTGTCATGTTCCGTGATGATAAAGTCTCACATAAATCATCTTGTAATTAAAATACCATGTTGATGCCAGCTCCGCAAAAATCGAATTCATGCAATCTAGGCTGTTGGTTTCCAATGAAATTTCAGGTCTTTTATGTTCAGTATCCAGGTGAGGGCTAACTGGCTTCTAACACGAGAACAAAGTCTTTTGAGTAGACAGCAGGTAATCCGAGACTGGAAGGCAATTGTGAGTCTCGGGTGAGTAGGTAAGAAGCGATGCACGAGTAAGCGTATATGGACTCAGACGTATAGTTGCATGTACACAGCTTCTGCGGGCTCACACTAAGGGTTCCAGTTCACGTCAAATGCATTTTGGGAGTATTTCCTACGATGGCCGATGGCAGAATTCTAGTAGCAGCACTACAAGCACCTCGCTGGTCTTTTCTAGAGTAAGGCATAGATTTTTGGATGGATTTTGGGTGGTCTAAACTCTGTCAGTCTCACTATAGGATCCCCAATACTGATTCGCTATAGTTCTCGCTTCATCCTTCATTCCCCAAGCAAGCTGCGTTTCCTCTTCCTCTCGTCCTTCTGTAGGTCCTAACTACAAATAAGGACTTCTAGCCTGAAGAAATCGGAAGTAGTGGTAGTATTAGTTGACCGAAACGCTGTTAGGTCACAATGTAGGTCATTAAGTGTTGCAATGCTTGGCCTACTGAATCATTATCCCCTCCAGCTCTTTTGGTGCTCACCATACTCGAGGTATGCAGTGGTGCACTGTCTACAATATGGGTTCGGGCCATACCTTATGCAGCCGGTCATCATGATGATATAATGTACTCTACTTTAGTCAAGCAGAATTCTCGTACACAAGAGTAATCATGGAAAGAACTCGTCGCTCCTACATCATACGAGACCTTGACTTTACAGTCATGTGATCTGTCACATGAGTGACGGAGATCGTGCTTGAGAGATCAGCCAAAGAGGCGTCTCCCGTCTTCCCGCTCTCTCGCCTCTTTTCGGCTGGCTTAACGGTTGTACTCGAATACCCAGTCGTGGAGGGTTTGTTGCGGTCATGCCAAGTGAGTTGACGGAGAGCTTAAGCGTAGATGGGTAAGTGTCAATTCGGAGCCTTGGAGGTACTTCAAAGTCAACAAGACATGAATATACCTCTTTTCTTCTGGAAGCCACTCACAGTCTGTCTCTCACGAAAAAAAATAAATCAAAAGAACGGGTTTCATTCAATCCAATAGTTCAAACTTCACCTGTTGGAGTAGTCTTATCGCCCCAGTGATTTGTCGATAGATCATGGAAATGTCGATCGCTGTGACCTGCGACCTGCACAGATGCACGGCACAGACGGTTCTGAGAAGGAACAGACAGTCCTCTACCTAGCTGGCCCTGCTGTGCTCAGCAATCCCTGATGGACAAACATGAGCTATCTCGTCGATTGTGATCTACCTACTGAGTCCTGGAATACATCTTGCAGAAGCGATATGCCAATGACGATTGCCCTACTTCCGGTTGGTTCCTAGTTCAGGTGAAGGTAGGATTCGAAGTACCGACGTGCATATTTCTAGTTGCGATCTACTACCGTTATATGTGTACACTTTGTGATACAGAACCATCTACGTCTAGTACCCTCAGAAGAGAGACCCATCGGCGGTTGACTCGATAAGCACATTCAAAGCGGCGACAGTACAGTACTAGACGCCGACGGCCATACTTGACACTCGATGAGCATAGGAAGCAACTGAAAAAATGGAATGTCTTTAGCAGTTGAGCTACTCGGCTTCTCTATGTACTCCACCCGCGTGAAACCTGTAACTCCAATTTCATAGGTGCCCTGAGCTTCACGTCTCGACTGAGTGTGGACTGTGGAGCCGGGGAAAATAACGATTGACATCCAGAAGACCCTACTCTGACAGGTATCCGTGCGCTTTGACATCAGAGCGGTGGACGGGTGGAGATCAACTGACAATTATTGATGATCTTCACAGTGGAAAAAAATCTCCTTAGATCCACTTGATGCGCGTTTTTACAGTGGTACACTCATGGAGTCATGATTCCTGTAGGGATGTGCTGGATGGTAGGATAGGACGTTCGTGTCGGAGGTGATCATGGTCGCACCCCGGATATACCCCGACTAGCCTATTCTTCGCAGAGCACAGATCTCATTTTCAACTTCCAAACTGTTGAAGGCTTGACGAATGGAAACTAGTCGGAGGTAACTAGTGGGTGGTAGGGACAATGTAGAGATTGTTTACTGCGGAATGAATAGTACCTTAGTCTAGTAGGGACCTAAGATCAAGATCATTCCCTGGCCGACTTCCAATTGAGCATACTCAGCCCGTTGATCCAAGTCAAACACCAGTATTTCAAGTATTGAGTGAGGGACTTCTCCCTTATTGATCTCGCTCGAATAGCCAGCCGCTCAAATCATCCCAAAGAAAAAAAAAAGTACAATGAATTGTCCAGACCATCGCTGCTCCGGAGAATCAACCACAACCTGCCGGATAAGCTTGTCGTTCTCCACTGGCTTACAGCCCTCCAGCCAGCCCCGTCTTGGTGCAGGTGGGTGGCGCGCGCGCCGTTGAATGAGATATGTCACAAATCGAGCCATTGCGCTTGCTTTTGTGTTCAGTCGACTGCGATGAAACGCAAAGAGAATGTCAGTGCTGTTCTGGAGGGAGATTGAGCCAGCATGGCGATAGAATTGACAGATCACAACTCCGGCGCTGTCAGGTCAAGTGGGTGCATGGATAGTGATACTGTACATTGGACGCAAAAAGCTGTGCTCAGTTACATCGGATCCATATCTACTCAGAAATACTGTATCTTAAAATAGAACTGGAGACGGCAGTGAATGCAGACCTGGACGCGTCAATCTCAGTTCGAACGCCCACTCAGAAAGAAGAGGTACCAAGCCGAAGGTTGACTATTGATAGACTGGTCTTTCAGTTTAGTCGCTAATTGTAGGTAACGGCATACAGCATCTTGAGTACCAGTCTCCCAGATGATAATCATATAATACCACTGCGCTTCGTTCGTAGCTACAGCACATGTAGGATTGTCGACACCGTTAAGGTATGACGAGGCAGATGGTCTTTAAACTCGCAGAAAACCCTGGATGAACGATCACTGAGTTTGGCCCCGCTTGAACTATAAAGAAGGAGCTCTGCTTATCAGGAAAGAGCTCGTCTACATGGACGTTGCGCGGAGGTCGGTGATACTTGTCTCATCTCTCGAGAACACACTGGATGATTAGGTGAGAGCCGAGGTTTAGAAGCCTCCCTTATTGAAAGATGAGGAGTATACACATGCAGGTAGGCCTGGGCGTGATGTTTGGCTTGAAATCTGACTCCAATATTGGAGAATCTTAATAGGGTTACTTATGCGCCAGGGCTTGATTATCCTCTGAAAGGCGTTATCTACCCATAAACAGTCTTTCCCTGGAACAGAAATTATTAAATGGGCAAAACTTGCCTGCTTCACAAGAACGCGACCAGGTTCATCACTTTTGAATCGAGGTCGTAGGTTCTTCAAAGTGGAACGTTCCGTCTCTTCTTCCACCCACTTCCTAGTACCTCAGCAGTGTAGTCCCCAGCTTTCTAAAATTGGTACACTTTTCAACTATGTACTAGGTTAGTACGTACTACATAGTATTCTCGGCCCACCCCTCCAGCCACAACAAGAAGGCTGAGGATCCTGGTCCCGACAATCACTGGCTCCGCGATGGGCTGTTTCATGGAGATCGCCAACTAGATGGAGCATTCGTTATGAATGTTGATCTTCTGCTCTGAGCCTTGAGCCTGCACCACGTGGCGATCTGTTACCCTTTCCATACTCTAGAGACCGGAGGGCAGTCTCCAGTTGGCAACTCAATGAGTCAGTCACTCGGGAAGTGTGCTATCGTGCAACATTATCATATCGGCGGTCTGACATGCTTGCGGGCTTGGCGTGGCGTGGCATCGAATGCATCTGAGAATCATCAGGTGCTGTATCGGTAGCTTACCAGCATTTAACGTCAAGCCAACTCGGCCTCACAACCTGAAGCCAGTAAGGCGGCCGCCACAGTCTCACGTGTCTCTCAATCGAACTAAATATCCTTGGAC